TTCGGGGCCGCCGTCCGACCGAAACACTTTGACCTTGCGGCCGGTCTGGCGTTCCGAGTACGCCAAAATCGCCTCCAAGTTCGACTGTTGGTCGGCGGCTCCAGTGGATGACACGAAGCGGACGATTTTGAAGCCGGTGTTGTCGTCGACGTATACCGTGTAGTAGCGGCAACCGCCGGCGGACATGGTAGGTAAAGGTCCTTTCGTGTCTGAGTGCCAACATTCCCCTGGTAGGAATGTTCGGGTCCCTTGCTTGGCAACGGTGACGCGATGCATTTTGGCGCGTGGACAGTCCATGCATGGATGCGCCATGTCGCGAAGCTGTGGCGGCAGTCCAAGGCCGGCCTTAGCGCAGGTGCGTAATGCGTCAAGGGGTAAGTGTCCGATGCGGTGGTGCCATAGTGTGGCCGTGTCGTCAACGGTAAGGTTTGCATGATCTCGAGTAAAAGTCCCATCCAGGACGTATAGTCGTTGATTTTGGTTCATGGTAGCACGAGCCACCGGTACGTTTGAGTGCAAAATGGTACACGTGTCGTTGTGGAATTCAACCTTGGCCGCCTTGTTCGCGCGCATCAAGGCAGGGATTGACATGAGGGTTGTTCCCATGCCGTCGATCAACAGCACGTCTGTCAAGGTAAGTAAGTACCTTTGAGGTTGGGGTGGTGATGTTGAGTTTTCCGATGGTAGTGGCGATTGTAACGCCGCCGTTGGCGACAATGACCTGGCGGTGACAATTCCGCGTGTCGTACAGGTGCGTAGCGGCGCCAGTCATGTGCGTCGAGGCGCCAGAGTCGACGATGATGCGGTGTTTGATGGCTACATGGGCCCCGTCACTAGCGCTATAGGCCTCGTCTGTGGCCGTGTCTGACTTGGTCGCATCTCCGGATGCATCATGTTGGTTCGCGGCCAGGGATGCGGCCGCCGCGGTGATTAACGGGTTAGTCGATGTGGTCGTCACATCTGTCGTTGGCGAAGCAGTGGACGCCAAGCCTCGGTGGCGTTGATGGACGTCCATGGACATGCGTAAGGTTCGGACAAGTTCAGGGTCGTCAAATGGCGCGAATGGTGCATCGTTGATGTACGTCTCGTATGCGTTATCGCCCAACCATGGAAGGTAGGAATCGTTGATTATCATCTCACGGATGTGGGGGGTTCTGACGGCCCCCATGTCATAGGCCATGACGGTGTAGCGGCTGATGACCCAGCCTGGGAACACTTTGATTGTTGCCGGGTCTGGGATTGGCTTGGTGGCTAGGACTGCCAAATCGTCGCGGCTCATGAAGTTGGCCATGTATGGCACACCTTTGATGGTGACCATACGTCGGGGTCGCATCGATGGGTGCCAGGCACGGTCGACGTATTCTTCTGGATTTACAAATTCGACGCGATCGAACTCGTCTTGGTTCGATGGTACCGCTATAGCGGGGGTGGGGATGGGGTGAATAGCGGGAAGACTGTCTTCCATGAGGTAAGAGTCGCCTTTGCCTTATTCGCCCATGTTTTGCATGTCTTGACCGGTTTCTACTGCAGAGAACATGAACACTGCCGCGTTGGAGTGGTCTTCTTTGGGTTCTCTCTTGCCGCTAAGATTGCGATCTTCGCGTGCCTTTTTACGGCATTTGGATTGCCAATGGCCTTCTTTTCCACAGTAGTGGCAAGTACCGCTCTTGGTTCCGTTGTGGCCGCTTGGGCCTCCGCTGGCGGTATTGTTGCCGCGCCCGCCTTCAGCATACAAGGCGCGGTCTTCGTTGGCATGCCCTCGTGGCAATTTGATGCCGCCGTTGCGTACGGCCGCGTTCCATTCTGCCTCAAGGGCGATCTTTGTTTTCGTTACCGTTTGGTTGTGGTCTGACCCGTTTGATAGGCGGTCGACGATGTGGCAGAAATCCCGCGGCATGAGCGCGAGCAGCTTCACGACTTGGTTAGATTCTGTCTCCGTGGCGCCGACTTCGTGAAGACGCTTGACCAGCGTTTGAAAGCGATGGATGAAGTCAGGTAATGTTTCTTGGCGCATATCCCATGACAGCCGCGCCCATTCCATGGCGACTTGGATTCGATCGATCTTTGTTGTAGGTCGGTGGTGGATGGCCAAGGCCTCGTACGCCGTCTTGACGTTGGCCGCGCCTTCCACGTGACGATACTGCCCTGCCTCGATCGTCTCGATAAGAATTCCAAAAGCCTTTGATCGTCGAGGTCGGGCGGGTTCCTCGGGCGTGCCGTGAGTTGGTCAAGGATCCCTTTGGCCATGAGGCGGCCTTGGAAGTATGTCTTCCAGTCACGGTAATTGTGCTCGTTGAGATTCATGGCGTTGGGTGTCGTCATGGGTCTTCCTTCATGTTGGTTTTGCCTTACGTAGGGGTTGGGCTCATAACCTGTTGAATTGATGGGATGCGACTTGGGGCTTGGGAGCAGGCGGCTTGCGTTAGCGAGCGACTTACGAACAAGATAGGAAATCGGAAAGTGATTAAGGAGTGTTAAGCTAATGAACTACTTCAACACATATATCCTGTTGTTCTCTTCTGCCTACGCACTTGAAGGTGACCTAGCGCCAATGCCCTTGATGGCCGCTGCATCTTCGTTTCTGATGCAATGATGTAAGTGTGCAATGCTGTCCTGGTGATAAACATTGTCATCCAGGGTTCAAGTTGCGGTATCCAGATGATTCCGTTACCATCAACATACGGAACTTCAACAGGCGCTGTAGGTGAAGCAACCGAAGACGACATACGTCCCAAAACTAGACATAACCAAAAAATGTAAGAGCACATTCAAGTCATTCATATAACGTTACGGGGACTTACAGGGCCGTGGCGACCAGATGGGGTTGATGCAGTGGACAACGGAGACAAGGGGGCCAATGTTGACACCTGTCGCAAAGGCGATGTCGTAGAGTACGCTTATACACTTGGGAGTATCGTTGCGATCAATGGAGCAGAGGTACAAAAGCAGCCCGATAACGCCGAGACGGGAGATCGCACAGGCAAGGCCGTACCATACATCCGCCACCACGCCGATGGATGCGACGAGGATTGTCGTCGCGAGAGTCGAGTAGACGTTCACAAGGTGCTTTTGCACAGGGGTGCTGACGTCGCCCGTCTTGAGGAGTGTAGTGAAGTCCACTCCTCGCCTGTGAACGCAGTGATGGTTCGTACGTACCATCATTCATCGTATTTTTAATAAAAAATCGTCCAACCAATAGTAACTCGAAGATATTAATTTTGGATGGGTTGTGTTCGCCGCCGCCTCTGATTGGCTGGGTGAAGTTGAAGTGTAGTTGTCTACGTCGCCAGCTGCACACTAATTAGAGGGCCCATCAAGTGCATGAAAAACCACTTTGAAAGCATCGACCAGGTCAACAACCTGCGCGAGATCCAGGCCCTGCGGCGGCTGTCGCTGCAACCGCACGTCATCAAACTCGAAGAGGTCTTGCACGACCAGCAGTCGGGTGCGTCGATGAACCAACCATCGCCGATCCATCTTGACTCCATCTCTTGCATTAGATCGCCTTACGCTCGTGTTTGTCTGTCACTTGCCCGAACTTGACAACGGATCCTAGATATATTTGCCGGACACCTTCATCCCGGTGTGGACGACGTTTGAGTTGTCAAGGACACCCACGCGCCCGTCCCCGGGTCACATGGGGATATCTTCCCATGTGGGCATGAATGGACGAACCATCACAGCGTACACTGTACATCGCGTGGCGCGAAGGCAGTCGGATCTCCGTGCAAAGCTACCTTTGGCCCATTCGACTGTCGCTATCGAGAATTCGGTTCACGCGCCATATTCAGATCGACACTGTAGTCGACCAGGCTCGACAGATCGCCTAATGATCGTCGATGTACCTTACAGTTAGCTGTTAACGTTAATCCATCGAACTTACCGGTACTTTTGATACAGTACAAGTTGATTATTGTATTGTTAACACATTGCGTCCTTTGATACCCCTAATAAATCGAGCCTAAATGTTGTAAACTGTGTCTGTCGTGTATATATGTTATTACAGGTAGGTCCCTGTCGCGATGGTGGCGACGACGATGAGACAAACGTTCATGCGCGTGGTGGTGACGATATGTGTGACGATGGCAAGATGGCGGCATACAGGGCCACAAATTCAGATCGGATCGCGTCCAGGTCGTCGTCACTACACAACACCACCATAAAATACTTTTTCTAAGTACTGCTGGAGACATATTAGAGTATTATCCAACACAAAACGAACGACGCCCCCGACACTATAGACGTCGAAGCTCAAGTCTTACCTGGTGTCGACATGATGCCACCACCGAATGGGTTTATTTGGAATCTAGGATCGATCCCCAGTCATAACTTACGAAATAACTAATGTACCTGCAGGAGGTCCATTGCTAGGTAGATGCTCGAGGCAGCGATCACGTGGGGAGGGTACTCCAATGCTCGGGCGCTGTAAAAGAGGTCGCTTGCGAGGGTCAATGCGATCTGAACCACCACGCGGGATACTCTACGAGGTATATTCGTTGACGCCAGGAGGACGTGAAGATGGAAGGCAATGTGTCAATACTGGAGCAGCTTGGCGAGGTTGAGCAGATGCTGGTACGGCAACGGCACATCCATGTCGAATCGAATGGCTCGAAGAACCTAGAAGTGTCATGAAGGGGAGAGAATCTATCTTGTCAGGCGTACATGTTGCTCGGCGTCCAGCAGCCGCTCCTTGAAGGCCGAGTACTCGTGCCCGGTGGACACGGGCGTGTTGACGTTGTGGGCGACACAGTACGCGACGTTCATCACATCCCGCAGCTTCCGTGGCTTCTCTGTGATCTAACGTCCCATATGGTTGAGAACACGAGTAGGATGGTGGTGCACCTCAAGGACGCACCTTGGTGGCCAAGAAGATGCACGCTGCACCAATGTCAACATGTTGTGGGAACGAGTGCGGTGCCCTGTTGGTACATGCATTGAATCGGTGAGATGAGACGAAAAGCATATTTAGAGGCGGACGAATGTACGCGTGTGTTGCGAAGTAGCGATGAGCCAACACCATGGCTGTGGAGGTCGGGACCTACAAAGCTACAAGTGAACACCCATATCCAGTGATGGCGTCATGGATAATGCACCTACATGACCCAAATGAAGCCTGGCTGAGCAATCGGCAATGAAGCTCGACGCGGCGTGTTTCTTGGGACTCGGTGTGGTATAGCTGCTCTGTGACGGTGACGGGACGGGCGCCGCCATAATTGGCCGGGTTCAAAATGCAGAATTGTCCTTTAGCAATCTATATACTATCATATTTTATATACTCAGAAAATCCTTCAAACCTTGATAGAGATCATTTAATAAATACTTCATTTAAAAAGGATTAACCGACTGATAGTTCATTTATTCCGGTCCGATAAGGCAACGGACAGAGAGTTGACTGTGAGGCATCTCATGCATGGCTCCACCATGCAGGGGTACTCAAATATCTATCTTTTACGTATTCTCAACCAGTAGGTTGCTAGATTACTTATCTTTTCCGGAGGATGAAAAAGATATCTTTCTTCGTGGCGAAAAAATATACTGTAACAAATTATTAGGCACTTGAGAAATAATAGCTTATTCGAATATCTTAAATATCTCAAAGATCTTGAAGTTCGTACAATTGAATCGGGCGGGATTCACGCAATTAACGTGTTGTAAGTGTATTTCGAACAGATAGCATTACATTCAAGGATTTCAGTCCAAGCCAAAGTGCGATCGCACTCAAAACTGACCATCACTCATGACGCTGCTGATTGGCTCAAAATTTGGTCTTTTTCGAGGTCGAGGTGACCCACAATAGGAGAGGAGATACGAGAGGCGGCATTTGGGGGGTGGAGCAATATTGCTTTGTCGTTGTCAGTCTATGGTTACATCCGAATACATTGTTATGAGTTCGAACTATTGAGAATTATCCTGTCATTGGGATTCGATTATTTATTTTGCCGTTATAGTTATCTAGTTTTTCTGATCTTGCGAAAAGATAACTTTGGTGGTGGCGCAAAATAATCTATCTTCCTGTTATGGTTCATGTCATCTATAAACTACCAACTTTTCACAAAATTTTCTGACTTCTATTTCATATTCATTACTTCAAATTTCAGCAAATTGAGACGTAAACTCGACAGATCTTAATGTGGTGAAGAAATTCTACGTCTCAAATTCAAATTTGGTGATGAATTGGTCCAGAAATAGATATTTAACCTAGCGGTATTTTACTTGGGCGTTTGGATATTTGACCATAGGTGCCGCTGAGATGTATCTTGATTTTTGTATGTGACTCTTATCCGTATATAATATCTGGAGGCAGTTGGGACCTTTAACCTCCGACTGCAGTGATAAAACGCATGAAATTGGTATTTAACGTATTTGGTTTTTGGGTTTAACTACATTAATACTACAGTAGTACATAAATTGTACGTTAAATAATATAACCTCCACTCTGCGATGTTGAAAGATTGAATGCTCATATTATGCTCTTTCACCTCGACTAATTTGTTGGTCAATCGGTGTTATGGTGCACGTCATCTAAACTCTCGTCGAATTAGCTGGTGAATGGAGTAATGTGACGTAAACTGATTTTTTATGTCAAACTTCGCCAAAGCGACAATGTCAAAATTCAATACAAAATCCAAGTTGATAATTTCCGATGACCATATTTTGGCAATTGACATGGTAATGTCGTGCAATCGCAGCAGTTGGCACCGCGTTAAGCTTAGGGTGTAAACTGGTCCTATACGTGGCGTACTTAGTTGGCGTCGAAATGACAACTAACGTTAGTACAGAGCTCTTGACGTCATACGGTAATGTGTTCCGCAGCGAAAGCAGACCCAGTAGGAAGCTTGGAGTCGAAATTACGCGCCGGCCGGCGGCGGGCCATCATCCAGCGCGCTTGCTGTGCGCCAGGGTTCAGAACGATGGACATGAGCCTGCCATTGTTCTAACCAGGCCCACAGAAACCTCGCAGGGCATTGGCTGGGCTGCTATCATTAACGCCCTTTGCTGTACTTCTGTTGGCTTTGCAAAGGTCGATGACACACACCGAGTACGACCATGTTGAACGCACATATGAACCGGTAATACATTCAAGATCACTCGATCGTCATGAACGTTCGAGTGATCTAGAATAAATTGCCGCTTAACGGCTGAATCGACCCTTTGGCACTGGAGTTACAGTGGTGCGCAGTCGACTACCATTAGCTCCAGAGCCAAACAGTCGAAGTCGAGTGTCGTTGAGGGTGTAGAGGGATAGACATACTGTAGTCACTGTATCACTTGACTCAAGGAGGAGGTGAACTTTGTAGCCTCTTTGGGCGTGTGAATGTCAAGGTCATGGCACGAGTAGGAAATATCATAGAATACGCGCAAAATATTCTTGCGTCATATCATAAGTATCCCTAGTCATCGTGGGATATCCAACCAATTTGTATTTTTGTTTTCAGATTCAAACATCTACATCATATACTGAAAACCAGATAGATAGTTCTGCCGAATTTAGGACTGTTATCATCTTTGGACAGAGGCAGTACATTTTTTATAGGTTACTACTACCGGTACTCCGGGTACTTCGTAGGAAGTACATACTCCCTGCCACCAATGTACAGTATGCCGTTTGGTTTCCAAGGAGTCGTGCAGCAGCAACGTCGCCACTGTACTGTACATAACCAGTACAAACAGTGTGCTCCGTACCACCCTTTCGACTTCCGTGCCGTGGATCGGTCCTTCAGGTATAAGTACTCGAGCCTGGTCTGAATCTGGACGCGCAGCCAAAGAAACAGGGCGATTTCGCACAGAAATACGCGAGATATCGGCACTACCCACGAGAACAACGACACCTGACAACCCATGTCGCACGTATGTTTTCCAGCTTCAAGATCATCATCTTTGAACCTGGGTATGACAAGTCGCAAGTGATAAATACATGCTTGTTGATGTTCCTGGCTACGTACGACTACTACTGAAGTACTACTGCAGCACCATACGCTATCGTTCTTCTCTACATGGGCATGGCACGTCCAACCATCATATATGACGCTTCTTGCGCGGCAGCTTGATGCAGCATCAGTTCCGACAAGTTGGCTTCCGACGCATTGATCATGCAACCGGCGGCATCCTGCGACGCACACACGACTTCCAACATGATGGATCGCGCGGTTTCTACATCTTCGACGCCGCATAGATGGCATGTTTGCTCCACGAGGCGGCGGGAGCGCTCGACCAGGCGAGACGCGCAGTTCTTCTCGGACTCGAGAAACACCAGGCGGCGGCACATGGCTGAGGTCACGGTGGGGGCGGCCACTTGACACATGGCGCCAAAGCGGCGGCCGGCGTCTTCGTACTTCTGGCACACGTCTTGCATCTCCATTTCGGCGGCTTGCGTGGCTTGCTGGGCCAGGAGCGGGAGCTCGGTCACGCTGCCATGCTTCAATGCGTTCTCCATTTGCATGCAGGTCGAGTACACGACTTGCGCCGGGTTCAACGTGCTCGGAGGAGCGGAAGCATCCAGGTCCAGCTCAAAGTCGGAAAACACGTCCGAGATCAAGCTCTCCGTGTCCGTGTCGTGGTCCCCCGACACCTGAATTGGGTCCAAGCAGTCGTCGCCTTCATCCCCCACAGCCAAATACAGCTTGTTGACGAGATCGTCGACCATTGTAGACTCGACCGACAGGGCGGGTTCGAGCTTCATGTTCGTCGGAGGGACGTCAGCGATCGGAGCGAAGGAGGCAGCGGCGGCACGGGAGTGGTTCGTAGGGGACGGCAACGGGGACGCCTCGAGCTTCTTCGCCACATGACCATCCTCGTCCTTCATCGGAATCTTGCGTTTCTTGTCACATGCACCAGGCAACGCGTCGACCACTTTCTCCTTCTCGTGGATATGTCGATGGCGACAGAGATTTCCCGACGTGTTGAACCCCTTGTGGCAGATCTCACAATGATACGGCTTGGCCCCTGTGTGGGTGATCTGGTGGCGCGCCAGCGTAAATGCGCGACCAAATCGTTTGGAACATTTCTCGCACGCGTACGGCTTGAGGCCAGAGTGAGCCTTCACGTGGCGCCCAAGGTTGCTGGATGAGCAAAACACTCGATGACAACCTTCCACAGGGCACACAAACTCTTGCCGCGGCTTGTCGTTGAATGAGCCGTTGTTGCATGGCACGCCATCTTCGCACGAGTTGCAGTCGTCGTGGTCCGATGTTACAGGGGAGTGGCAACCTTTGGGGGGCTTCTCGGTCTCCGAGTCAATGTCCAGCGAATCTGCTGTTCCACCGCCCATAGCGTTAAGGATTCGTCGACTGAGAGATTAGAGGGAATGGCAACGACGGGATTGGTGTCAATCGTGCGAACGGCGATAGCGCTGGGTGTGCTGCCACGGCAATTGAAATCTGGCTTGCCTTGTTAGGTTGGGATATGTACGTTGAACGTACTAGATCATTCGAATGTACGTTTTTGTAACATAGTTTGGGCAATTGAATTGAGTTCAATGTACGTTGATTGTACGATTTGTACGATCAACGTACGACAGGAACCATTGGCGGGGGCGTCGGTGAGTAACTGAACATAGTGTGTCAAATAAGAATCTCTTAGGGCATTGCAATATTTATTTTATTATGAGCAGTTTGTATGCAATGATTTGTATCTTTCGCCAGAGTATATAAATATTTCGAAATTTATATAATTCCAGACTCTCCTGGCCCTTCTAGCCAATCAGATCGCGGAAGCGCATTCAAAAATTTCTGGCTCTCACAACCCAGGTGAAAGTGACGTTTTCTAACGTAAACAAACGTGTTGAATACGTTTCGTACGTCCCGCCAACAAGGAAAATGAAGGTGGATGGATATACGATCAAGCAATGAATGTGAAGGCCACAGACGATTCAATGGCATGGGACAGTGCACCAATCAATATGCTGGCTGATGCGTTGTTAGCTGTGATAAACTGTACCTCATGCTGTATGAAGTAAGTCCTTCGTGACAGGTAGAAGTATGACGTAGTACTCCTCACTTTTAATCTTGCCCTCGCTGTCAATGAGAAAACTGATGTATTCATTCTATTACAACTGGTAACGTGTTTTTGTGGCCACGAAGCAGCCACGTTTAAATGGTTTGTTTCGTACGTGTTCGATACATGTCTGTTTCACACAGGAATTCCCTGAGAGCAATAGTTCCACTGTTGCTTCCATAATCTTTCACTTGTTCTTATTATGTAATAGTTAAATGCAGTGTAATCCAATACAACACATTTCAGCTAGGGGTTACGAGCATCTCAGTGGTTACAGTAGCTATCGCTAACCCCTGACATGTAACTTAACCCGGGGAATAGTAATACCAGGGGTCCCAGGGTTCCGAGGTTATCGGTACTGGTATTTTTTAAGGGAAATGATTACGTAAGCAACAGTGGACTTGTTGCCGTGAGGGAATTATTCCAGTTTCACATTTTTGCCATCGAAATCAGATGCGCATGCAAGTTCGAATGCTGTGTGTTTGTTTCGCTGGTCATCCTACCACTAACTTCGAATGTACCATGTTGGCGAGTCCATCGAGCGTTGGTTTCCCCGTTACTGTTGACGTTGTCGTCAATTCTCTTTCAGATTTGAAGTCGTTGTCGACATAATGCATGCGTGTGTTTGCCAGTCATTTGTGCCAATGGCCTTACTTGAACCACGGTTTATACTACGAGTGAGTATTAAGGTTATCCAGTCATGGAACGCATGGTTCAGCATGTGAAACTGGGTGACGTGTGACAACACCTTGCTGGAGCTTCACACGACGGGTATGTACGTAGCGACAATATACTGTACTACGGTAATCATCAAGAACAAGGGCGACGAAAGGTGTCCAAACATGTTCCATCTTTCACTGCCACCAATTTGGCCTCTCCAAGTGGGTGAAGTACTTGACGACAACGAAGGAAATACATGCAGCGGGCCCCCTTGTAAGGAGATAACGTCCGTGTCCAAGTCGGCGCACTTACCAAGGTACTACCCAGTGCTTTTGAGAAACTCGGTCGGGGCACCACTCGGCTCCGCGAACTCGCACATTCCAACTGTCCAGCAGTGCAGGGAGTCGTGAATAACTTCCCTGAGACCAGCAGTTTCACGATGCTCAAGTGTACTGTTCGTAATCATTCCCCTTCAAAAGGACCAGTTATAACGTTAACGTTACTGTAGCCTTGTAACCTCGGAACCCCCGGACCCCTTGTGTTGCTATTCCCGGGGATATCACCAGTGGTTAGCGATAGCTATTACTCCGAGTACTAACCACTGGTGATGCACTTACTAGTACTAGTACAATGGTACCCCCTAATGTTAGCTGCTATAATAAAAACAAGTGAAATAATTACGTATAGTAAGTAGTACTGTACTACGTAGTATAAATGTATTAATACTGTAGTACTATTAACAGTATACTATTAATATTATTACTAGTCCGTAGTAGTATTAATAAACAACAATAGAACTGGTTTCTAAACGCTGCATAAGTACTCCGGGACACCTGCATGAGACAAAAATCTCTGGTTTGTCTTTAGTTACGTGAAAAAGCACACATCAGTCCCATGTACAGTTCAGTCTTACACATCAACAGCATGGGGCAACGGCTGACCCAGCACCCCTGCGAGAACGTTTTGAACGGCAATGTCAGCCATGGCCTGCCGCGTTTTGATGGTTGCCGACCCAATATGGGGGAAAATCGTACAGTTTGGTAGCGTAAACAACTACCACCATACTTAGTCAAACTATCGTTCAGGTTGGCCGTGTTACCTTGTGGTCCACAGGAAGGGGTTCCGGGTCTGTGACGTCCAAACCTGCCGCCGCTAGCTGCCGCGCCACCAGAGCATCGTACAACGCCTCTTGGTCGACCACTGGGCCTCGACTGGTGTTGACAAGCACAGCATTCGCCTTCATTTTGCCAAACCTGTCCACATATGTTAAACACACCACTGCAAAACAAACTACGAGGGGAGCACTAGCTTACGCAGTTGCATTGAAAAGGTGCTGTGTTTGTGCGTTCAGCGGACAGTGCACGCTCACAATGTCGCTGGCAGCCAAGAGGTCGTCCATGGAGCAGAACGTGGCGTCCAAAGGGGCGGCCAAGTCGGGTTTGGGGCGAGGCCCCGTGTACAAGATACGACAGCGGAATGCCAGGCGCATCATGGCAGCGTACTTGGCTCCGATGCGGCCGAGCCCTACGATGCCCACCGTGCTGCCTTCCACGTCGGTGCCACAATATCTACACGTTCGATTGTGCTTAGTAATACTAAAGTGGGGCTACTAGAGAGAATGGGTACTGAAATGGCTGCCACACGCCCCATTCGCCGCGCTTGGCGCTGTCGACACTCGTGACGACATGTCGCTTGGCGGCTAACGTCAATGCCAATGCCGTTTCTGCCGTCGAAGTGTCCAATACTCCTGCGGACACATGATACGCGTGAGAGCAAGATGGCACGGGGAAGGATGAAGTCTTGCCTGGCGTGATGCCGACTGCTACGTACTTGGCACGGCAGGCTGCCACGTCGATGTGGTTGTAGCCGACCGACATCGTGGATACGACTTTCAAAGACGATCCGGCAGCACCTAGTACGTCGCTGTCGATCCGATCGGTCAACATGCACAACACCCCAGTGCACGCTTTGATCCGACGAAGGAGCTGCTCGCGCGGCATGGCGATGTCTTGCCGCTCGAAGACATCGACATCGACGTTGGCGAGTTTGAGTTGTTCTGGGGCACATGTCGTCCATGAGCCATGCCTAGAAGTTTTGACGTACCCAGGATGTAAGGCACGTGCCGGGTGACAAGCACCTTCGGCTTCGCTGCGACTTGCATGCCGTCGGTTCTGACTGTATTAGCCAATTAGAGCGCTTTATTTGAATAGACATCTTTGATTCGTTCAGATAAAATTATTATAGCAAATCAGTGTGTAGTACTACGAATAAAGGGCGTGGATTCGTCAATAAGAACACATATTCCTCCGGATAACCACGACGAGATTTGAATCGTCCGGATACGATACCACCTTCGCGGCAAACAGGGATTTACCAGGATGGACTTCACGGCTTCGTCTGGAGACGGCGGCGGAACGTTAAGTCAACTCCTGGACCCATTACGGTAAACTAAATGCATGTCCTTATATGTGAAGGCAGTCATAATGTGGCGCTCATAGAGAGCTGAGTGTCGAGTTGGATTTGGCAAGTGAACTGGAGGAGTATCTTCAATTGATCAACGTTGACGAGAGTGTCCTCGTCAACTTTGCGCAGGCCGCGCTTCTCGTGCAGCAATCCAGTGCGCTGTATAGCAAGAAGGTCGAGCACTTGTACACGTTGGTGCTGGAGACGTTGGCGCACTTGCAATCCACGGACGTGCGTGACCCGTCCCGAGCAAGCGGCAAGCAAGCCACCAAGAAACAAAAGACCAACCAGGGCAAAGCCACTTCGACGGCGGTCCATGGTGACGACACGACACTGACGATGGCAGACATGCGGGTCGAAGCGAACCAAATCAACTGGACCGTGCGCACCCATGTCGAGGAAAGTTCCAAGATCGACCTGCCCGCGCCGAACGTGACGCTGCAGAAGCGCCGCGACAAGTCCACCACCACCAAGACGTTCCAGTACGAAGCCTTATACGTTATTCCTAGACTCTCATGCGTTCCAGGGCGTCGATGGTCATGATGGGGTCGTTTGTGTCGACAGACCATGACTCGGGCGAAAGTTTAAAGCTCAAGTCGTGCCGCATCGACCCAGAGGTATGTTTTGCTGTGGTATATCAAACAAGTCCTTTTGTGAGAATGAGTGCAGACTGGGGCGTTGTACTTGGACGACAGCAGCAAGGATCTGCTGGGGTATCCAAGGGACACAGCTTCGTTGCCACTTGCTGCTGCTGCTGCCACGTCATTGGCGCCGCCACGGCTGGCGGTACTCACGCCAGTCCGCGAAGAGGACAGCGACACCACCAGCACCAGCGTCCGGCTCTCGCAAGAGTTTAATACGCAGCATGAAACAGATGAAGGCGATCTTGCCAACCTCCCCGACTTTGGTTGGAATGATGCCGACTTGAACGAAGGGAATGGAATGCAAGGCAAATATGAAGAAGGGACCACTGCCAAGGAAGACCATCACCGTTTGTCCCCTTCTCGACCTATCCAAAGTACCGAGGTAAATATATACTTCAAAGTATATATATATATATATGCTCCATTCATAGTGAGCCGTGGACGCATACAGGACATATATGGTGCATTCTGTTGCTCGGTGTATCTACTATATTTGTCGTACCTTTGCACCATGCAATTCAATTTGAACAATGCAATTAAATACTCCTATCATTAATTAGATATTATATTGAATTATAGGCAATGTATATATATATATATATATATATATATTATATGCTCCATTCGTAGTGAGATTGAGAGGGCACGTGTTTTGCATAATGTCTTACGAGAATCGATTAACGAACCGCCTTAGCCAATCAAATCACGTCGTGTCGAATTTCTGCCAATCCAAAGTTTGACCCCTCTGCACTGGGCAAAACCATATATACTAATCGTTGTATAGTATAGTGCGTACAAGATTAAATAGGATTAACGAGATTCGAAAGCTATTTGGCGAAATGACACTCTCAAGTCCATATTTAGGTGAAATGCACAATATCGAATGATATCATTGTATTCACATTTTACATGGCAATATGCAGATCAAAGCGACATATACAAGTCCCGTGGCCGTTTCTTCTTATACTTGTAGACTTGATATGAGGATTGGGATTGCCAGTGTACTTATCACGTCAAGTGAGGATGCTCTAAAACTCGATGACTCGATGGCCATTAGATATCTCGATATGACCTTGTCCAACGCCACGAAATCGACATGGACGACGACAAGGACGATCCATGGACGTTGTTGGATGCGTACGATGCCACAGATTGCATCGTGAAACCCTTTCAAAAAGGTATATGTACCTTGAACAAAGTAGGAACACATGGACATACATTGTATGGGTGGGTAGGTTCGACATATCGCGTGCGCCTGCCGAGTATGGCCAAGTTCAACCTAGCTGCAAGGGCAATCGATCCGATTTATATACCCGAAGCCCCACAGCTTCCTCGTACGACGACACGGCTGGACCGCCTGCGCCATCAGTTGCTCTCGAAACCGTTCAAACTGTTCACTGCTACACCATCAACGCCCTTGACCGTCGAATACGCAAAGTGTTTTGCCAACGTACGACTGTATATCTATCTATCTACATGGGTGGATGCATTCTCTCATGTCCCCATTCAATTTAGCTACAGAACCCTCGCGCCAGTGCGTGGCAGTTTGGAGTCAAGCTAAAAGGTCATATCAAGGCAGATGAAGCCAAAGATATAGCAAACGTTGACAAGATGGACGACGGTGATGGTGGTATTGAGTTTGAAGATGGCTACAACTACGACGACGAAGAGGACGACGACGAGATGGCGCATGACGTGCCGACGGTCAAGAAGATCCGCCCAGGCACGTTGTCGGGTACTAGTCCGTCTGGTGACGAGGGCGACGACGAAGGGCGGGGGGTCTCCATCGCACGCAACTTGGACTGGAACGAAGAAACCAACGAGTCAAGGCAAGGCAGTCCCCAGCACCCCCAACCATCATCCATGTCGTACGAAGCGTTGTGCAAACAGCACATTGTACGTGTTTGAATTGGTTGTAGTGGTGATGGTGGTCACTGTGTTGCGTGCTGGTTGTTTATTATATGGTGACAATGATATGGTGACACAATGGATCTTTTGTAGGAGCAATTCATGCGAGGCACCGAGCAATACATGAAGGAAACGGCCATGTCAAAACTAGTCGCGGACTGGCAGCACAAGCTCACGCCTGTGTTGGACGACCAGGTAGCCTTCCTCTTTATGCTTTGTTCACTGTGTTTCAACAAGATCCTTACTGTGTGACGTAATAGTGTTGTTTTTACGCCTTTTTTGGACTATATATATCTATCTATACAGTATAGTGATTTTCACCCAAATTTGCCAATTTTATGGGATTCTTGAAATCGCCAACAAATCAAACAAAGGATTTTGTTAGGCTAAATGAATGAACGTTGCGTTATGATTGGCTAAAAGATGGACTAGTACCTCTTAAACATGGTTTTTATCATATTTCGAAGGTCCGGCGATTGTTGGTCGGTTCATTCAACCAACCGCTGGAGATAGTTTTGAGTAGGACACACAATACAATACAATATATATATATATAATATTATATACGAGCAAAATATCATAAACTTGAGTGAATGACTTCAATATATGACTCGCTCATGTCGTTATTTTTTGATAACACTTGTGTAGGACCGACGCCCTCTGTTTGACATCAAAGCCAGCGCCCAGACCATTGTGCACAAACTGGAGCAACAGCATCACCCCCACAAAGATGCCACTCCCGTGGGGTTTGACCAGGTCGTGCAAGATATGTCCAGCTACGAGATCTGCCGCATCTTCTCGGCCGTGTTGCACTTGGTACGTTGGACAAGGACCTTTCTACATGGCTAATGCGTCGAGGCAGGCGAACGAAGGCGCGGTAGAGCTGCATCACGACGAAAACGATGACGAGAATGATGTGCATGAGAGGATGGACACGCTGCGGCTCACCATGCTGACGCAGGAAGAAAGCTCGGCCATGCCAGTGTCGCGGCGGCATCACGCACCCAGAAAGTGATGCTTGATGATACAATGTGTCGAGTCTGGGTTGTAAATACATATATTATATAAATTGAAGGATATTCACCAAACTGGATGTTGACGACAAACATACAAGAGTACCCGGGGTGTTTAAATACAGAGTAGCTGGGTTGCGACTACTGGTCGACGGTCGTGGGAGGTGGTGCTTTCGCGGTGAACGATTAGGACACGTGTCGCGGTCTTGTGGGTAGCAGTGGCAATGTAAATAGGGTGAACATGGCTAGTCGCTGCGTGCCTTGAGCCATGTGGTGTGTGTGGTTGTTGTAGGCGGTGGCTTGCGTGGACACGGGGGCAGCTCCACGCACGACACGTCTGAGTCCGGCAAAGCATGGTGTCGATGCTGTTGTTGCTGCAGCTTGGCCTCTTCGAAGAAACTCCGCAGCCTGCCGCTCACATGCTCAAGGTATAAAAAGTTGCTTTGGCAGTCCAACGAACAGTACGTGTTGGCGCAGACGCTGGTGTTGAGGAGGTACATCTTCTTGCAGTTCTTGCACTTGCTCCGACGAGCCACGATGCTTCCTGCTTGCCGCCCAGCGCGGGGCATCGCCACTCGACACGCTTGCCACATCTAGCGTGAATTCAACTCTGCCACCTTGGCCAGCTAGCTAGCTCTTGGTTATCGCGAAATTCGAAACTTGCACGCCACAGTCCCACGTAACCTTCGCGCCGATTTTTTTTGGCACGAAACCGTCTGACTTGGGGTTTGTATGCAATTCAATCCTCGAAATGGGCCTTTTTAATCAACCGCCAATCACAAGCCGCGATTTCGATAAGATCGTGCGTGGAATGCTGCCGCCCATTTGGTAATTCTTGAGGGATCTGCTGGCGTTTCGACGATTTGATTGGAGATGAATATGCTTTGGAGACGTCTGATTCGCTGCGGGGGTCGTTTCTATTTATACAGACTCATGATTGGATACGACCAATGGTTGAACCTGGAAGGATCTGATGCATTTTGTTGGCGTGACATCGCGTTGACGTTGGACGAAACGAACAACCGATCACGTATACTATGTTAGTATTTAGCTTGCAAATGGCATGGCGGTACTCGTTCGGAAGAGGAGGAGAGGTATGTGCGTAGGCAGATATGCCCCATTGCCATCGATTGTGGTGTTGTCCAACAAGAATAGGCCTGACCGTGCCGTTTGGTTGTAACCAGCTTGACTGTGAGTTGAATGTGCATTCGAAAAAATGGCCACCGAAGTTATCGCGTCGCAGTCGTCATTCACCTCATTTGAAGCTGATCATACATCATGTTATTGATGGGATACTACTAAGTTAACTACAGTACTTACTATTAATAGTACGTAGTACTATACTCCTAACGTTAGTATTGTGCTTTTCAGTCAAATTTGCCTATTTGGGGGATTGATGAAATCGCCAACTAATCGAGCAAAGAAGTATGATTGGCTACAAAGAATGAAAGTTGAGATTTGATTGGCTAAAAAGATTTATTGAAGTATGCAGACACAAAGATACCTCTTCAACTTAGTTTTATATGAAATTTCGAAGGTCCGGCGATTGTTCAGCGGTTTATTCAACCAACCGCCAGTGGAAATTTTGAGCAGAACACACAATACTACTTACTACGTAGTAGTACATTAGTTACGTAAGGATTACGTGTTGTTCCTGACTTCCAGTTATTAATAGGCACGTCATAGTTGGGGTCCGGATATTGCATACGTATAAATAGTACTCCAGAGTATGTCGTACACAAAATACTACGATAACGCAAACCCAAATGCACACCAAAACAAGTGTATGTTTTCGGTAATACAGTATGACGAGACGGCAAAGATGACAAGGTGGCAATCAACATCAAATCCACCGAGCTAACCTTACAGTAGGTAGAGAGAGAACACTGGGAGGGTGTTCTGAAGTAGCTTAGTACTCCAGAAGTAGCTCGTTGTGACTGGAACGACGCAAGGGGAGATATTTGTCGCGCACACGAACGAACGATCAAGCACCGAACTCTCTCTGCAAAGTGTTCCGGTTCGAATGTTCAGCCACGAACGTAGCAAGAATACACATGTACAGTTTGTACATAAAATACGCCACGAGAGAACAAGTGATGGAATACCATCCATTCGTAACTTTGTATCGCATATAAACCACACCAGGATGGATGTTGACACACGTTGATGTTGTTCCTGTATGCAAGGCACAGTCACCACCAAAACCATTACCAGTACAGTACTACCGTGGAAATCATATATGATTGTCTTACGTCGACTACTGTTCGTACTTTGAAGTCTTTGGAAAACCTTCAATTCTACTACCTTTCTACAGGAAAATTGCAGAGGGGTTCGTTGCTTCGATGGTCCGTTTGTAGTCGCGGAGTCTGTCCACCAGCGATTGCAGCGGTGCGTTGGCTTTCATCCGAGTCAAATGTGCATGATGCGCATGCATCATCTCCGTGAACCCTTCCGGGGCGTCATTCGCCATGCATTGGGTGAGAGACTCGAGGTATTCCTCGGCATACACTCCGCGCGACAGCAGGCGCTGCACAGGGGACTTGGCCAGCTTGGTAACAAAAGCGGGCCAGTCCGCAAGGTCCGTCGGCGCGACGCTGAGCGATGCATGTTGGTCTGTATTGACATCGTGGCTGTCAATCCAAACGGTCAAGCAGTACCGACGTGCGTGCGACGGCAACACCCGGTGCAGCACGCGATCGCTGGAAAACACCACCTGCAAGTAAAAAACATACATTATTACATAGTGTGTTTAGTAAACACAGAAATAGTGTGGGGGTTGAACCTACCAGCCGATCCATGCGAGGGGCTACTACGACTGGGGTGTGGACAAACGGGTAGAATTGAATTTCGCCGCCGTCGCCATCCTATGCCGCCACGTCATGGCATGCATGCATATCATCCATAGCATACATTTGTCACGAACCTTCCAAGACGGATTGAGGTACAGCAAGCAAGTGAGCCGTCGCTTGTTGGGGCGACCGGGGTTGTCGTAGTGGCAGGGAAAGCACCCGCCTTGACCCTCGTTGAACTGCACCTTGAGCGTCTTGCCGTGGGTGCCGGGTATCAGCGGCAGGTTCGTGTGCTGAGCCAACGCGAGCAGGAGGTCGTCTTGATGGAAGAGCGCGTTGAATTCAGGCACTTGGGTTCGCACGGAGTGGTTGTGGAGGTCGGCTTCGAAGATGTGCGGCTTTTCATACTGCGCGACCGCGCCGGGGGTCGTAGTGGACGGGAACTGCGTCTTGTTTGGCACGAGGAGGTTCTTCTTGACGAGGAATTGAAGCTCGGCCAGCAGGGCATGGGCCCACCCACCCCCGAGAAAGTTGTCGATGACCGTAAACCCGTGGTCCATCAGGTCGGCGCTGTGCGAGGCCGTGATTTGATCGTAGAATCGACTCGAGTCTCGTACGAACGGCAGAGGGTACACGATGCCAGCGGTGGGTTGTTCATGCGATGACGGCGCCGCTGGTGTGCAGGTGGTGGACGAAGACTTGGTGCAAGCCAACTTGTGCCCTTGCTTCCACGCCTGAACCTGACACTGTCGACTGCAGTAGTACGTGGTAAGGCAAAGGCTGCAGCGCATCCATTTGTCGCCGACTTGGCCGCAATGGCCGCATGCATGGCCGGTGGTGGTTGTCTTTGCAGAGACTACGGATGTCGTTGACATTGGTATTTATTTCATTGGCATCGAAATGCCAAGAGTTGCGTGAGTTTTGCGCCATTTATCCGCAAAATTCCGGATAACACTGTACGTTCAAGTTGTACATGTGAAAACCGTCGACGCCACACCAGAATGGCAAATGGTGAACGTACATACAAGGTGCCATGGTTTAGCACGACTGTGCTGGCTGGCGCCTTGGTGGGGTAGGCATGAAATACGACATGGACGCTTGGGTATATTTACTGTATAAATTCATATCCTGTGTAATATAATATAGTATGTAATTTGACGAGATATTTCGCGGGACAGCCTTTGCAGCTTATTTCAAAGTATGCTGAAGTATCGTTGAGAGGCATGCCTGGGCAGGTTGGTTATATCATTTCTGACCCGAAAGGGCATGATGTGGTGAGTCGATGGAACTGCTATAGGGGGGAACGCAATGGTCAATTACAGTTCTGCACCTTCACTAACTTATGCTTTTTTATGTTAATCAATGATACAGTACAGTATGTGTCACACACACCCAGTCATTTTTACGTCGAGGACAGATCGCAATCCTGTACAGTAGCCCTACAATTGTATTGACAAATGAAAATGAGTTCCTATATAATCGCGCGAAATATTGGCAAGAGATTCCGTCACGAGAAATTCTTGAAAATGCAGACGTGTACGCGATGGTCCAGAACCAACCTCAGAACTTAAGAGTTACTCGCAAATACTACGTAAGCTTAAAGTTAGTTGGACGTTGTAGATATAATTGCTCACAGTCGAAAGCTGCCTGTACAGTGCAGTCGTTCTATGTTCTTCTTCGACCATATCGGGTGAGCACCCGATACTGTCAATTTACTCAACACCTCAACCACTGTAGTCACTCGGAATGTCTCACCACCAGAAATCACAAAATAGTTCAATACCTCACCAATCACAAAAACTCGTTTTTTGAAAGCGATAACTGTGTAATTGGTCCAGAGTAGACTGTGGTGTGATATTTGATTACCATTAAGTACTTATTGTGTTGACTGTCGCCCGAGGCAAACTCTACCCGTAGTCGAACTCGGTCCTCGCGGGTCCGTAAAAATTGTAAATTGTTGTAAGCGAATAATCTATCGTGACATGAACAGCCACCGTTCGATGTACCGTACTCACGTGTCCATGAATCAAGCATCAAAGTACGTACTGTCCCTTGGGGATGGATGGGATTGCTTTTCCAGTATGCCATATGTCGCCCTTCGTTCATTCCGGTTCATGGTGTGCAAATGCCAAAGTCCTCACCAATCGACTGGTGCGGCCACCCCACAGTGGCATTTGAGGTGTCCCAGCCAGTCCCGTCCTGGTCTGATTTCGGTTGAGTGTAGCTGTTGCCAAACTCCTGTCAGCACATTCAAGAGATACATACCCTATGAACAAGACCCCCGACACGCCGTTTTTGAGGCGATGCAAACGGTTGTCCATGGAGCCGCTGGGCCGTGACGAGTACCTGCAGCACGTCAAGCTCACCCACGCCAAAGCGCATGCGTTAATGTACACGCCTCCCACGAGTCGATTTCGCTTTCTCAAGCACGTGGACGGCATCGACGTGTCCGACGACCCGGCAGCGTGGACGTGCCGCGTGAAGGCGACGATGACGCTGCGCCGACCCGCGTCCGCCGTGATGGCGTCGATGGCAGGCATGGCACGCAGCAGCCACGACTTTCGTCTGCATTTTTACCGGTACTTTCGCCAGTCGTTTGTGGACGGCATGCATTTGCACTGCGACAGCAAGAGTGACCACGTATCCGTGAATTACTTGGTCCTGCGTCGCGAAGACAACACGACGTACGACATGACGTTTGCCGCGACGACCATGACCTTTGGCCGGTTGCCAGGCCAGGAGAAAGAGAAAAAGAACAGGGACCAAGGACTAGTGGTCGTGCCGCTCCAAGCGTGTCAGGTGGGGGTCCAGGTGTGGGAATCCGTGGTCGTGCCCGGGTTGGACGACGACGAGTCGGACAAGGACGAGACGGCGTCCCACGGCAGTGGCGGCAGCGGCGGTAAGTCGTCCTCGTCGCACGACTCGCACCGTCGAGTGGCGATGGTCACGTCTGGCATTGTCGTGGAAGCGCTAGACCCAACGCAGTGTCGCGTATCCGTGGTGCTCCAGTTTGGCCAACAACAAGATGAATCGGCTCGATCTACGACCACGAACGGCATGTCCATCTGGCAGCAGCGCCTCGCGCAGTCAGCACTAGCGTCCCTCCGGACGGAGCTCGTCGTGCTGGTCCCCCAAACCCTGTGGATGTTCAACGAGTACTGCTACCTGTGCTACAAAACGTTTGGGACGTTCACAAGACGCCACCACTGCCGCCTTTGTGGCCACTCGATTTGCTCAAAATGCACGGAGAACGTCCCGACCGACGCTATGGGGGTTCTGCAGTCGGACGAACCCACGACCAAGAAGTCCGTGGCCACTTGCCGTCCGTGTGGCCGGCGCGTGTGCGGAGATGCCGACGAAGGCGCGGCCGAGTACCTGCCGGCGGCGGCGGCGTCGTCCGTGGCGGGCTTCGACGGGGCGCTGTCTGCCATGCATGCAAAGATGGCCGCCACGAGTCTGTCGAGCTCAGACGAGAAACCGATCAACTTGATCATGGACCCTCGACATCACTTGTCCATGCGGTCCACGTGCGTGTCGTCCGAGATGCTGCCACACTCTGATCGATCGGGGGGTGCCGTCGATGACATTGTGCTGTTTCAACACACGGCAGCCTCCACGCGGCACCTCCAGCAGTCCTCCACCTCCTATGACCAAGCGCCGCTGCATGGTCGGCGGTTCTCCCAGCACTCGAGTGGCGAAAGGTCGAGCGACAAGTCGTCGAGCGATCGGTCGCAGTCGTCGTGGGGAAGTTGATGACCTGCAGCTGAAAGTGAGTTGGCTTTTGTAGCTAACGTAGCTCGAGCCACGACTTAGCAAGGGGTTGCCGTTGACTTATTTGTGTAAAGAATGTGATGGTGACGTAATGCATGGCAGGAATGTTACAAGTCCAACTGAGTGGCTAGCTAGCTACCGAGTTCGATGTGTGAATTTTGGTATTCAAGCTGATGCCTTTTAGTGCAATGTGGGGATTTGACGAGTGGTGAACTTTTAGTTAACGCCATTTGTCCGTCTAAGACGTATAAGTATATTTTGACAAACGTACATGGGTAGTTAACCGGATGAGGGATGCACGATCCGGATAATTAGTTTGAGAGTAACATGGACAACAGCGTTGACGCCGACTTGGCATTGCTGGACGAGTTCTTGCTGGATGATGGCAGTTTGTGCGAAGAAATCTTCTTGCCGAGTGCAGCCGTCGCCGCTTCAGCTATTGAAAACCCCACGCCAGGCCCCGTTGAGACCTCGACACCATCGCCACCATCGGCATCGTCCTCAGGTGCAGCCAAATCGAGCCGCAGCGCCGATGAACCTGCATCATCATCTGGGAAAAGAGGAAGAAGGAATCGCGTATACATGAAGGACGAGCTGGAGTACCTCCGCGCCAAGCACGACGAGCTCGTGGCGCAAATCGACGCGCTCAATGCGGCGGCCGTGCCGCCTCCTTCCATTTGGGCGCAACGCGCCAAGGACCAAGCACACGAAGCTCAGCGCGTGCTCCAGGAAAATGCGCGCTTGAAGGAAGCTCTGGATGAGCAGATCAAGGTGGTGGCCGCGCTGCACCGCATCTTTAGCAAGAAGCCGCGGCTGGCCGTGTTTCCTTCGAATAGTTCGGGCGACTTGGCTGAGTGGAAGCTGGCCAAATTGGGGTCGTCCGGCCGCCGCGACGCCATGAAGCGACTGCTGGATCACCAATTCGCCGCCATGGAGTCGCAGTGGATACGCAATGACGTCTACGCTGCCACCGCGATGGCCGCTCCCGGCGCGGCGGTCAAGAAGGCGTTTGTGCGGAGCGGAAGCTTGTACCATGATGTGCTCGTCGTCCATTTCGTGCAATGCTCGACGTGGTCGGCACCATTCACGACTGTGGCCGACGTGTTGTGGGACATGGTGTCGGTCAAAGTCAAAATCGAGTTTGCGAATCAGTACGTGTCCGAGGTTCGTCCAGTCCATAACATCCGTCTTCGTATGATCACGTAATCAATTGGATACTTCGACATGCCCTGTCTCAAATGGCAAAGTGAACATGTCCCCACGATGGAGTTTGTTTGGGGTTATGTAGCGCGTGGAAGCCTTTGGGGACGACATGATGTACACGAGGTAGAGGATGTACTGTGAATATACATATCTTCGGGTATTTTTTGATAGTGGAGCATGCATAATCATCATGCAATGGTGCCCAGGGTAACGTCATCCATAGGTTTTCCGCGACCTTGCCGCAACCGGACCTTCCCGCCGTGGATGGTCGGCTCGCGTCCAAGCGATTTGTCTCGTCGAATCGTGTGGTTATTGTGTATCGGTCGATTCTAGACGACGTGTTGTTGCCGCATGATTCTCAGCACCTCCAAGACAACCAAAGTGGCTGGTCTGTCATCGTGACATGTCTGATTCGGATATATCATTTTTTTGGTCCTGTGACAGGGTGGTGGTGGAGCCGTGGGGCGACAACGGCACGAAGCTGTCGATCTTGACCTGTCAGACGCCGCCGCTCGCGCCGTCCCAGTCCATCCAAGCCGGCGCCATGTCCGAGTACATGATTGGCATGTTCACCCAGAACGCCGCTGCCTTTGACAACGCCATTGCTACTGCCCTCGCATGTCCATTGGGGACTGCTCCAGACTCGTCATAAAGTCTCGCGATATTTGAATCATGTTTAGCCAGCGTCCGTTGACTAAATAGCTTTAAAATGGGGTTTCATGGTACCTGTTGAATACAGGAGCATCGATCGACTCGGCAATACTAGGTTTAATGCACATAGTATGAGCATGCTGCCCATATACCGTACATACAGTACATCAGAACGGTCATGTCGAGCAACGCTCGTGGTGGCGGCCCTGGATGGGCTGCTACATGCAAATGTAACTGACTAACATCGTTGGACGGTTACATATCATCCCGCGTCCAAGGGCAGCATATGTCGTCGTTTAGCACGCGGTTCCTGCCCACGGATGGGATTCCGGCGTACAACGCCTTGTTGGACCAGCACTTGGGCCACCACCGCAACTACTTGCTCGGGTCGAAAGCGTCGTTAAAGTTGCTGCAAACCACGGGGGCGATAGCTAAAGTCGAGGTGGGGACCTCGGCGGATCAGTACGTCGTGTATGTGGAAGAGCCCCCCGTTTCGTCAGTGAGAAAGCACCCGCCTGCTTCGTCCAACTCCCATGAAAACCCTGCCGACTCGACCAAGGCTTTCAACCTGAACAAGAAGGCGTCGTCGTGTTGTCGCTATCGCAAATCCAAGAAGGAAGGCAATTCCCCCCCATCCAAACAACAGACAACAGACCAAACCCCGGAGATAGTGGACCGAATGGCAAGGCGACGACTCCAACATTCAGCTAGCGACACGTCGTGCCTTCTTGGCGCCCACAACAAACCCCACCGGCTGAAGAAACCGGCGCAGATTGAACCCATGGCCTCACGACCGAAGCCAGGATGTAGCCCGTTCAAAAAAGCAGCGTCCGAGGCGTCTTCGAGCCAAGGCAAGCCGTTGTGGACGACGACCGAAGGTGCGAATGCTCATTCGAATCGAAACGACCAGGCGACGCTGTCACTTCATCACGGCACGTGCAAACCAGTGGTGAATCACTTGTTGGAAAGCGATGTGGCATACCACGACAAGATCAGTCGCTTCAAGGCGCAGTTGGCCGCCATGGCGGACGAAAAGGCGGTCGTACAAGGGTACTTTTTTTGTCTTAGCCGATGTGCTATCTTTATTATGTATGCTGGACAAGAAATGCAATTTCGGGGTAGGGAGATTGCGCGGCTACGAAAGGAGCTGCGAGGGGTGAACGCTGTGCAAGAGAATGACTTGGCAGTGGCCCACTGCCACGCTGTTGTGCAGCATCGCCTCGGGAAAGCCCAAGACGAGTTTATGAAGGTGCTGACAAACCAAGCCGCCATTCGAACCGCTATCGACGCCGCGCGACTAGAGCTGGTGCGTTCTAGAGCAACATTGTTGCAAACGTATATATATTGATAAGGACATTGGTAGCTGGCACTGGCCCAAGTGCGGCGCAAACTGGAAGGGGACATCGACGAAGCCAACACAAAGATCGACGCGGCACTGGCCCGCATCGAAACGACCAAAGCCATACAAAAGAACACGTTTGGGGAGTTGACCAACCTGGAGCGACAGGCAGAGGCCGACGCCGTCGAGCGCATTCTCAAGGTAAGCAAGCTTCTCCACGTCCAACTAACAATCGTAGTCATCCTGAATCAATGAACACCTATAAGAGAATCACTTTGCATGACGGTGTGCTGTAGCTACCGCCGGAAGGAGATATGGTCAACATGGATGTTCTGAACCTGATGAAGACGATCCATGATCGCGCGTTGAGTCGGAAGCAAGAGGAAGCGGCACGGCAAGCCGCCGCCTTGGAGGTATACAGTAAAATCACGATGGAAACAAGTGCAAAGTGATAGTTTTTTGCGTGCCAGTCGTTGGGTTTGTGCAGTTGGCAATCACAAGGACATCAATGTATTTACACAAGGGCGATATACTTTATAGGAAGAGTCACGGCCACAACAGAACGCCGAAGGGTCGTCAGCACTCCTCGACACCACGTACACGGTATGGTACAACTATGACGTGATCATATGTTGACTGTGCATCCGATGACGTAATCACGTGATAAACATATGATACATATAGACTGCATTTGCGTCGATCCAAGCGGCCGTGCATGCGCCATCCGTGGACGAATTCGTCATGTCGTTTGTCGACACGGAAAACCAGGTACCGACTTATCAGTCTTGTCTCATGTGGTTGTTGTGTGTACGACCCTTCACCCCTATTAATATAGCTGTTGTCCATGTATCAACATTACTTGGAGCAACAAGCCGACACAAAGCGAGCCAAAGCCGAGCTCGACGCCCTCCTCAGTCAAGCGCGGACGGTGCGCCAGCGCATGCGCCAGCAGCAGGACGACACCCACGCCCGCAAAGCCAGCCTCTTGGACAGAATAGCCCACGTCAAGCAAAAGACCCACGAGTACCTAAACCCACGACTACTACCTGGTAGAATTGACACGTTTTTTGCAGGTACTCTGTGCTTCATCGGCGGCAATCGGTGGAGCACAACGCACTACGCGCGCCGATTCTGCACCTCCTCGAAGTTCTCAAAGCCGACAAGCACTTTTTGCACACGAATGGGTTCCTTAATCCAACACATGACATGTCCCTACCCCACATCTTGGGTACGTACCGACACACACGATGAAATATCGTTGCTGCAATTGGGGACAAAGTTGCGTAGCCATTCACTGATTGGGGTTGATATTGGGATGTGTAGGCATCGCCCAGGAACGGATTGTCGAGTTTGCCATCCTTTCCCAAGTGCACGCCACACAAGCCAATGCCGTGCATGTCAAAGTGCAGGCGATCGAACGTTTCAACCGGCGCACGCGCCTCTCCACGCCCACTCCTGACCATCCGTCCCCGTCCGAACCGGTACACTTTATCACCGTTGGTGGTTTATTATTATCATATTTATGGGGATTCGATGCCGTAGCCCATCCCAGCCACGGCCATCGTCGTGGGCCCAAGGGTCCCCAGCAGCCTCAACCCCCCCTGTCCAGTCTCCCACGTCGCCGCCCCCGTGGTAGCAGCCGACCCTTCCCATCACCCGATTCCCCGATCGTTTGAAGTCCTGGCAAATGCCGCTACCTTGCCCAGCATGTTGAGCTGCGAGAGCAGTTTGGAGAGCACAGTGCCGCTGTCGTCTTTTCAGCTGTTCCAGCGAGCGCTGCGGGCACACACATACCCCAACAACCATGTGTCAAACGAATCCTAACCACCACATTTCGATGCAACTCTTGTGTTGTGCAATGTATATAAGGCATTTTAGGTGCTAATCATGTGGCTCCAACACGCATCCATATATATTGCACCCCCACACTCGGCATTACAGGTTCCACAGACATGTTATACTACGACAACGTTTTCACTGGCTTTAGTTGTTGTTGTTGGGTGGAGTGTCGCCGGAGAAGGGCGGGGGGTCGCGTGACGGAGGACGGGGGAACGGGGGACGTGGTTGTTGTGTTTGATAAGGAATGGGGTTTATACGGGGGCTGCATGGCCCTCCACTTCTCGCAAAGTCGGTTAGCATACCGAGACACGGAAAAGTACGGCGCATACGTGGCAGCGTCTGCGGCGGGGTAGATTCGTTCAAAATGCCCGACGCGATCGGCTTCGTCTTCCATGGACAGGACAATATCCCAGTCGTCTTCTCGGAAGAGCGCAATGTGCTGTAAAGTTAACGACCGGATGTTCGGGTCATGGAGAACTTCAAGCAGTTGTTTGCGGGCCACAAGGGGGGACTGCATCGACTTGGGGGGTTTGTTGGGGGTCGGGCTGGTACCGGCGGAGAGGGCGGCTGCGGATTTGGAGGAGCGAATGAGCGGCGGAAGGTCCGCGTGGGGAGGCGATGACGAGGAGGTCGGCGCTGGATGCCCCACGAGGTGAAAGATGTCACTCATGAGCAAGCCCTTGATACGCTTATCCAGCGGCGACGATCCCATGAGCGACGGCGACACGTTCACTTCAATCAGCCACGGCTCCAGTGCCGAGTCGACCATCAGGTCAAACCCAAACAGTTCGTAGCACACATTCCGGTGCTTGACAAACGTTTGCGTGAGCGGCGTGATGTGCGCTTCGGCAGCGATGAGAGTTTTGCAGATGATGGCTTTCATTTTCGATCGGAGGACGTCCACGTCATGGCCTTGATCCTGTATAGAAAGATATCATTCACGTTGATGTTTCGTGAAATAGCAATCCAACGATGGGATGGATGGTGGCCAACGACATAAGGTACAAACCACACCCTACAACATCTACCAACACTAGATTCACGGGACTAGTATGCAAATACTGCTGTCTACCGGTAGATAAATTATTGGGGACGCAGTTGTTCCATCACCAACTCAATCAGTTTTGATAAACAAGCAGCATAACGATCCAAATCAGTTCAAAGGCGCTGCCGAGTCTGTACCTCCAAATATGCCATGAGGGCTGTCCAACTCCACTTGCTGCCGTCCGTGTCCGTTTCGGAGGCAGACGCTTTGAACGTGGTGCTGGCTTTGTTGACGCTGAAGTTGGTCAAGTGCGCGAGTCGGTTCTTGAGCTGCGCTGGGGTGGCCATGGCGTACTTGACTGTACAGAACCGCGCGAGACCTTCTTGGAACAAGTAGATGCGCAGCGGATCAAAGCTTGTGACCAGGACGTAAATGCGAAGGTCAAACTTGAACCCGTTGATCAGGTACGGCGACGACACGTAGCGCTGGACGACGAGTTTCTTGGCTTTTTTCAGAGTGTCCACCTACATGTCCATTATATATCGTTACAAAGGCAATCGCATTAGGAAGGGTTGTACCTGGGAGGCGTGGATGACCTTAATCCCGCGGCCACATGCGGACGCCGGCGGTTTGACAATCCAAAGCGACTGCGAGAACGACGACGTTGCTGACATGGCGTCGCGGTCCAAACACCGGAGAAACATATCGCGCTGGGATGGCAGGACGTACCCGTCGGGAATGAAGCTGTAGTCGGCTCCAAACTTTCGCTTCATGGCGACCAGCGCCTTCATGAGGCGATCCTTGCGCCCAATCACCCACGGATCAGGAAAGTGGTTGATCCGTTGGTGGGGCTGCAGCAGCTTGAATTTGCTCCTCGGCATGTGCTTGACCCACGCGGCGGTCCACTTTTTGCCCGCGTGGACACGCACGAGGCCAGCGCGGAAGAAGGCGTTTTTGATACAATTGCGCTCCCAATAACTCTTGAACAACACAGGGGCCGCCGTCGTCGCGTCGACGTCTTCCACGACGATCCCGGCGCCGTACGTTCGAGTGACATGTAGATCCAAGGGGTAGTCGAAGCACACGACGGCCGGCCGATTGGGATATCGGCTGTGCATTACTTTCATGCTTACCGACGCGGCCGACGGGCTCTCGGGGGTCGACTCGTCGTCGTCCTCCTCCTCGTCCTCTACAGCATCCTCGGCATCCTCACATGCATCTTCATGATCGCCTTCTGTAGATTCTACATCCTCCTCAGCATCGTCTTCGTTGACAACAGCGTCGGATTGGTTGATCGCGGTGGTCGCAGCAGTTGCATCAAGGCCAAGTCGAGGTACGGGGGTGCTGCTTCCTCGTATCAGCGTGGTAGAGTTGTTGCTGACCACAGCATCCGTGCATCCCTTCATTCGTGCATGTTCTAGTCGCTTCCGCATCCCAACCCTCGCCTCCGTCTAGGTAGGGCCGACGACGGCGGCGGAACTCTTGAAAACGTTTCACGATCGGTTTCAACTTGGTCGACAACGATTATCCGGATCCGTTGAATTATCCGAATGACGACATTTTGTTTGTATCTATCTTATCCGTATTTCGAAGCTACGTTTTCATTGGCCAGAATCTTTCCGAGGCCACAGTTCTCCGAGCCCGCCGCAAGCAACGCAGCGCATCGCATCATGGGGTTCTCCTTCCTTCCAGCACCTACGCGATCCTACGAGGCGCCAGCGGCACCAAAGCCGCGGGCAGCCCCTGCACCAACGGCATCATCGTCCACCGCTGTGAAGAAGTTCCAGCCGACACCACGACCCCCGCAGCAAATCCCAGCGTACCCGCACCGTACCAAGAAGCAGTATTCGCCGCGTGATCCCGCAGCGGACTTTGGCGATGGCGGTGCGTATCCCGAAATTCACATATCGCAGTTCCCCTTGGGTCTGGGGAAGAAAGGCGGTGGCGAGGAATCGAACGTGTTGTCGTTGCAAGTGAACGAGAGCGGGCGGGCCGCGTATGACGCGATCGTCAAGAAGAAGAACCAAATCGTGTACAGCAGCTTCAACGACTTGGTCGAAAAGGATGTGGGGGAGGACGCGTTGGCGAAACCGACCCTCGAGGAAGAGCAGGAGGTCGCGGAGAAGACGCGCGCCGCTTTGGAAGCGTTGGTGACTGGCAAAATTGCCGCCGCGCACCCCGTGAACGTGGACCGACAGAAGAACGTCAAGGAGACGTCAACGTACATCCGCTACACGCCGCACGACCAGGGCTTGAATGCAGACAGCGAAGTGCCGAAGCAGCGCATCATCCGCATGGTGGAGGCGCCGGTGGATCCAATCCAACCGGCCAAGTTTAAGCACAAGAAGGCGGTGCGTGGGCCGCCGTCGCCGCCCGTGCCGGTGATGCACTCGCCACCGCGCAAGTTGACGGTGATGGATCAGCAAGCCTGGAAGATTCCGCCATGTGTGTCCAACTGGAAAAACGCCAAGGGGTACACGATCGCATTGGACAAGCGGCTGGCGGCGGACGGACGCGGGTTGATGAAGGTGACTGTGAACGATCAGTTTGCATCTTTTGCCGAGGCGTTGGCGATCGCCGAGCGAAAGGCGCGGGAGGAGGTGAACATGCGCATCCAGGTGCAGAAACGACTCGATGCCAAGCAGAAGGAAGCAAAGGAGGTCGAGTTGCGCGAAGTGGCGGCCAAGGCACGGCAAGAGCGAGGTGGGGGCGGTGGCGCCAGCCATTACGGCGGCGCGTCCGATCGCAGCGACGACGACGACGACGACGAAGGCCGCCGCGAGCGCGACAAGATGCGCTTTGATCGGCGCCGCGAACGCGAGCGCGAGATGCGCCTAGAGAACCTAATGGGCAAGAAGGGCAAGCTGGCGCGGGATGAAGATCGCGACGTGTCGGAAAAGATTGCATTAGGGCAGCTCCAGGGCGGCGGCAAGCGCAGCGACGCATCGTTGTTTGACTCTCGGCTGTTCAACCAGTCGCAGGGGATGGACAGCGGCTTTGGCGGCGAAGACGACTACAACGTGTACAGCAAACCCATGGTGGACCGCGGCAAGTCGACGGTGTACCGGCCCAAGGTGGACGCGACCGCCATCGACGGCGACCGCGAGTACGACGACTTGAAGGCCGGCAGCGCCAAGCGGTTCCGCGCCGACAAGGAGTTCCAGGGCACGGATCATGCGGCAAAACGATCTGGCCCGGTTCAGTTTACATATGACAACCAGCCCAACACAGGAGAGAAGAGTGAAGACGAAACGAAGGGAAGAGCAAGGGACCGGTCGGACTCGCCGCGACGAAGTCCCAGTCGCAGTCGATCGCGGGATGATGGTCGGCGACGACGACATGGGCGGTCGAGATCGAGGGAACAGACCCACAAGCGACCGCGTGAGTCGCCGGACCGGTCGCGGTCCCCAGATGCCCGACGCCGCCGCCAACGACGACATGATGACGATCCGTTTGGCGTCGATCAGTTCCTCGATGATGCGCGGCGCGGCGACTCGTCCCGCCACCGCCGTTAGGACGACAAATGATGACGACGACTTGATAAATATGACGATGCACGAGGATGAAAATTCCTCGCGGTGTTTGATTTAGTACTATTTCGTCCGTTGCAATCGAATTAATTGAACGAAATGCCGGTTGGTTTCAAGTGAAACGTGTACAAACGTACGTGGATTTTTATAAAAATACACAATGTAGAGATGAGGAAAAATCCCAAGGAATGGGTCAAATAAGCAGGCAAAATCCCAGGTTGGGATTGATCGCAAGCTTCATCGCGCGGGAATTGATGGGGTGCCGCTGTGTAGTGTCGATGGAGGTGCTCATGGGGCCAGAGGCAGGCAAGGCAACGTCAGCGGTGGAACTAGGCCCTACGCAGCAGCTCGCCATCGGTCGGAGCAAGAAGTTTGTCCATGGCAAAGGACAGGCCGGCGGACTCCTTCTCACGACAGACTTGGACGTGTCGTCGAGACATGCGCATATCGTCGTGGATCCCGCCACGAATGTCGTGTGTATCCGAGACTGCAAGAGTACGAATGGCACGAAGCTCAACGACACGCCGCTTCCACCTGACGTGTTGCGGCCCTTAGCACACGGAGACACCATCATGGCAGGCTCGTCGCTCATCGTGTTCCGTGTCCATCAGCGGTGCCTGTATTGCGACTCCGGGAAGAGCGCCGTCATTCCCCCTTCGACCGTCGCTATTGCATCTTCCTCCGTCGTTGTTCCTGTCCACGAACCAGCAAATCAGTCCATGCAAGACGGCGTCGTGTCACCAGCGTTGAATGTTGCATTGCCGTCGACGAACGTGACCCCTCATGATGTCGAATTCGAGTCGGACTTCGTCGCGCCGCCGCCGCCGCCACGTCCGCCTAAAGTCGTAGAGCCCACCCACAACTGCATCGTGTGCCACGCATCTCTTTGGGGTCTTGATTCCACGGTGCGGAAGGCAACTTGTTCGTGATGACCATGAGGAGTTGATTCACGTTACACACTTGCATCTACAGGCTAGACAAGCGCATGTGAATGATTGCTTGGATGGAGCTCCACTCTCCAAGAACCGGCGGCACATGTCCGCGGACAAGCATCAGATGGAGCTCGCGGTGGCGTTGTCTAGGTCGGTGGTGGCGGAAGACGTGGAATGTGCGGTGAGTCGAGGCATGTTAGAGCGGGAAATCGCAGACGTCGACGCCTCCATTGCCAAGTTGCAGGTACTGTCATCTCCTTGTTTGTTTTGTCATGCTGAGAATGTGTGTGAATGTGTGAATGTGGGTAGAAAAAGCGACTGGCGTTGATGCGAAAGTTGCACAGAAACTCAAAGCAAACACGACGAGTGGCGCCATCCAGCATTTTGCCGCCGCAAGTCGTCGCGCAGTGGGATGTCCCCGCCGTCCTTGCCGACCTCTTCCCTCCGTCCAGACGAGTCCTCGGCAGCAGAACCATCTCCCATCAAACACATGGAGATGATGGTGGCAAACACATCATGCGACACTGTTGTCGTCCGCTGTGGCAATATGCCGCCCAAGAACCACAAGGTGGCCCAGGTTTGGTCGTGCCGAGTCTGGCGCCGTTCTTTGCGCAGTTGAACAATGCTGCAGAAAGCGCTCCGTTCGAAGTGCAGACGACGTTTCCAGCTTGGAAAGAGAACTTGACGTTCCTGGCCTCGTGTTCAGTGGCTAGTGTCGAGGCAGCCCACGCCCGACTGCGTGCGGAAATGACCAAGCTCAAGGAGGCAGCGGCAACTGATGACCCAAATGCCGCCAACATGGCTGTGGTGTACAAAGCGTTGGAGTACTTTGACCAGCACATGCAAAGCACCATCCTACACAAGACCCGCCAGAACGATGTAGGCGGGGGCGGCGCCACCACCGCCACCGTGATGACAACAGGTGACGACGCCGTTCCAGTCCCCCGTGGTGGTGACAACGACTGCGATCATGGAGGTGATGGTTGTGATGGGTTTTGACAGGATGTTCGTTGTATATGATATTGCGAGTTGGTTACGACTACACATACCCTACCTGTACAATGGTGCTCGACGACGACGACGACCGTCAGGACGTACACGACGACCTGGTTTTGATCTCCCGGTCCAGCGTCCGGTACTCGTGCAGCACACGCAGCGCCGCGGCCTTTTTGGCCGCTGCGTCGGGGCTGTGGAGGACGCTCCGGGATGCAAAGATGCTGCTCTTCGACGCCTGGGCGTGCAGTTGCTTGAGCAAGAAAAGCTGCTCGCCTTTGGTTTCAAGCTCGTCGATGGTGCGCTCCAGCGTCTTGCCCACGCCCGGACTGTCCACTGTCCCCACCAGGCCCTTGTACCTACAGGCAGTCTCTCAATCTATATACTACTAACTACTAGTACTCGTATGTATGTACTAGTAGTAGTAGTACTAGCAAACACCGTTCTAGTGGTTTGTACCGTGCATTGAGGTGGTGAAACTCTGCGTCGACGCTCTGGATAGCTTTATTCAACGTGTGCAAGAAGCTTGCTTTGGTCGGTTTCGTATCCCCTCGTGCTCCAGAGGATGTTGTATCCACCGACAACAACCCGCCACCGCCGCCCGGCTCTGCCGCGTTGTGCTGGTCCTGGTCGTCGTCGGAATCGGCTGGGCGGCGGCACCACGTCGGCGGCGCTGTGTGATGGAGCGGGGGGTGGACGTCGGGGGCGACGGCATGAAACGCATCCGACTGCCGCAGCGCTTCCTGGGCGTTGCCAATGACTGAAAACGACCGATGTGTGGACTTTCCCAGTAGAAACGGCACCACGCCCTTGTTGGCAAGCTCGAGCTGCGCCTTATTGTTGGACTTGGGTTTCGTGGAGCTCTTTGACTTCTTCTTCGACGGCTTGCGGTCACTGGACGACGGCACAACACGTGCTGCTTTGGACGACGCCCGGCTCGCGGCGGTGCTGCGTGTGACGACGTTACGTGGCGGAGACGCTGTCGCAGATTTCGACGATTTGGTAATAGTGTGTTGTTTCGCCAACGGTTTGGCCTTGGTCCACAAGTTGTGCACGAGTTTTTCATTCAGCTGGGCCATCTGAGATACGGTTTTCTACCGAAATCATCCAAGAGGATAGATATAAGTCGATATACCAAATCGAATCGATCGACGAATCAAAACGCAGAACATTAATCAAGTAGCCAATCAAATCCACGCTTCGACCAATATAACATCGAATTAGTGTGCGACTGAAATTAGTGTGAGACTGGCTGGCGATCTTTACGTAAGTACAACCAAAGAATCGATATATTGATAGATTTGGTGAATCAGTACAAAAAATCAAAATCGGGGTATAAGAGTAATAATATATATGTCGAGATATGCCGTCATCACTTGCATACTTCCGTGTCGTGCAGACGACCTTCAAGCGACGCGTTGGCATCGTGGACTCGCTTGAGCTGTTCCTCGAGCGCGTGCACTTGGCGCGCCGTTTCCTTTCCCGACCGGTTCGAAGCATGCAGCGCTTCCTGCAACTCAACCACGCGCTCCTTGGACTGGTGGTTGGCTTCGGTCAGTTCGGCTTGGACTTTGCGAACGTGCGACTCGAGCGACGCCGTTTCAAGCTATTCGACGACATATGTGACACTGTCGAATCAGTAATGACGACAGGAACAAGAGCGTACGTACGTTGGCCTGTTCGCATTTGTCCTTGAACGACGCGACAACGTCGTGGAGGTGGTCTATTTCGTTGGCTTGGTGAGTCGCACGGAGGTTGGCTGTCGCGAGTTCCGCCGTGAGCGAATCGCGCTCGATTCTACCATGGCATCGCACATGAGGAGGATGGAGCAACGACGACAAACGACGAGTACCGCAGCACTTCGTACGCAGCGTGCGCGGCGTCCTTGCCCTGCGCGAGCTCGTATGCAGCCTTCTTGGCCGCGCTAAGATGCTGCGCTTCGTTGGATCGTAACTGGGCCTTCAAACTCGCGCATTGGGACTCCAGCGTCGCCTTTTCCTCCTCCAAGCGTCGGTTCTTGTCCTGCAGCGCCTTCAGCGCCGACAACACGGCCTTGCTGTTCGCAGCGGCGGACGTGGACGACCCAGGGTTGCCAAATGATGATTGAATCGGAAGTATCGGCGATGGTGTCGTCGATGCTTTGGCTGAACAGTCAGGAGAGACACTCGACGACGATGAGGAGTTGGAGTGTGTGGCATAATTTGTCAAGCGATCGATCGCCTTTTGGTTATCAAAGGATGACGGTGGTGTGTGGAAGGAGGATGTTGGGGACGACGATGTCGGTGCGAACAGCGAATGGATCTTCGGGGCGCCATGCGATGGATGTTCGTCCGCAAGACTGAGTCGTCTTAGCGTGTCTTTCAGCTGCTGCAGCTCGCTCTGCGCAATGCTCTTGGACGTGCGCATGGTCGTACTCTCCATGGACACACCGCCGCCGCCGCCGCTGAAAATGCTTCGATAAACGAACGACCCACCAAGATAGATTTTTGATGATATGTCTGTCATTTTAACCAAGAAGTTTCGAAATAAGTGCACGATTTTACGGTAAATTTCAGCTTTTTTCTGTACATTTCCATTGGAATGACGTACGAAATCTCCAATGATATCCTTTTCCTGCATTTAATTTCACGTGAATTTCGTGTTAATATTTCAGTAAAAACAATACAGTACTGTACTGTCTTTTTATTTCAGTTTTCGTCATATATTTTACCAAATCTGCGATATACTTCGATCGGCTATCACAAATCGCAGTTTCTTCGGTAACGTTATGTTTCATGCAGCCCGACTCTGCGCCACATCTCACGAGTCGACCTATTGTACAAGGTAAGTACCTGTGCTGCGATGCTGTCCTTACAAGCGCATCCGGTATGTATGAATCTCCTCGTGGTTTCAGCAGTACGTACCGCCTTCTGCTGCCGTGCATTGGGCAGCTCTTGCTAACTCTTGCACAAATGAAGTTTGCGAGAGGAGCCCAAGGCACGGCAGATGTGCGTAACGGACAACGAGATGACGTATGATACGTGTATGTTGCCACTCAACTTGTCACTTGTCGACACTATGGAGTCGTGGCCCATGCCTACGACAAGACACATCGAGCAAGCAGGGGCGTCGAGGCAGCTCGTTACCTCGTGCTCTCCGGAGGGTCCAAAATCTCGAAGTAAATGATCAAGTAGAGCGAGCAAAACTCGATCGTTTCTGCTCGCTCAAACACATCGATGGGGCCCATTGCCTCGGACCGCAACGACGTGCGAATGCGGTGGCGGATGGCCACCGTCGTGCATTTGATCTGCTGAGGCTTCAGAAAGTCCTTGAACATGTGACAGCAGCAGTGCATTGAACTGACTGGATAACTACAAACATGCACTTGATGAAGTACAGCCTGTAGTGAATAGCAGAACTCCAACCTGATATTCCAACGTGGCTCTAAATCAAGTCGATGAATGCCCTACCGGCTGAGCTCGGGGTCGGCGTAGTAAGCGGCGTGTACAGAGTGTCATGAGTGAGTCGCTCTATGTAGCTGTACAGACCTAGGTGATTCATTTGGGAAAACTTGCAGTGTTCAACTAGTTTTCTGTCGCAGCAATCATTCACAAGGCCCTTGTGGATGAGGGTTTCTAAGTTACGACAATTTCGGGATGTAGCTGCCGTTAGCAACACACTGCCCACGCGATTCCCCGGGTTACATTTGCAGCGTTTCCCACTTGCGAGCCGCACGGTGTCGACCTGCACCCCATTGTCAAGCCTTCCGCCTTTCGCCGCGCCAGCTCTGCCATCGCATTCCAACTCTTCTTGCGGACATCCTGTAGCACAATCTCATGAGACAAAGCTACTTTGCCCATCATGACGTTATGTAGGTAGCTAGCTACCCAGCTACCGCAAACTTTCCGGACGATGGCGACGACGTCGGCATGGTCGCATGCATAATGCACTTCAAAGCACTCGAGTGCATCCAACCACCCATCAATCCACACCCCCTTCTTGTCCCCGTCAGCCTAGAAATACATTCATACTCGTCAGCAAGTCAAAGGACGCCATTGCGACGACGATGACAACTTACGGCCATAACGCTTGCAATGGAGTCGACGTCGTGGGTCCTGTTGTCAACAGTGTCAAGACGCACTGCACGTTAGCTCCTGAAGTTGCAGGCGCCAAGTGTCCACGGACGGTACTTGATGCAGAGCGTAACATGGGTCTACCGTGAACAACGGACGTGAGAGGTGACGACTGGGTCTTGAGTAGAGATTTCACCTTTGTTTGAAGCTGCGTCCACGGCCCTGAGCTTGAGCTCGTGTGTGCTGGAAGGTTGAAATCCTAAATGATCTCACATCCTTGTTGGCCCAAATCTAAAAATAGAATGAAATACAAACACGAAGTAAAAGTACAGGTCGTTGAACTTGCCTCGCACACTGTCGCGTTTCCGACAAGGAAAATCACGTGTCACCACATCCCATGACGGGTTGAGCACGCGCCCCAGCCTCCGGCTTATCGTCGGCCGTCTCGTTTCCGGTCATTGATGAGGACCTGGCCCGGCTGCGAATCCTGTGGCCCAGCTGATCCGTCGGGGTGTTAATTTCAGCCATGATGGGCAGCAAGTACTCTAGTCGTTAGCGTCGCCAGTGATGTACGTCCGCATCTTTAAAGGACACGTAGGCTCTGTTCGCCGAGCGGCAATCGACGACGCCTTGCGTCTCGCTGTAGTGCCATGCGCTCCCAGACCAAACCCAAGACGTTCATGGAGCGTGGAGCCACCAATGTCTCATAGCAGGCTGCAACCACGCACTGTCGACGAGCGCGGCCGTCGCCATGAAGCGGTGTCTGCAGTCCCTGTCACTTGTTTTCGCAGGGCGTTGCTACTCCAACTACTTGTATGTATCGGCTGAGGTCTGTATTTGCTCTGACGAGAGATATGGCGCTGGCGTTCGGGTTGCAGTGGCGGACGACAACCGCGACTTCGGAATGCGTGGTATGACGATGGACGTGCAGCATTGCTCTCGACGGCGTTGAACGAATGGAATGTATGTACCCCCCCGAATGAAGTCGGATGACGTTGATCGTGACTTACTTACTTTATGCACTTCACAACGACAACCAAAAACGAAATGTGTTTGTGGAGAATCCAGAACAACCCAACGATCTTCAAACTCGATGTAGATTACACGTTGTCTAAATACATTTCATGTGGGCTAAATAATATTCCATGCCACTAGGGCCATCATCCTCATGCTGCCGGAATCAACCGTTTCGCAGGATTGTGTTCGTCATCTGAGGACGACTCGGTGGACTCGTCGCTGGCCGATGCGTCTTCCGTCTTCCTTAACTGCGGAGTTGGTGCAGAGGCTGTAGGTGGGAACTTGGTGTACAGCATCGTGCTGAGCGTGGCCAGCCCCGTCGCGATGTAGCCGGTGACGCCAAACTCGGTCTCGTTCACAACCGACTCGCACGCGGCGGTGAGCAGCAGCCCGCCCACGACAGCAAAGCTCTTCTTGATGTTGCCACTGTACTTGATCACAAACCCCACTAGAACACCGCCCAACGCTTGGACCAGCAGCGTCACAAACGTCATGAAGGTCCACCCAGTCCACAGGGAAGCCGCCGCCGCCCCCTCGTCTTGATGAGACGTCGACGAAGAAGTGATGCGGTTCGCTACATTCGACCACACGCAGCATGCAATGTTGATCGCACTCAGCTCCAGCGTGACCATGTACGCGTTCCTGGCTTCTTTCTGCAGCGCTTTCTGGATGATTGTGCCGGCAAACGCCGATAGCACCGCGGCGATCGCAGCCCGACCCATGCCTGTGACGCGCAGCACGTCATCTTCTATCGAAGACTTGGCTTGGCTTCCGTCGTGTGAGTGTCCGCCAACAGCGATCAGCACGGCGGACGCCACGAGCACCACCAGCGCCACGATCTGCACACTCGATTGCTTCTGGCCCAGCATGACGTACACCAACAGCGCAGTCCAGATGATTTTGGTCTGGTTGAGCACATTGTACGTGACCCCGTCGAGAATCACCACTGCTGTTTGATTCAGGTAGTCCTGGACCGAGTAGATGAGCGCCGGAAGTACGGTCGTGCGGAGCGCGACGCGGGACGACCACGACGAAAACTCGCACCGCCACTCGCCGGACCACACCAGCGGCACCAACGCGACGAGAATCTTGAGGATGCCGATGACCGTGATGCGGAGAGACACATTCGTTGCGTCCTTTGCGTACCATTTCATCAGCTCTGGTTGGATGCCGATCTGTAGCGCCAAAAGGACGAGGAACACCGAGCTCTTCAACGACGACGCCGACTTGTTCCTTGTGATATTGGACGATGCTTGCTTCTCAAGCCTCGACGGCGTCTTCTTCTTGGCTCCATCGGTGCTGCTGCAACGAAGCGTTGCGTGTGCAGTCGTCGCCATCGTGACAACGGCTACGCCTTCCATGATGGCCAGTTCACTTTTGCACGCTCACTCGGATGTCGCGTGCACTCAGTTGTCAATTTTCGACAAAAAGGGGGAAACAGTCAAGCATCGAGACAAAAGAGGGTGAGAATCAGTGGACAGTCGTTCGCAATAAACATCACATTTCAGAAGAATAACCAAGTGTGTCGGAAACTCCTTAACGCGTTTCGACCTAATAACTACAGTAGTAGTAAACGCTATCAAGCAATTGACTGCTTGTCGTGGGCTATAAACAGTCCGCTACAGACCCGCCACTTAGTGCGTACTATAGTACGTTAGTTCTGTAAAGTTGTGCGTACCGTATAGTGTATATGTATTGCGACGGAATAATCTATTGCGGCTCCTGTATTGTGCTTTCGAGTGAAATTTCATTGTGTTGTGGCGTGGTATCTCGTTGGAATTTAAATCGATTTGATTGGCTACCTCAGATGAGCTCAAAATTATTAGCCAATCAAAACCTTCTCAATGAAATTCAACCAATCAGTTCGATTGTGGATCGGTTTGGTCGGCGCGATTCGATTGCACCCCTCCCCAAAATTGTATCAAATCGACAATAATAACTGATAATTTTCTTGTAATAACTGAAGTTTACTTGTGAACATGCTGGTTGTGAAATATCACCTGTCGCAATACATATACACTATACGGTAGTTCTGTGTAAAGTCTGCAACAATCTCACACCGAATTGTTCAAAATATATTCATAGATGGTGAGAGCTTATGTTGGGTGAGTTGTTTAGTTGGCTTACAGCATCAACAACGACGTCAACGTCCTGTGATTGGATGAAAGGTTTGTCATCGTTTCTGTTTTCACCGCATTCTTCAGATTTCGACATGAGCAACACCACCACGTCGGACGCTGACATCGTGAACGAGCGCGTGCTGGAGTTAGAGCGCGTCCTCCTTCGACTGGGACTCACAGACGATGCGAAGCTATGTGACGTCCTTCGCCTTCTTCTCCCACAACTCTTCCAGCGGCTTGTCACCACTGCCGCTCCTGCCGTCTCGGCCAAGGTATGAAGTTTGGCCATTCTCGTCGATTGCTGTCACACTTGCCTTTTGCTACGTAGATCCTCGAGATCTTCAGTCATCTCGTAAAGCGGTTAAAATCGTTTCCGTCGACACAGATCGTGCTGCCGGTCGTGGCGCTCTTGCCGTACGTGGATCCAGCGCCGTCGGATACGTCCGTACCAGCTCTACACTTGACGTACGCGCGCAACTTTTCACTTCTTTTCGTGGAAATGGGATTCGGGGGATGCCTGTCCGTGGACCTCAAAGCAGTTGTCCTCACGACGATTGTCCGCGGCATGGCCACCAAATCGTCGGCGTACCACGATGTCGTGTTTCGGTTGTTCGTGCACGTGTTCCTGTGGCAAGACACGGCCGTGACGTTGGATGACACGACACGATGGAGTCGTCTCGACGTCGCGGTGCTTCTCGACTTCTTTCTCGACCTCATGCTCTGTCCGTCGTCATCCCAGTCCGCACCACGCACGGAACGCTTGATGCGCGCCAAAGTTGCATCCCTCGAACCCGCGTCGCGAACACATGTGCAGTTGAAGTTGGTGCAGTTCCTCAAACAGCATGCCACGTCATCTCCAGACCCGACGACTCCTTCCAACATGGACGCATCGGCGTGGTACGTTCACATGGCGACGGGGGCAGCGGCGGGCCACCACTCAATCGCAACGTACTGCCAGGACGAGCTATCTCGTCTCAACAAGTACCACCTTCCAGCTCTGGACACTGCATATTCGATCGCCCCGATGTGTCATTTGATCCTTGGCTCGTCCATACCTGCGCCGGATGACGGCGGCTCGGCCTTTCTGCCCCGCCAGCCCCTTCCCGACTTGGTCGCGCTCGCGCTTGTCCCAGTCCTCTTGCAAGCCAAATCCGTGGCCACGGATTGCTTTCCCCTCAACTTGCAAGTCGTATGTACGTTTCTCTTTGGCGACAGTCCCCAGCGGCCCCGCGCCGTCAAAGCCAACGTCCGCAAAGCCGGCATGGACTTGTGTCTATGGGTGCTCATGCATAGCCCTGACGCGATCCTCCACGCGGCGCTCGGCCCTGTGCTGTTTTCCCCGCTCCTGAAACTTGTCACAGACGACGACAATAGTATGACGTCGGACGAAGTACCAGCGAATGTGCGACACGAGCGCAACGTGGGTGTGTACACTGCGTTTTCAATCCTCGCTAGACGAACCCCCGCCCTCGTGGCGGCGACCCCCGAAGCCTTCCAACGACTCATGTACCGCGCTATGGTTGAAGAAGAGCGAGGGCGGTCCGGCAGCGCTTGCCTCGAGGCGCTTCGGGCCGTGTGCGCGGCGTACGTCGGGGCACACGTGCCCGCAACCGTGACGAACGTGATCAAGCGGGAGCTGACCGAGTTGGCGTCGTCGTCCAAGGTGCAGACGCCGACATTCGACCGGGTGCGCGGGGTTTTGGCTTACTGGGCGTCCCACATGCAGTTCCAAGGCTGTAGTGGTGATGGAGGAGGGGGGGACTTGACGATGCGCGTGGTGTGTCTTCGGTTCGCGGGGGATGGCAGCGACCAAGTGCGGGAGGTTGCGAGGAAGGCCGTGTTCGAGGTGCCGCTGCCGCCGTTCGACAAAACGATGTCGTTGCTGGGTCCCCAGCTGCCGTCGATGGCCGCAGGTCAACCACGGGTCGTGCTAGAGCTGGCACTGGCGTTGTGTGTCGGCAGTTTGCAAGCGGAGGATGATGCGCGGCGGCACGACGTGCAGCCGTTGGTAGATGCGTGCATGGCGTTGTTAGCTGGTTCACACAAGGCGACTGCCGCAGAAACTCTCGTGACGGTGATCCATCGCATGCGATTGTGCGAGTTATCGGTTGATCAAGTGAGTACGATCACACATATGATGCTCCACGACGGGGACGACGGCGTGCGCGAGCTCATGGCGATCCTGCTGGCGACTCCATCAAGAACCGCCGATTGCTTTCATGCACAAGTGCAGGCGTTGACGGCGCTACTTGCGGACGACCCACAACATGCATGCCCTTCGTCCGAAATGCACGGCGCGCTGAGTGGCTTAGGCATGCTCATTCGATCCAACAAGGCGTACCCGCACAAACAGGCCGTGGCTACCATCGTAGCCGACACTGCGTCGGTTCACCTAGGCAAATTCGTTCAATATGCAATGATACGCTTTGACCACGGGTGCAAACTCCACAGCGACGTCGTATATGCCAGTCTCCAGGCGCTGGGGGCGATGGGTAACCTCGCTGAGGTGGGCACGGGAGCAGCCGTGCTGGACGTGGTGGTGCGCGTGCTCACGCTGGCTCCGACGCCGCCGCCGTCCGACAGCGCGACCGCAACCCTCAAACTGCGCGCCATGCAAACCCTCGGGTGTCTTGTGTACGGGTTGCCACTCGACGACGACGAGGTCTTGAATCAAGTGACGAGCGCCGTCGTGGCCACTTTGAAACGTGTGGCCGATACGCGCGACGCGTGGTTTCAGTTTCAAGTTGCCACCATGTTGGCGGCATGGGGACATGTCTTGTCGGATGACGTGGCAGCAGCAGCAACCACGTCGGGATCACGTCGGCAGAATCGCGTGACCCGCGTACTCGACGAGGTGTTGGCGGGCATATCGTCGGCAAACCCCCACGTCCGCAACAGCGCCGCGATTTGGCTGTTTGGCATTGTCTCGTCGTCTGCCAACACGAAGCGCGACCACGAAGTCCGTCTAGAGAACGAATGGACGCGGCAGATTCGGCCGCGGATGCTCTTGTTGCACGAGCTGTTGGTGGACCTGTTGAATGAAAAGTCAGCATTGACGCAAGAGTGCGCAGTCAAGGCGTTGGCTATGCTGTTTGACCAGGCTGCGATACAGGACAACGGAGAAGCCAACATCAGTAGTAATGGCCAACAGGCTGCGATACAGGATGATGGCATTGGTGGTGGTGGGAACGTCCAAAACAGTATGAGCGACTCGCTGTTCAAACGACTTAAGTGTTTCCGGGCCTTTGTCGACTCGGCTGGTCCGTCCGCCGCCTCTGCGACACCGTCAGCCTCCGACCCATCATCGACCGCAGCCAACACGATTGAAAATGCGTGTTACCGTGAAGTGAGCAATGTGGCGGCGGACGTCGGCGATGCCAGCGTCATGTACACGCTGCTGTACTTGAGCACGAACGACCCCATGTGGGACCTCCTCCTTCTCGGCGATGGCGACCTCTCCAAGGGAAACCTAGCTACTGCTGCTCGTACACAACCCGATCCTACGAATGAACTCGCCTCCTCTACAACCATTGCCAGCGTGATTCGACTGCCGTTGAACGTCGTCACAGCTGACCGCGAGTTTGGGGCGTTGCAAGCACACAAGGCGCACTCGGAATGGCATGCGTCGGCGATTGCGGAGCTGCTGGTGCCACGTCTGTTTCTGCTCAAGAACCACCCAAACCCGAAAATCGGCAATTGCATGGCGCAGCTGTGGAAAGTGCTCGTGCATGGAAGTACGACGAGTGATGTTGTCGTCGTGGCTTCCACGATCAACCCAGATAAAGCCATGGCGAACCAGTATTACCAAGCGATATTGACATATGCGCTGCAGCGATTGGAAAGCAGCCTCAATTTCAAGTACCGCGAGGCAGCATGCAACGCCATGGTGGACATTTTGAATGGCCGGGACGCCGGCGACGTGCGCGGCCAGTTGACTCGGCTGTGGAAACTCACGGCGCGGGCCGTGGACGATGTCACCGAATCGGTGGTCGTAGCAGGTACAGTACAGTACCCCCTTCCCCATTCTCGTCATGTTGTTCATGTGTAACTAGGCATCAAACTGGTCAAGTGCGTGGGGGAGCTCAGTCTCCGCGTGGCAGCCGTGGACGGTGCCTGTTTAGACCATGTGCTTTCGTTTCTCGTGCGGGAGGGTATTTCCGCGTCCAACAAATTGTGCCAGGCGCTGTGCATGGGTTACTTGTTGCGGCTCATCAAAGCGATCCCGTCCATCCATCTGCAAGCGTACCTCTCGACGCTTCCCGTGACCTTGCTCCAGTGCATGTCCTCGTTGGAAATGCCAGAGTTACAGTATGCTCAATTCCACGTCCAAGACAAGCGCCAGCTGGAGAAGGCTCGTGTGTCGCTCAGCCAAGCTGGTCCCGTGGGCGAGCTCTTGCAAGCGTGTATGGCCCAGCTCTCGACGTTCGCAGCGTCTCAAGGTACGGATGATTTCGGCCGTGCTGTCTGTATATGTTTGAACGATATCGCATATGTGTTTGAACGATAGGCTGCGCCGCGGCCGCCCCCATCGTGCGGGACTTGTGCGACGGGGTTTGCACCGTGCTTCGCTCTGGCGTCGGTCTCAATACCCGCGTCGGGTCGGCCAACTTTGTCGCCACGTTGGTGACCGAAGTGCCTCTGGAGATGCGACACTGTGGCGCACCCGACAAGCTCCTCTTGCGTATCTTTATCCCTTTCGTCACCCACGCCGTTTTGAACGAAACGATTGACGATTCTCAGGACGGTTTGGAAGCAGACGGGGGGCTTCGCGATGGCCTCGTCATGCGCGCGTACTGCCGCGCGGCCGCGTATGTATCCAAGCTGGCGGCGCCGTCGACTGTGGCCAAGTATATCTGTGAAGGCATCCTCGCCGTTCCATCGACGATTGTGGTGGGAAGTGAAGGCAGCAGTACGACCGAGAAGGGGTTTGGGCGGTATGGGTGGGTCACGGTGACCGCGCTGCAAGAGCTTCTGGCTCAAGTCCCGCCGCCCTCGTCGTCGTCGGATGCTACGACAGACTGGTGTGCGGATGTGTTTTCGGTGGCATTTGTGGGGCAGTACTCGTCGCAGGCGTCGCTCGGTGTCGCGTGGAAAGCTGTGCTGGAGGCCATTCCGCCCACATTGCGCCACTCGCCTCAATATGCAGCCAAGACCCTCGCTTATGGATGTGAACTGATGTCGCATTTGTCGTGGGAGTGTCGAAAGCAAGGCGCGTCGGCGATCATCGCGCTGGCGTCGTCCCCAGAGTACGTGATTTCCGACTGGTCGTCTGCGGTGCACAAGATCAAGGCGTCGATTCCAGGACAGTTGTGGCGCGGCAAAGGTATTGTGCTCGAGGCACTGGGGGCCACGTACATCGTCACAGATTGTCACGACAACCACGAAAAGGAGGAGATGGTGATGATGCTCGTGAGCGAATGCGACCGCGCGATTCGAAACGGGGACATGTCGTACTTGGACAGTGCGATACAGAGTCTGGGCACGTTGGCAAGTGTTAAGTCGTCGCCGCCGTCATCTATCGACTCGTTTGTCGTGTTGAAAACGTTCTTCTTTGACGACACGTCGGAGATGGAATTGCCGCCCCTCGTACGAAAACGCATGTTTGAAACCCTCGGCAAGTGGTGGCCCGTCGACTGTGACACTGTTCGCTCCAGTCACGTGTTGGCGTGGCTGTGCAGTGTCGCAGACGCGTCGACGTACCCCGTGTGGAGTGTACGCGACGCCATGTACGGATGCCTGACGCACATCGTATCGCGTGCATCGTTTGATGCGCTGGGCACTCGTCAGACGATGGAAGCACTTGTGACAACGTGTTTGAACGGAGTGGGCGACCCAAAGTATGCCGCGGTGCGCCGATCGGCCCTGGGGGCGGTCGTGGCCCTAGCCAGTCGGCGCAATGACCAAGGTCTGTCCCTGGTAACTCTAGTGCCGTACAAGGAAGAACTGACGGTTGCTGCCACGCAGCTACTGCTCCACGACACGGAGCCATCCGTGTGTCATGCCGCGTCCGACGTGCTCGCAGCGTTGCAAGCCATGCACTAAGTGTCGGTGTTTGATTCACACATTTGGTTTTACAGCGTGGGAAACACAAGGATACTAGTACTACTACTACTACTTGGTTGTTGGCATGATGGGGGCTTAGTTGGAGTTTTTGTTTTCACGCGCTTCTTTGAGGGCTCGAATGCGATCCTTGATACGCTGGAGGAACTCGTTGTTGACGGTGCCGTCTTCCCCAAACTTGGGGAGTCCTTGGGCGGTCACGACAGCGACGAATATGGCGACTAGTAGTAACTTTTGCATGCTGGCGGCGGCAGTGGATACTGTTTGGAGGGGAGATAGATGGTAAAATTGAAACTGGTCGGTCACGTCGTTGAACCCTTAAACTCGGTGCCCCTTGGGGCATGAAACGGTCTGTAACGGTTCCCTGTATAAATAGAACGGCCACAGCAGTTTCAAGATTAGGGACCGTGACAGGATATGCGCACGTCGATAGAATGCTTGCAATAGTGGTCGCCAGGTTGGATGGTTAGAAACGTTGCTGCTAAACGACGTGGTTGGGGTGCTGGTTTTGCGTGTTGTTTTTCGTATATGGCTACGACTCTACAGATTGCCGTCGTCTTCTTGGCGCTGTTTCTTGAACTTTTCGATGCGCTCCTTGAGCCCCTTCATGTACTCGTCGGCATCGATATCGGCCCACGGGCGGGGAAAGTCGACATCCGCGGGGAGATTGCCTTGACCGGGTTGGGCTTGGACACCAACCAAAAGCGCCAGGCCGAGAACGAGAACCTTCAACATGCTGCTGCCTCGTGTGCTGGAATGACGACGATTTCGGAATGAAAAGACAAAGTGTTTGTGGGAAACCTAATATTGGAACCACCTGGCTTCTGAACGCTCGACGGTTTCAGCGCCGTTTTTGCAACTAATGAAAGGATGGCGAGCGCGCAACCGACAGCAGATGCTCGCTGGCTTATGACACACAATGCTACTACGTAGTATTCACTGTAAATAAACTCGCTACTCACGACGTGTAAGCTGTACGCGAACGTGCAACTCAAAACTAAGAGCAGTCGACACATCCCTTCACATATCAGAACGGACCAAGGTGGCCTCGACGCTAGCCGCCGCAGTCGTCCACAAGTTCTAAGATGTCTGAGGTATCCGACAGTAGGCCGTCGCACATGAGGTCCCTTGGTGCTTTGTCTCGGTGTTGTCGTACTGAGTAGACAACTTGGTGTGACGAAGAGCAGCTGGTCGATCATCCCGTTCCAGTCGTTCTACATGAAGTTGCAGCCCGTCGCGCTCGCGCGTGAGCAACTCGATATGGGCTCGAAGTCGCGCCACTTGGAGGTCATTCGTCTGGTTCACAGTCAGCTTGTTGACGATGCGGCGGGCGCGAGAAGCGTAGCCGAGGGAGTTGAGTGTCTCGCTCAAGTTGCGGTGCGCTGGGCTCACACAATGTGTGAGTATGAGGGTGTGGCTATTGCCACCGAGCGAGTCTTGCAGCAGCTTGGTCAGTTTCGAATCGCGGTAAGGGACATGGCGCTTGCCTTCGCTGAGCGCGTGATCACATTTCCGATTGCCAGTAAGCACTGTTGATGTCCACGCTTTCTTTGAACCGCAGCCCTTCGACCAGCGTCTTTTCCTGGCGCTCCGAGCCAGCCAAGTCGACGAAAGTCAACGTCGGCGTCCTTGTGGTCTTGATCCCAGACTGAACTTGTTGCTTGATGAACACCGTAAAGACCGACTAGACGCTGTGTTCATGCTGGTCTTACCCGTCTTTCTCGACAACGTGCCCTTCTGCAACAGACCCAGGCAGTCATTTGCACTTGAAATCCGTTCTTCGCACACACAGCAGTCGCTTGCGCGCGTGAGGCGCGCCAACGTCGGAAACAGCAGGTGCCGCATCTCTTTGCCGTACACTTCGACGAGGGTGACACCGAACTCGACGTGGTTGGAGGTATCGAGAGAAGTCTTGTCAAATAGCGCCCGCACCGCCGTCGGGATGATGCCGAGGGCGTTGGAGCCGTCGTTACCCATGGTGCAAGTCTTACCAGCCCGGTTTGTCCGTACGCAAACACCTAGAACCAATTGAGTTCTACTAGCTGTGGCCGAATGCGGAGGTGTACCTTGGCGTTGTGTCCGGCTAGAGAAGACCCGAGAAGCGGCGCGACGCAGCCAAAGACGCTGTCGTTGAATGCATCTTTGTCCAACACGTAGTCGTCCTGGAAAACTGCCGCGGTACCCGCTTCGAGTCTGTCATCACCACGACGGGTCTGACAGTTTGGACACGACGTGGTTTTTCAACGGTCGCATGCGAGTGACCACTTGGATGTTGGCTGCGCTAGTGGGCAGCATACTGGGTTTGTGCACCCCCTTTGCTAGCGACGACTTGATGGCCCCGAGGAAGCGGGACGACGGCTTGTCATCGATCGCTATCACGGGAATGAGGATGCCCATATGTTGTTGTGATTGGCAATGGACCAAGTTGAGGTTGGATGAATTGCCCAGATTTGCCAGATTTGGCTTGGTTTGCTTATACTGTAATTTAGCCACTTCTTGATACGCAATTATTGCGAGCATTTATCGTATTGTGCTTTTCACGTATTGTGCTTTTCACATATTTTGGCTAATCTGGGTATAAATACCCGCTTTTAACCAGTGGGTGACGAAGTTTTAGATTAATTCAACTTAGTTTTAGCTAATCGGAAGTACCTATGATTGGATGAGCAAGAGCTGTTCCTGCAGCATATGTTGCTAACCTGAAGCGTTTGCCCATTTCATTTCGGCAAACGCGGGGGTTTACAGAGTGGATTAACTAATACACGCGAGTGTGATTCTTGACTATGCTCGATAAAGGTTGATGTTGAGTGCTTCTTGCTCGACTTGTCGTGCCAACGAGTTGCTAACAAGCTGGCTGCAAAGCTCGTGTGAGCTGGTGCACTGCGAGCTTACCCCAGTAGGTCATTACTCTGCATGACTGCTTGGCCACGGGAGTTAATAAAACGAAGTAGTTTTAGTAAAACAACGCAAGTTTTAGATCAGCCAATGACAGAACGATGGGGAAGCTTACTTTTACGTCGAGTGCAACTTCAGTTTAGATTAAACTTTGGATGGTTTTAGGAGCTAAAACAACGGGCAAAATATGTGAAAAGCACAATAATAAATAGAGGTGTTTAGCAGGATGCTCCAGCTTCAACTGCTCTTTACTACACAGTCAATTCGCTGCACTGAGTGGTCGTCGGCTACTGGAACTATACCTGGCTTGCCCTGGCCTTTGACCTTAACAAAACATCACATCTATGGCACTGCTGGCCTTGTAGCCGCCGATTCATACTGTACAAAGTATACTGTACATGGTGGTGTCGCAAGTTGAAAAGGGTATATACACAACGGAGTACACAACAGGTACGAAGATCCAGTGCATTCGACGCAAGATATTCCTTCCTCTTGTCGACACGGCGTCGTTCGTCGTTACTTTCGATGCCGTCGACGGTCGAGGATGGTTTTCATCTAGTACAGAGCGTTTAGAGGTCCAACATCACACAACACAAATAACTTACCCCTGCCTCGCCCACCCATGCACTCGAGACAACGACGTCCTTCGTCGGACCTTCGCTGTGTTTATCGCCCAACAGCTCCCACTTCAACGCACTGCGAACGTGCTCAGGGGGTCGTTTCGGGTGTTGGTCTTGGTTTGGTCGAAGCTGGTGCTTGTGAGCCAACGGTAGCTGCGGATGCTTCTTGGTCGATATCGACGTGGCAGGTCTCTGCGTTTTCACTGCTACACTGTTTGAGACGAGGGGGGGGGTGCTTTTGGGGGTTGGCGTCGGGCAGCATGCAGCAGCGGCCGACTGGGGCCTGGTGGAAAGGGAGGTCGTCGATTTGACGGGGCGGCGGTCCATGTGCGGGAAGTGGCCTTGCACGGACAGGGGCATGTTGTACGTGGCTTCGTCGACGTGATGCTGGTTGTTACTACCACTGTCTCCCCCATCATACGCTTTGTTTTCTCGCTTCAACGTGGCGACTTCGCCTGTCACTGCGTTAAACTTTTTGGTTAGTTCCACCAACAGCATATCGCGCTCCTTTTGAAACAACTCGGCTTCGGCCAAACTCAACAGTTGGATCTCCACTTTGCTTTCCAAGTCCGCGACGGCGGCCGCGAGGTCGGCGTTGTCCTTGGTCAAGGCCGCCACTTCTCGCTTCATCTCGGCCACGTCTTCCCCGTTCCACTCAATCACACCCATCGCATCGTAAGCTTGGGTGATCGTGGCCTTGACCTTTCGCAATGTCATGGTCGTCTCTGGGACCCCCCGCAGCGACACACGTCGGCCCACCGCTTTGGCTTGCTTTGCTAAGAGTCGCTTGGCCGCGCGCTCCTCAACGGCCGCCATGGCGACGATGCTGTCGATCTTTTCCATGAGAAAGAACCGCTCCTGCTGCATGCGTTGGCGCAACTGTTTGGAAAACGTGCGCTTGAACTCGTACGTGAGCTGGCTGGTCACACTCGCTCGAATGGACGCTTCAAGGTCGAACAGTCGCTGCGCCTTGTCGTCGGCAAGGTCAATCTGTTCGCGCTGCAGGACTTGGACGAGGCCATCGTAGTGATTGGAATCGCGACTGGCGGTGACCCCTTGGCATCGTCTGCCCACCGCCACGATCGAGGTCATGGGCGGGCGGCCAGTGGTTACGTGGATAGTAGGAGCAGCCCCCGTGGGGGGATGGCTTGCACCTGTGGGGGGTATCGGACTGGTGGTGACACTCCTGGGTGACGCGTACATGTCCAACATGTCCTTGTCATAGCCCAACAAAGCCAACTTCCCATACAACTTGTCGATCGTAGCGGCGTCGGACGCGCGACTATCTCGGAGCTGCGCCGTCTCGGCTACCCACACCTCCCTCGCAAGTGCATGTTCGGCGGTGATACGCTCGACATGTTTGGTATGACTTTCCAGCTGGGTTTTCAGGTCCGCAACGCAGTCGTCGCACGTCAACACGAGGTCTGTCTGGGCGTTGAGTTCATTCTACAGATCCAGCAGTCACAAAACGAAGGTATCCACGGCAACATGCCAGGTCGTTAGTTATACGTACGGTGAGCTTGTCCGCACGATTTTTGAAGTCTTGGATAGTCACGCGGCAACCGGCGAGGTCCTTGGCCGTGGTCGCTTGAATCTCTGGATACGACAAACTCTCGATGTCAATCAACCAAAGCAAGTGCTCACAGCTTTATCCCCAGAAACTGAATAAACGAACACACCACACCACAGATGATGTTAAGCTGTCGAGGAGGTTGAGCCTAAGTATTTAGCAGTACCTTGCAGCGAAATCAATTCGCGCGCCGACTCTGCCAGAAGGTCTCGCGCCGTCTTGAGCTCATGGGTTAACCGCCCCACCGAGTCGTCTAGCGCCGCCTTGACGCGCTCGAGGGTTTCGTTTGCCTTGGTCTGTTGCTCCAGCTCCACTCGCATCCTAACCACATTCCATCCATCATCGTCGTCTTATATTTCGACCAAGAATCAGGGATGTACTGTTCCGTGTGCTCGTTCGCGGCCGCGACCGCATGGCGCAACGATGTCACATACGACTCGGAGATGGTGCTCACGGCAGTGTTGTTGGTGTAGCGCTGGTGGTCTAGCTTTTTCACGCGCTCGACTTCTAGCAACGCATCGTCGAGGGCAGTTTGCAGTTTCTGGCTGAAGCGTTCGATGTCGACGAACGCAGATTTCTGACGCAGCAATATGTCCACGTGGCTACCCATCGTGAAATCGTCAGATTATGACGTGGCAATCGGAGAGGGCGACGTTGAGAGTACACGTACGCAGCATCCTTGGCTGCCATCTCGTCCCTTAGGGATTGGATGCGCGCTTGATGCTGTGACTCCAGCACGTGCATCTCGTCCCGTCGAAGACACGTCTCGAGGCTCGTGAATCTGTGCGTTTCTTTGGCCATGGCCACCCGCGTCCGCTTGAGGGCTAGGTCCGTCGTGAGCTTGTGCGCGTTGATCTCGTCAAACACCACACGTCGTTGGGCGTCGTACTCGGTCTGCAGGGTCACGATGGTGTTGTCCACGGTGGCGTTGGTATGTGACAGCGTATCGGCGACGACCGCCTGGAGACTGGCTGTGACATCCTTGTGATGGGCTTCGATGTGCGCAATGGCAGCAGCGTCCATGGACTTGGTCATCGACAGGTGGATGAGACCTTCAGCTTGGAGCTCCAAGATCGACTGGTAGGCTTTGGTGAGGCCTCGCTTGACCTGACACTTCAACGAATCGCCAAGATTTGGCCAGTGAACCGCGCCGGGAGGGAGACGCCGAGAGCGCGTGGCCGTCGTGGTGGACGCATGCGAAGGTGCCACCACCGACGTAGTGAGTGGAAACGTAGGACAGATGGGGTTTAGCGCGGTATTCGTAGGGGTAGACTCGCCGTCCAGCGGTGTGGTTGATAGCATGGTGTTGTGGTCACTGGGATGCCTCTTATGGTGGTAAAAGTTTGGAAACCAACCCGCGGTAGCCACGTGACTGCGCCGTAACCAAAACTGAAACTGTTTCGACAACAGTTACAGGAATCCTTGATAACGTTAGGAACCAAGCATGTGGCTTGACGATCGATAACACTGCAGAACAGCCATCTGCAAGTTACACAACCATAACGTTCATTGCAGGGTTCTATCATTACATTTAGGGAGATAAACGAGTTTGCACTAATGAGGTTTGGGGACATGGCCGTCAACGTAGAAGTTTCGGGTGGCCAGCGGTAACGTCACCTACATGACAGTGGTTGAGGAGAACGCGCATGAACGAGGTTAGTGGGATTACCACTGAGTTCTCCATCTCGGGGGAGACCATCACTTGGCAGCCGAGACGCGACCTGAAAAGTGGTCAGAATCTAATGGACACGTCCAAACGCCTACGTTGCCGTGAGGCCGAACGCCAAGTCGAGCATGTCTTCTTCTTCCTCACTCGGCTCAGGGAGCTTGTCAAATAGATCTTCTTCGATGATCACGTGGCACGTGGAGCATGCCAAGGACGACTCGCACGCGCCTGTAGCACATGACGTGAATGCGATGCCGTGCATGAGGAGGATGGATCATGCGTGTACCTTCGAGGTCGATGTCATACTTGTGGGCGACATCCAAGATGGATGTGCCAATTTGCGCATCCACGACCTTGATGGACCCGTCTTTCAATCGAAACTTCAACGGAACTGTCGGTCCGTTTGCAGCTGCCGCGCCACCATGCCTGCACCCTCGGTGAATGCATATTCATACACCAATGATGCCATCACGTCGCACGTACTGGAGCGATGGTGTGGCGTGGAAGAGCCGCCTGGAAGTTACTCCATGGCGCAGAGGCAGTCGGCGAAGCAGTCGCGGTAAGGTAGATGTCATCACGCTGTTCGATCGATCGGTGGCGTTCTTTGGATGGGAGTTAGAAAAGCGTCATCTGGCCAATCGATGGGCTTGAAAGAACACAATTCAGCCAATCAAACCATGCTCCACCAGTACTTTCAACCGTGTAACCGTCGAAAGGAAACTGGTTGGTATACGGATAACTAAAGCTAGCCAATTGATGGACGAGATTATCAATATTTTAGCCAATCATCTCTATGTGCCTTTTCGATTATCTGGATGATCGAAACGACATTCATCGTACCAACAAGTCACCTTCAATCCACGTCACTCCGCGACGACGTCGGTTTTACTGGGTACGCTCAAGGCCGCATGTGGCGCCAACCTGCATGTCCGAGTCCGGTGCGGAAGCGCAGTCGATGGACCAAGTCCAGCACAACGATACGCTTGATGGGTCGTATGGCGAAGTGTTCTACGAGTGCTCTTACGACTCGGACACGGAGGAACAGAATTCTTAAGAGTCGCTTTGCGCGCAATGGATTATGGATCGGAATGTTTCACCCATGTACAGCTCAACGTGTACAGTCGACCGATGCCACCGATCATTCTCGTGGCAAAAAACAACAGAGGTGTGATGCAGAAGCGGTGCCAAGTGACAAGGAAAGAAGGGCGTCGAGTGGCGGCTGTGTTCAAGGCGCGCTACGTCAAGAAAAGTGCACTCACAAGGAATTTCGTCACAGTCGTCTTCGACGCTGTCGTGAATTGGGTGCGGCGGCAGAACCTACAGCCGCTAAAGAACGAAGTCTTCTTCATGCACAATCCTTTAATGACGATGGCATTACATCCGGATAATGAGGTTACTACCATCTGGAGAAGGTTCCACGTGAATCAAAAAAGTTCTTAAGAGATTGGATAGCCTATACATTTATATTGGGGTTTGTAAACAATCGATGGATTAACTATAGAACACAACAAAGTTGATATGAGCTGTTTTGAATGACGAAAGTATCTGTCCACCACGTACGCCCCCTGAAACTTCGGCAATCAGCTTATTCGGCGGCACTAGCAACCTGGTACCGGCGGTAACGCAACGAATCTAAGTGACCGAAAGGATGGAAGTGCGACTGTTTGTGTATAAGAATGAGGCTGGATCACAGGGACGGGTGCTGCCCATGAAGAAGTCGGACAGTCTGGCCAAGCTAAAGGCGGCGGCGAGCAAGAAGCTCGCTGTCCGTGCAAAGCGACTCTTCTTGGCGTCCGGTGCCGAAGTCCAAAGCGTCGACGAACTGCAGAACAACGATCACGTGTACGTGTCATGTGGGGAAGCGTTCTACCGGTCTCATCCGTCGTCGTCGACGTCTGCAGCGGGCTCGTCCGGGCAAGAGACGTTCCATGTGTCGGTGCTGGGCAGCGGCGGCGTGGGCAAGTCGGCGCTGACACTGCGCTTCGTCAAGGACTACTTTGTGCAGGATTGGGACCCAACGATCGAAGACGCGTACAGAAAGACGATGGAGGTGTCGAATCGCCTGTGCATGTTGGAGATCCTCGACACGGCAGGCCAAGACGACTTCGAGTCGCTGCGGCCGCAGTGGATGATGGGCAAGGATGGGTACATCTTCGTGTACGCGATGGACTCGCGCACGAGTCTGCATGAACTGCATGCGTTCTTCGAGCTCCATCTACAGATTAACGAGACCAAGAAGACACTGCCGCCCATCGTCGTCGTGGCCAACAAGAAAGACCTGGTGGAGCAAGATCCGTCCAAGTGCCAAGTCACGAGCGACGAGGGTCGGCGGGTCGCGAGGTCGTACAACGCTGGGTATATTGAAACGAGTGCACTCACGGGCACCAATGTGAACGCCGTCTTCGAGCAGTTCATCGTGGAGGCGCGGCAGCGGCGCGGCCCGGTCAAGTCGTCGTCGTCGAGTTTCTTCAAGTCGTGTACCATCTTGTAGGGTCAGGGCAGCAACATAATAAGTAAAAAATAACACACAAGTTCGATACCATTCATGATGCAATGTCGATGCAAAGTGCAGTGTATAGTAGTGCAAAGACGCCGTCAACCTACATGTACGTTTATGTACTCTTGTTGGGGGATGGGTAATTAGTTGCCTTTAGTTGATCGATGAAAGACACAGCGACACTACTGGTTTCCGACACTAGAACCAACAGGCATTTCTACATGTTTGGCAAAGCAAAGCGGCTCTGTACAACGCTGCAAAAGGTAGTAAGTACGTCAAGTAGCCAGGCCGTACGTATTCCAGCAGGATACCGCTAGTATCCATCATTCTCGCTCACCGATGGCGTGGTAAGAGGCGATGCCATGGGCTACGATATCCTTGGCCTGCAAAGAGCCCTGAGTTATCGTTTGGGGGTGCTAGCTCGAAAAGTGTATGCGAATGGTCATCCATTCGACACCAAGGCGCAATTGAAGGGTCAAATCCTGCAAAAATATAGTGGCGGGAAATTGCCCAAAGCTACCTATCTCATTTGGTTGAGGGAATGCCAACGAGAATGGAGTTATTCTTCGCCGTGGACAATGCATCGAAATGTACAAAGTGCGTCTATAGTTAGTTATGACTGACCCAAAGATTTGAAAGTTGGATATTTCTCGTGATCCAAACACAAATAGATCCTTTATTGTCGATTTGATACTATTAATAGTACAAATTTGGGGAGGGGGTGTAATCGACCACAATCGATCTGATTGGTTGAATTTCATTGTTTTGATTGGCTAATAAATTTGTGCTCATCTGAAGTAGCCAATCAAATCGATTTAAATTCCAGGGAGTAACCACGCCAAAACACGAAATTTCACTCGAAAGCACAATATGTGCCCAGAATTACATGTGCAAGGATGTTGGCAATTGGTCGTTTCGGATAAAAGGACATTTTGGTTGAGAAACTCCAAAATGTACACGAGATATAAATTGATTTCCAACAAGATTTGTTAGATGATCTCTTACTAGGATGACTTCAAAACTGGTCAACGAAGAAGAGTTTGAACGGCGCCGTGTGGATAAACACAATTATTAGCACTTGTTCATTCACCATCATCAAGATTGCCTGTGACATGGTGGTGGTGACGGTGGTCTTAGAGATGGTTCCGCTTCGACGGATAGATGGGACGAACGGACTTGTCGGATCGTCCAGACTTGAGCATGGAGCTGCTGCTGCTGCTTCGGACAGTGGACAGACCAGGGGCCGTCGGCTTAGAGTGGTGCATGGCTAGAATATCTATCGCCCAATCCAGGACCAAAGACCCACGAATAAGGACAACACAAGATTGAGCGTTTGGTTACATACCTTGAAGGAACGAGCGCAGCATGGGCTTCTTGGCCAGATCCAGTGGCGTCTTCCGCTTGTGGTTGGCCGCGTGGAGGGTGGCAAAGGTCGGGTCGGCGTGCAGGAGGACCTTGACGATGGTCGAGTGGTTGCCTCGACAGGCCCAGTGCAGCGCCGTGTCGCCGGCCGCGTCCGTGGCGGCAATAGCGGCGCCGGCGCTGAGGAGGAGCTTGGTCATGGGGATATGGCCGGATCTGGCGGCTTCATGGAGGGGGGTCCACTGTGTGACGCTGTTATCAACCAGGTTGACGTCGGCGCCGAGGGAGAGGAGGTGCTTCACCTTGATGACCGAACCTTTCCACACGGCCAAGTGCAGCAGCGAGTCGCCGTCTTTGTTGCGCACGCGCAGGAGCTGCTGCTGCACCTCTGCGGGCGTTTGTTGTTTGGACTTGGCGGACGGCTGAAGGATCGAGGGGTACTTGGCAGGGTCGTCGATGATGTCTTGCAACAACCGCTTCAAGTCGACCCCCACGATGTTGCGGGCCATAACGTCCCATGGAGACAGTGGAGCAATTGCTGCATTGTTGCTCAGCAATGCGGCAAACTGCCGCTTCCGCATGTCCCGGCTACCGACCTCTCGTGCCACAGCCGCCTCGCGCGCCGCCACCGCCTCCTGCATCTGCTCGACCAGAGTGTGGTACTGGTTGGACGCTTGGTTGAAGAGCCGCTGCCAGGACGCCACGTCACTGGCCCACGCCTGTGTCCGAGCGGCCTCTGCTTCTTGGCGTCGAGACTGTCGTTGGGTTGTAGGGGTCGAAGAGGCGGAGGGCTCTGGAGGTTCTGTGGTGGGGGCTTCATTCGGGTGAGATGTAGATGCTTTCTCGACCGCACACTTTGTAGTCTCCAAGGGTGGTGGTAGTGGTTCGAGACGTTCGTTAGGATCACGAAAGGGTACTATTGGTTGTTCTGTCGCCGTCAAGTCGGATATTGTGTGGGGTGGTGTTGTGCTGGTGGAGTTGACAGGGTCATCATCCTGATCAAGGTTGTGACGCGACGGAGTGTTTTCTGTTGAATCCGATTCCTGTGCATGGGCGTCTTGGCCATCATCGACGGGGGGTTGCAACGAAGGGCGACGTGACGATCGAGGAGGTTCCGTCGATGCTGTAGAGGGGGGGTTGGCGGGTGGTTGTATCGGGGCATTTTGCTGAGCCGATGCCAGGAGCCCACCGGGGTGGTCCCACGACACGGCGCTCGTGACTGGGTCGTAGTAGTAGCTCCGGCTTCGCTGGTCGTCATACGCTTCGACCCACGTTGTAGCCGTCAGGTCGTGAAGGGGTTGAGACGAGAATTCCGTCGCCGGGCAAATGTCAGCTGGAAAGGATGTCGAAGGGCTGCCATCTTGGGTTGTCTTGAGAGCTTGCTCTGTTGGGCTCTTGGAATTGATTACTTGGGTGGACGGTATTGCTTCCGTTGAGCCTGCAGGGGCTGCCATGGTGCCGGGTATGATTTGGGGTGATAGTGGTGGTAGCTGTACGGCTGATTTGTCGTCCTTGGCAATGCTGAGAGGATCGGGTTGAGTGGGGGAATCTGACATTGTTGTTTGAGTGTCAACGGGGGGCACCAATGTCTTCGTCGATGTCGTGTCCTCTTCCATCGGCTGCACTGTCGCAATAGCTACGTCGATGATGTTCGCTGTTGGGGTTGCCAAGGCGTTACTTGAGTCAGGACACTTATTGAACTGCTCAATTATACTCGGCTGCAGGTCCAACACAACTTCTGGGAGGTTGTTGGTCAGTGAGGGATAGGTCGTGTCCTCTGCTGCATCGATGGGCATTGAAGAATTATTGTCCTCCCTTGAAGCTGCATCAATTACATCGTTGGGGGCGTCCACTGTCGGGTCAGCCCCTTCGTGGTTCAAAGTTGGCTTGTCACCAATGATGTTAATGCAGCCTCCATCTGCATGTAGGTCCACTGGATGTGGTGGTCTGTCACTGGCATCCACATCACGAGGCGAAGGGCCATTGTTGGTATCAACCGACGAGTTGAGTAGCACTTGATGCGGCTCAATTGAATGGCCCGAACCAAGTGACCTCACATCATTCGTGCTGGGACGGCGGCTGCTTTGCATTTCGCTCGACGGGTTCTTCTCGCCTGTGTCTGTGTCGTCTTGGGGATGGATAATGACGTTATCAATGGCCTCCACGTGCGATTCATCAGCGCCTTGGTCAAGGGCGATCATTGTGCTCTTGTTGTTCTCCATCATTTGATTGTGCAGCAGCAGAATTTCACCGTCGTCGTCGTCGTCTGCTTCGAGCAACGAAGTTACTCCGCGCGACTCCTTGCGCTCTAGCAAAACGTTTGCCTCGGACGATGTCAGGCGCAACTCGACTGCTGTTTCTCCCCCTACTTCGGCCATAACGTTACCAACCCCACCGTCCTCCGTCGATGTGATTTCGCTATCGATTGCACTAAATGGCCAGAGACCGATCGGGTTGTTGTCCCCAGATTTGACCGGTACCACGACTGGTTGAGTCGCCGAAGTCGGACGCGACGATGCGCCTGGGAATGGTCGTCTGTCGCTGGCCCCGCTGCTGTCGGTACCTTGATTCGACGAGATAGCCGGGTCAGTCCAACTTATCTCTTGCGTTTCTTGGTTGTAGTAATACGTTGCGCCTGTGGCGTCGTCGATGAATGGCAGCCATGGCGACGCTGTAGTTCCACCCCCGTGACCAGAACCACCCTCAGTTCCATCCAATGGCGTAGAACAACGACGGAAGACGTTGGTACCAGCATCTTCACCTGCCGCTACTTCTGTGGCGTCGCCTTGGAGTGTTCCGCCTTTGGTCGCCGCGGCGTCGGCCTCGGCGCTGTTGGTCGGTTCCATTTCGTAACTGCTGTAAGTATCTTGTAACTGGCAACGTAACAGGTGGCCCACTTCCATCGATAACGTCATTACTCTATGTCCTATAATGCGGTGGATTGCTATTCTACTCGAGATAGCCACCACCATCGTAGGCCGACTCGCGCGATGCAATTTCATATTTGCGATATTGTAGTTGCCACAAGTAAGTAATCCATGAACAACTAGTTGTTGTCTTGGCATTCCAACATATTTGCCACAAGTTATGACAGTATAAACGACTACAGTAGGTATCATAGTACTCTTATTGCAAGCTGCCAATCATATTGCGCGGCACAACCCATTGATCATACTGTTCCGACGTGAGCAGCTTGAGGTCGAGCGCAGCTTGGCGGAGCGTCGTGCCTTCCTTGTGAGCCTTCTTGGCGATCTTGGCGGCGTTGTCGTAGCCAATGTGCGTGTTCAGTCCCGTGACCAGCATTAGCGAGTTCTCTAGATGCCGCTCAATGACAACAGGGTTGGCCTGGATACCCACGGCGCAGTGCTTATCAAACGAGTCACAGGCGTCGCCCAGGAGGCGTGCCGACATCAAAAAGTTAAAGATGATCAAGGGCTTGAACACGTTCAGCTCAAAGTGGCCGCTCATACCGCCGATGCTGATGGCCGTGTCGTTGCCGATCACTTGCGCACAGACCATCGTCATGGCCTCGCACTGCGTCGGGTTCACCTTCCCGGGCATGATAGACGAGCCAGGTTCGTTTTCGGGGATGCTGATCTCGCCAATGCCGCAGCGAGGTCCGGACGAGAGCAGCCGGACGTCGCTGGCGATCTTCATCAAGCTGACCGCCAGCTTCTTGAGGGCCCCGGAGGACCCGACGATCGCGTCGTGTGCCGCGAGGGACTCAAACTTGTTTGCCGCGGTCTTGAAAGGATGGCCAGACAGCGCCGCGATTTTGGCCGCCACGAGCACGTCGTAGCCGGGAGGGGTGTTGAGGCCGGTGCCGACGGCGGTCCCGCCCAGCGCGAGCTCGGACAAGTGGTCTAATGTGGCTTCGATGGCCCGGATGGCATGGTCTAGCTGCGCGACATACCCCGAGAACTCCATGCCTAGCGTCAGCGGCGTCGCGTCCATGAGATGCGTGCGCCCGATCTTGATGACGTCGCGGAACTGGTCGACTTTGTTCTGGAGCGTGTGACGGAGTTTCCTCGCGTTCGGAAGTGTGTTGTCCACCACGAGCTTGTACGCGGCGATGGACATGGCGGTGGGGAACGTGTCGTTGGATGACTGCGACTTGTTCACATCGTCGTTGGGGTGGATAGTCTTCTTGGCGTCCAACAGACTGCCGCCGGTCACCACATGAGCGCGGTTGGCCACAACTTCGTTCACGTTCATGTTGCTCTGGGTGCCCGATCCGGTTTGCCACACCACGAGCGGGAATTCGGCGTCCAATGCACCCGACGAGATCTCGTCGCACACAGAGCTGATCAACGCCGCCTTGTCAGCAGAGAGCACGCCCAGCTCGTGGTTGGCTTGCGCCGCTGCTTTCTTGAGAATCGCAAACGCGCGAATAATCTCGACCGGCATGCGCTGCCCGCCGATGGTGAAATTCTCCAGGGAGCGCTGGGTCTGGGCCCCCCAATACCGATGTGACTCGACTTGGATCTCGCCCATCGTGTCCTTCTCAATGCGGTAGGTTGGAGCTGCTGCTGCCATCGTGTCGACTGTTGACGTCGCGTGGAAGTCAGTCTTTGTCACAAAGTGATGTGTCAACCTCACGCATGTCTTCAACGCCGCTCCAATTTGGACCAATCAGCGACGCGTAACGCTTTCCGGATGATTTGCATCTTTTCGTCGAAATATATGAACGGATTTTTCAGCAAAAAGATTGGAGAATTTTCTCCAATATCCGTCAAAAGGTGTTCGCTCTAAGCTTAAGACTTACAGTTGTGTCCCATGACCGGTAGTACATTTGTGTATGAAAAGCTACAGTATGGGTGATCAACACATTAGCCTAACGTGAATTGATGTTACGCCTGCGCAGACCCGACTCACGGAAAGGAACCTCTGGGAGTTTTAATATTGTTAAAAGTCCATCTATGGTTTCATGAATACTAGTATGATAGTTCTGGTTCCTATTGGCGTGTCCAAGCTCCCTCAACTTGACGTGTGTCGACCTTCAGTGCGGTCTAGTATTAGCATATGTGTCAGTCAATAATCTACTTCATGATATGCCCATCACTCACAGGGGATAGCAAACGCAGCTACTGTACTAGGTAGTTAAGTAGTACTCTTCTAGTTAAGGATTTGAAAATATTAAAAAGTGATGGATTTGACGCGAGACCACAAGAACATTATCCGGACACATGAGCATTTCACAGGAAGATTCATAACTTGAATTTGGGTGGTGGTTCTGACATGACCAAGAGTAAGCCGTCGTCGTCGCCGCATGCCAACGTGCGCCTTCCGGAGCGCCTGTCGTTCCCCGATGAGGAACTGAAGACGCTGGAGTTGTGGCAAGAGCTGGATGCGTTCCAGACGTCGCTTCGCCTGTCCAAGGACCGCAAGCCGTTTACGTTTTACGACGGCCCGCCGTTCGCGACAGGCTTGCCGCACCACGGCCACATCCTCGCGGGTACGATCAAGGACATTGTGACGCGCTTTGCGCATCAAACGGGGCACTACGTGGAACGCCGCTTCGGGTGGGATTGCCACGGGTTGCCGGTGGAGTTTGAGATCAACAAGAAGCTCAACATCCACACAAAGGAAGAGGTGTTGGCGATGGGGATCGACAAGTACAACAACGAGTGCCGCGGCATCGTGCAGCGGTACACGAAGGAGTGGGAGACCACCGTCGCGCGCTTGGGTCGGTGGATCGACTGCAAGAACGACTACAAGACCATGGAGCCGTGGTACATGGAGAGCGTGTGGCACGTGTTTGCGACCATGTTCCAAAAGGACTTGGTGTACCGCGGCTTCAAGATCCTGCCCTACTCGACGGCATGCAACACGTCTCTCTCCAACTTTGAAGCGAACCAGGACTACCGCGACACGCCCGACCCGAGCGTCGTCGTGTCGTTCCCGGTCGTCGGCGACGAATCCACGAGTTTACTGGCATGGACGACCACTCCATGGACGCTTCCATCCAACTTGGCCCTGTGCGTCAACCCCGACCTCGACTACATCAAGGTCAAGGATTTGAAATCTGACAAGTTTTACATCGTCGCACACACGCGGCTTGTCCAAGTGTACCCCAAGGTCGACAAGAAGGGGTACGTGGCCGGGTCTGAGTTTGAAATAGTCGGCGCGCCGTTCAAAGGCTCGACGCTCGTGGGCAAGACGTACGTGCCGCTGTTCGACACGTTTGCCGACTGGCCACATGCGTTTCAAGTGCTCGCCGACAAGTACGTGACGTCAGACGGCGGTACCGGCATTGTCCATCAAGCGCCAGCGTATGGCGAAGAAGATTACCGCGTGTGCCTCAAGAACGGCGTCGTAACCAAAACGTTGCTGCCAGACCCGCTGGACGACAACGGCAAGTTCACAGACCAAGTGCCGCTGGTCCAGGGGCTGTATGTGAAGGATGCCGACGACGTCATCTGCAAGGACCTCAAGGCGCGGGACCGCCTCGTGAGCAAGAACACCTTTGTGCACAGCTATCCGTTCTGCTACCGCAGCGGCACGCCGCTGATCTACCGCGCCGTGCCAGGGTGGTTTGTGAACGTGGAAAAGATCAAAGACAAGATCATTGCCAACAACCAAAAGACCCACTGGGTACCAGCTTTTGTAAAAGAGAAGCGGTTCCACAACTGGCTCGTGGATGGGAAAGACTGGAACGTTAGCCGCGGGCGGTTCTGGGGCACGCCGCTGCCGCTGTGGGTAAGCGACGACTACGAAGAAGTGGTGTGCGTTGGGTCTATCCAAGAGCTCAAGGCGCTGTCGGGGGTCGATGCCATCACGGACCTCCATCGCGAGTTTATGGACGAGATTACGATCCCGAGCCGGACGGGCCGCGGCGTCCTCCGCCGCGTGCCTGAAGTGTTTGACTGTTGGTTCGAGTCGGGGTCGATGCCATATGCGCAGCAGCACTACCCGTTTGAGAACAAGGACAAGTTCCACGATGGGTTTCCCGCCGACTTTATCGCAGAAGGGTTGGACCAGACCCGCGGGTGGTTTTACACGCTCATGGTGATCGGCACTGCCTTGTTTGACCAACCACCGTTCAAAAACTTGATTGTAAACGGCCTCGTGCTCGCCGAAGACGGCCGCAAGATGAGCAAGTCGCTCAAGAACTACCCCGACCCCGCCGATATCTTTTCCAAGTACGGCGCCGACGCGCTCCGATTGTACCTGATCAACTCGCCCGTGGTCCGCGCCGAACCGCTCAAGTTCCAGGAAGCTGGCGTCATGGGCATCATCCGCGACCTGTTCCTCCCATGGTATAACTCTGCGCGATTCTTTGTGCAAAACGTCGACCGGCTGGAGCGCGACACGACGGTGTTTGTGCCCACGACCGCCGTCGCGTACACCAACGTCATGGACGCATGGATCGTCGCGGCGCTGCACAGCTTGATCCAGTTTGTCCGCGCTGAAATGGCCGCGTACCGGCTGTACACGGTGGTGCCGCGCCTCGTCGGGTTTATCGACCAGCTGACCAAGTGGTACGTACGGCTGAACCGGAACCGACTCAAGGGGGCGGAAGGCCCCGAGGCGGCGCAAGTCGCGTTGTCTGCGCTGTTTGACGTCTTGTACACGCTGTGCAAGCTCATGGCGCCGTTCACGCCCTTCTTGACCGAGTACATGTATCAGTTTTTGAAGCTGTACCACCCCAAGGCGACTTTGGCGTCTTCGCTCGCCACGCGCCACGAAGATAGCGACGGCTCGGCCAAGAGCATCCACTTTTTGATGATCCCAGACGTGGATGAAACCCGATTGAATGACAAGGCCGAACAGCGCATGGCGACGCTGCAGAGCGTCATCGAGATGGGCCGCGTCGTCCGCGAACGCCGCAATATTAGCCTCAAGAACCCCGTCAAACGTGTGGTGGTTGTGTGCAGCGATGCCGCCGTGCTAGCCGACTTGAAGGACGTGTCGGTGTACATTCACGATGAATTGAACATGCGGGTACGTTGACTCTCATAACTCTTGGAAGAATCGACGCTATTGGCTAATAATCTATTTTTGAGTGGATTGGATTGGCTCTTGCAAAAAGGCCAAGGATATTCCACCAATCAGAATCTCCCGCGTGAATCAATATTGATTACCACGCGAATAACTTTTGGACGTTTATAGCGACTTTCACAATAGCATGCATATGGATATATATGGATATATATATATATATATTGATGCATGTGACTCATTCTAATTGGCTTATCCATGGATTGATCGTGGGGATCATAGGACTTGGAGTTTGCCGCCGACGAAAAGGCGTGGTGCACGCTCAAGGTGGAAGTAAACAACAAAGTATTGGGCAAAAAGCTGGGCAAGGGGCTCGCCGCCGTGAAAAAGCAAGTCGAAGCGTTGACCCACGAGCAGGCGCTGCAGTACCAAACCACCCAAACCATCACTTTGAACGATAACGTGGTGCTTTCTGGGGACGATTTGCTCGTCAAGCGCGACTTCAAGGGCGACAAGTCCATCTACGAAGCCGATGTGTCGCCAGATGGCCGCCTCATGGTCGTAATCGATGTCCGCGAAGATGACGCCCTTCGAAGCCAAGGATTTGCGAGGGAGTTTGTCAACCGAGTGCAAAAGCTGCGCAAGAAGGCGGGGCTGGTCGTGGGTGACAAGGTTCACGTGTACTTTCAAGAAGGCGACGCGAATGCTGGTCCGATTTCCCAGGTATTGTGCGTTTGGAGAAAATATATCGGGCATTTATTATTATTATTTTTGGACTGATAGTTGCCGCCACCAATAAATTTATCGATCGAATGTTTGTGTGTTGTCTGTGAATATATATATATATATTCACAGACAATTAGTGTGATGGGTCGAACATATATATATATATATATATATATATATGTTCGACCCATCACACTAATTGAAGTTACACGCGCTGATTGGTGGAGCGGATGATGCGTTCCTGTAATCCGATATTTTTCAGCTAGACGCTTCGTCTGCCTCGTTTTGATTGGGGATAAACACAGCTAATATGTGCATATATATATATGTATATAGTGTATTTCTCCCAAATTTGGACTCGTATGAGTCATGTTGCCAAATATCTTTCGAATCTATTTGTTTCAATTATATTGGTTTTGCCCAATGCGGAGGGAGAGATTGGGTCAAATCCAACGTTTGGATTGGCAAAAATTCGAAGCAGAACGTGATTTGATTGGCTTTAGCAGTCCTATTCTTTTTCTGGTGACGGCTCCAATTTCGAATAATCGATTTGACAATATATATATATATATATATCAACAGGTGTTGATGGATATATCTCGTAGGCAGTCGAGCAATTTGTGGCGACGGTCGCGGGCACACTTGGCACGGTACCCGCCCCGCTATCGCTCAAGCCCCACAACAGCGTGACGATTGTGTCGGAAGTGTCGGAGTTTGCGGGGTCGTCGGTCGAGATCTTTGTCGCGCGGCCTGCCATCTTGTTTGCCGACATCACTGAAAACAACGACGTGGCCCTGCAACATGCGCATGCATATGTGGCCACGATGGAGTACGCCAAGGTGCGCGACATTGTGGCGGCGGATGCCGAGGGCGCGATCACCGTGACCATCCAAGATGAAGTGGTGCAGCTGGTCAACAACAAAGACCTGTTCTTTGAGCCTAAGGACAAGGTCGCCCACACCCCTACGTTGAGCGCGACGTTCAAGTGGATGGTCTAATAAAGAGTCCACGGCGACTAACTGGCTGCATACACGCTACCGACAGTCGATAGATAGACACATGTATATGCTTGTGTTTGTAAACTCAAAATTGTATGACGTGCGTACTATATTGCCAGACCCTTGTTGATCACATCAACCACAATGGAACACAAAAAAATTATAGTGCTCTAGTAAATATTTATACTACCACAGCACAACACTTCACATATTGTCCTTTTACCCAATATATTTGGACTTTTGTGTTGATGCGCCAAATCTATCGATCGATTCTTTGTACTAACTTTCACACTAATTCTATCACACACTAATTCGATGTTGAATTATTCGTAGAGTGGATTTGATTGGCTAGTTCATTCATGTTTTGTGTTTTGATTGGTCCATCGATTCTCTACCGATTTGGTGCTGCTCATTCGATTGAGTACCCAAACACTCCAATTTCGAATCGAATGAACAATACTATTAATAGTACTTGGAAGCGCTGCTTACTGTTAGTTGGTCTATGATACTGTATTATTGTCGGTTTACCCAAAATTTGGACTTTTGTACTGATTCGCCAAATCTATGGATTTGTTGTAGGTACTGAGTTTTGTATAGTTGCGATGCCAATCACACTAATTAAAGTCATACACTAATTATATGTTGATGGTTGATTTCCTACAATCGGATTGGCTCACTTTTCTGCCGATTCTTGGTTAATATGTCGATTGTCGCAATAAACACAACAATATGATCATCGCAGCGAGCTGTAGGGAGAGATCGCTTTAATAATCTAACATAATTTATTATAAGTTAACATTTCATGATTTTTTTGAACAAAAAATTGATAAGAAGTAAAAGATTTACTAACAGTAAAAATAAGAAAAGCTTCGATAAAAAAAATACTCTGGAGTAAACAGCATCATTATTCATGTGTGTGGTGAATGAAGATGGGACACGGTATGCACTGTATGTATTCATTCAGACCGGCGGTATTGTCAAATCGAATCAAAACTGGAGCCCTTGGGAGAATCCAATGTCTTAATCGACTAAAGAACCGCCTGGGCCAATCAAATCACGAATTTTCCATTTTGTTGCCAATCCAAACGTTTGACCCCTCCGTATTGGGCAAAACCACATATATACTCCTCGTTGTATCGAATAGTGTGTACAAGATTAAATCGGATCAAAAGGATTCGAATGCTATGATTTGGTGAAATGACTCTCAAGTCCAAATAGTTGGGTGAAATGCACAATATTACATTTCATTTTGTTAACGTTATGGACAACGTCGTCGGATTGTGTGGGGTTGCCAGTTACAGGAAAAAACGGTTACAGGTCAAATTTAGAAAGTCAATCGATGCTTGAGGGAGGCTGCCTCCGCCATCCCGCCGCCCCCGCCCCATTTGTCGTGACAATTGAGTATTGCAAACACTAACGTTCGTATGGATCGACGACACACACCCCTCAAACACATTACTCGCGACCAAGTGCCCACGGTGAACCTCGACCAGGTGCGGCAGTCGCGTTCGTGGGAGTTTGTATGCACAAGCTTGACCAACGACGGGGACTTGATGGCGCTGGACATGCTGGACACAATCTTTATTAGTGGGGGCGAGATCACGGCCTGGTACTTTACGACAAAGGACGGCTTTGTGGCGAGGAAAATGGCCAAGAACGTCACTGCGCAAAACATCTGCCAAGCGTTTACGCGGGTGGGGTTGGCCTACGAGAAGAACCACGCGCAGCATGTGGCGGTGCTCTGGCGCGACCAGTGCGCCGACTGCGAGGTACGAGCACCTGTAGGAGATCCATCGTCGGTTTCATGTGGCTGGTGGCTGCATTTAGTTGCTGTCGGCGGCCGAGTTGTTGGCGTTGCTGGAGAAGTTGCCCCGTGGTTCCATGTCGTTGCACGCGTTTGTGAATCCCAAGGGCGAGCTCCACGCCGGCCGCTTTGCCAACTTTGAACATGATTTCAGGTATAAGCCCGATCCACGACAGCAAAGGTCGATAAGTTTATTGAAGCGTCGTTTGATAGTGTCAACAAACACGGCAAGGCCCAGTCCAAGTCGTTCCGCATTGCGTTGGGGGCGCAACGCATCACGTGCATGGATACCCAGCTCACAAAAGCCATGGATCTCATGACGTCCACGGTCATCGGGTACGCTGCATCCAGACCATTCATGCCGTCATCGCCACCGCGTCGTCTCATGCCGATCATGCTAGGCGCGTGGAAAAGAGTCGCAAGTGCAAAGTCGTGCGATGCGTTGTGCATTACGCCGTGGATGACTGCGGGGTGCTGTTTTTGGTCCAAACCCACGAGTTTGAAACGACGCCACTGCATGTGCCCAAGATGAAAAAGGAAGCCTCTTCCTGCACCAGCCTAGGACCGTCTGCGACCACCCAGCGCATGCTCGCGCGCGCCAAGCTGGAGGAGCTGATGGCGCCCGACGAACGAGCGGTGGAAGCCATCATGGCCCAGCTACAATCGTCCAAACACCCCAAGCCCAACCCCCGTGGCTTGACCTCCTTGGTCCCCCCTCCTCCGAACGCGTTGTCGTCACCTGCCATCGCCAATGGTGGGCTGTCAAAACTTGAGCGCCGCGCGCTGTCTGCCACGTATTTGGGCTCGAGCCAGAAATCCGGCTGCTGTGGCGACTACTGCTCGACGGTGATCGACCCGAGCGGCCGGATGGCGGATGCCCACCGCGAGAGTTTGCTCGGGTTTCCCAAAGGATCCAGCACGCTGTCTTCGAAAGCGCTCAAGTACGAGCAACGTCTCGGGTCGCCAGTCAAGTCAGCCGACGACAACAACAACCCACTTTCACCCAAACATGACACCACTAAGGTGGCAGCCAAACCAACACATCGCGTGCCGTTCAAGTGCATTGCGCAAACGCGGGCGGAAAAGGACCTTGTCGCGCTGTTTGTGCGGCGGTACTTGAGTGGCGAGAGCTGCGACTACTTGGCCCAAGAGTATTTTGGCGACGGCGAAGCCCTCGGCGAGTCGTTCCCGGGGTATTACTACCAGGACTGCGACGTATGTGCCAACTGCTTTGCGTTCTACACGCTTATCGACGAAGCCCGGTCGAAAGCGCTGAAGAAGCTCTCGGTATCGAAAAAAGGCAAACGGAGGCACGAGCCATCCGTCGACAGCCAGAAAAGCGTCGTGGATCAATTTGCAACGAAACTGCTTTCGGAAAGCCCTCAACTTCCGTGGGAGGTGGCGTGGACGCGCGTCCAGACCGTGTTGCGCACCATCACCAAAGTTGACGTGGCCGAGCTGCGGAGCTTTGTGCACCCACCACCGGCGGTAGCCATGGTCACGAGTGTGTTGATGATCCTTCTGCTCGGGGATACAGTCATCCCGCCGGTATGGACGACCGACTAAACTACGTATATTCTTCATTCAGCACATACCGCGTTCGAAACTACGTGGACTCACCATATATTCAATCGTAGGAGTCGTCCTCCGGCGGCGGTGACGACGACGCTGTGATGCAAAAGGTGTGGGCTAATGCCAAAAAAGAGCTTTCCCAAGGCGACAAAATCATGACGCTGTTGACCCAATTGGATTTGAATGCCCTTACGTCGAGTCAAATCCATCGCGCGCGGTTGTACATGTCCAACGCCCTCTACAACAGCGACGTGATCACCCCCATTTGGAAATGCGCGGCGAAGTTTTGTGACTGGTACCCACGTTGTCATTCAAAACTAAAAAAATAAATATATGGCAACCAACTTTGGACACAAAATATGATGACTAGGACGGTCGCGGTGGTGGACGCGTACACGTTGTTGCAAGGGCACGAACCACCAACCAAGAAGTTCACTGCCAAGATCCGATCGATTGCAAATCATCCTCCCGTGAAAACGGATCCAACGACTACTACCGCCATGAAGTCGGTAGTCCAAGCCAAGCAAATGACTCGGTTGTGTGGGCCAACCCAAGCCACCCGAGACGACAGCCCGCTGCTGCAGCACACGTTTCGCTGCAAGGACGGCGTGACGATGATCCCGTACGAAGTCGTGGGGATGGTGGACGTTGCATTGACCAAGGCCAACTTGGTCGTGTGCCACGATTTTTTCGATACGCTGGACGCGACCAAAGTATTTTTTCGGTCGGTGGTCAAGAACCACCCCGGGTGCCAGATTTTGTTTTTCAATTTCCCGGGCCAAGCCGGCACGCAGTACCCCGTGGAACGAACAGACGACCACCTCAACACCACCACCACCCTCCCCCCCCAACAACAACAGACGACCACAACTGTTCACGTGTTGAACAACTTGTTTACATCGCAGTGTGTGTACGAACTGCTCACGCACTTGCACACGTCGGCGGCGTTCCTTCTCTCCGTGCCGTTTCATGTGGTGGGGTTTGGGAACGGCGGCAACATTGCCACGTGTCTGGCGATTCAATATGGCCGGTTGTGGCCAAGCTTGGCCTCGATCGTGCTCGTCAACGCCTTTGCCAAGATTGACGCGCAACTCGCGGGCATCCTCCACGGCGCTCTAAACCTGTTTTCGTGCTTACCGCCCAACCGCCCAGACCTGCCGCTGACGTACTTGAGCAAGTTTTTGTTCTCGGATGCATATGTGGCCAAGGTCGATCCGAACATGGCCCTGAGCATCTACACCGCCGTCACCAACGCCATCTCCCTCGAAGGCCGCATCCGCATTTGCAAAGGCGCGCTGCATCATGTCGACCTTGTGGCGCAGTTGCGCGAGGTGGCAGTGCCGCTGGTTGTCGTGCAGTCTGTCGAAAATGGAATGGTCGCTCCTACGAACGTCGATCCGTTCCTCGAAGGTTTCATCATATCTGTAGCATTGTGTTGGATAGACGACTGAAACTCGAACTTTGAACTGTTCACTAGGACGAGCGTGTTCGCATATTTGGTCGCATCAACACAGCAGCAAAGGTGACTTGAACGCCAAGGCCAGGCAGTTGCTAAGCAACACCCTCAACGCGAAAAGTGAAAAAAGCGCGTTCGTCGCGTGGCTTCGAGCTGGCCACGAAGTTCGCCAAGAATCCAAGACGTACATCTGCGACTTGCTCGAGTTTCTGGTGGCGTGGCCGACCAGTGCCATGAACGACAGCGTTGGTCCGAAGGACAGCGAAGACGACCCTACCCAAAACGAGGAGCTAGCGGCTACCGCGATCACTACCAATCAACTATCAACACCCGCGATCAAGCCCATTGACGAGCCGTCCAATACAGCAGACGTCGCGAAAGTTAGCGCCAAAGACAATGTCAAAGTTAAACTAGCTGCCAGTCAGCCTCCTCGGCTAACATTGTTCAAGCAAGGCGGTGGCGGTGTGAAACCTCCGACAGTTGAACTAGTTCTTGAAAAGAAACAACCCCCCGACGGCTATAAAGTCAGCTATGCGCCACCAACCAACACCTCGTACGACGCAGATATGGAGCGAACGAGGGCGAAGCTGAGTGACCAAGTGGCGGCCGCCGAGGCGCTGGCAATGGAAAAGCAGTTACTGGACAAGCAGGACGTGGAACGGAGGTTATCTACCTTGCGACACGAGCAAGAGCTGCGGCGGAAGCAGTGGGAGGACGAGGACAATGAGCGCTTGCGGCTGCTGGAGCTCGAATTCCTCGGACAGAAAGCGGCGCGAACTCAAGATCACCAAGCGCTGGAAGCTACCCTTTGGCAGGATGAAGTCCAACGGGAACAGCAAAAGATGCTGCTAGCAGGCGACACACAAGGGAAGGGCTGGTTGGACTCGATAGATTCGGCGGAGAACAACGCCAGTAGTAGTGATCTACCTCGGGATACTATCGAGGCCGTACTAGCCCATTCGACTATGGAAGACCTCGTGCTGGACAACGTTGTCGGGGCGCCGCCCGCGCAACCGACGATCACAAACTTGTTTGAAGAACTCGAAGCAGAAGACGAACGCAAACGAAAGGTCGGCGTGCTGAAGGTCGAAGAGTACGAACTCGTCAAGAAACAAATGGCCTTAGCACAAGCTGAACGGGACAAGGTGGCTAAAGTGCAGCAAATGGAGGCGGAATCCAAGCTACGGGATTCCATGGCGGTGATAGTTCAAGCCACCATACGGCGCTACCTCGCGCAATGCACACTCCACCACCTTCGCAACGAGGTGGTGTATCAATAAACATCTCTTTTTCAGGATACTAACAAGACGGTAGTTTGCATTTGACCTGAAACGTGAACAAGATGGAGCGACGATCGTCCGCGTGGCGAGGGGGGCTCTCGCAAGGATACGCACGCGAAAGCACAAGGAAGTGACGCGGCTTCGAATCGAATACGACGAAGCCACGCTGACCATCCAACGATGCTACAAGGGGTCCAAGGCGCGGCGGGCGTACCGCCACACCCTCCGCAACAAGTACGCCGTGTTTATTCAACGGGTGTATCGTGGGTATGTCGGGCGCAAGCGTGTCGGGGATATTCGGCAGTCGTTTGCTCGTATTCAAATACTGCATGCCAAAGCGACCAAACTTCAAGCCACGTACAAGATGTATCGGGAAAAGGACAAGTACTTGGGGTCGAGAGTGCGGACGCTGGCGGCAAACGAGATCCAGCGCGTCGTCCGCGGGCATTTGGCTCGCACCAAGGTATGCACATACTAGCAAGGGTGATTAGTTGTCGGAATACATCTTATGCATGTACATATGTAGGTGAGCAAGATGAAAGAGTGGCAAGGCGCCGCGCCAGGACCAGAGAAATTGTCGCTCGGGCTCAAGCGAATTGAAGAGTCCAAGGCCGAATTCGAGCGTCAGCAACAAGAGATCGACGCCTTGCACCGCGCGCAAGAGCAGGCCGAGCTCAAAGTGTCGGAGATTCACTCGAGCTTGACGGAATCGCAAAAGGAGTTGGCCGTGCTGGAGCGGGAGCTTCTCGAGATCGACCAGATCGAAACCGACCTCCACGAACTCACCCATGAAGCGGAGATGTTGCGCACCAAGGGCGTGGACAACACCGTCCCCCTTGGCAATGGCATTGTGTTGAACCAGCCGAATGAAACGGGGGGCTTTGAAACCAAAGAGGAGGCGCGGAAGCGGCAAGCAGAAGCTTACGCCATAGAAATGGCCATCCATATCAAGCGCGCTGAGCGTGAGAAGAAGAAGAAGGAGCTCGAGGCGGAATTCACGAGCGTGTTCAACGACGTGCAGGCCAAGAAGCACGCGCTGGAGGAGATGGAGGGGAAGCTCAGCGACATGGAGGCCGCGCGCATGCGAAAGGACCGCGAATTCACGCGGCTGCAGCGCAACCTCATGGAGCTGTTGGAAGAGCAAAAGTACGAACTGGACATGATCCGGGAGAAAGGGATCGAGCTCGAGACAGCCACCGCCACGTCCGCCGCCGCCGCCGCCGCCACCGCCATGAAGGCCAAGGAGCATGAAAAGAAATCCCAGGCGATCTTTGAATCTACCGAAGAACTGATGAAGTTCCAGTTCATGGTAAGTCCCACCAACGACTCCATTGCCGTGGCTCATACTAGTACATGGTACTAGTCCATGTCGCTGTCGTACTTCAGCTCGCTGAACATGCTCAAGAGTCTGCGGGACATCAATGCCGACACGACGGCGTCGGCGATATCGAGTACGGCGGAAACCGCTGCGACTGCAGCGGCTGCCGCCGCCGCCGCCAACATCCCGATGATGAAGCGGCTGCAAGTTGGGAGCGCCGAGTTGTTAGATGCTGCGTCCAAGAAGAAGAAGGCAGAGCTTGAAGAGAAGAAGAAGCGGGAACAAGAGGCCCTCGAAGCCCTCAAGCAGCCGTTCCCGAATGCCATGCGCGATTGGGCCATCGACGATGTGTGTCGATGGCTGGATGTGCTATCTCTGTCGCAGTATAAGCAAGCATTTAAGGAAGGCGCGGTGGACGGCGCGTTGCTGCTGGAGCTGCGGCCGGAGGACTTGTCCGACATCCTGGGGGTGACCCACAAGGCGCATATTTTGAAGCTGTTGGTGTCGAGGAAGAAGTATCTGCCGCTGAGCTCCACCGAGCGCATGAAAGTGAGCGCGGTGGAGAGCGAGGATGCGTCGGACAATGCTCGCAAGGGGGTGCCAGACATGGAGACGGCGTTCAGCCAGGCGCGCAACGGCCGGCTCAAGCGGCTGATCGAAAGCGTCGAAGCGGGGTTTGATGTCAACACAGAGGACGACAAGGGCAACACACTACTGCTCACGGCCGCGCAAAACGTCAACCAAAAGATGGTCGAGTATTTGATCTTGAAAGGATCGAATGTCAACCACAAAAATGCCCAAGGCAACACGGCGCTGCACTTTGCCATGGCGTACGACAAGGAAGGCGTGGTGGGCGAGTATTTAATCGGCCACGGCGCCGACGACACGATCGAAAACATGTTTGGCCTGTCGCCGTACGATGGCATTTCCGCCGAAGGATAACATGTATATCGATGATGGGGTTATGGAGTTTGTCGTACGCGATGGCAAATGAATGCAAACCTTGCTAGCGAACATCAAAATGTTTGTCCACCTTGGCATACAGTACTTGACTGGCAAAGTGCTTTGACCACTTCTGTAGCAACCAATGTATCTCCACAACAATGGTACTAGTAGCAGGCACCGCCACCGTGGACATGTGCCAATGACGAAATGTTCGAAGTACATCCTAGCTAGCTTTGCAAGACTATAGGAGCTAGTAAACCAGCAGAATGATTTGAACTGGTCTAGCTAGATTTTACCAGGACTACCGTAGTTGCCAGCACATCAGCAGCCTAACTAGTGTACCAGGTTTGGCCTTGGAAAAGGATTTGTCGATTGAAGGATGAACTAGACTACATGTAGAAACTGGTGGAATGCAATACGATTTGCATTGACATTTTTGGCTTAGGACAAGTAGAACTCAATGACATGACACTTCGATGAACTCGTCGACTATCTCGTCTTGCACAATCTACGCATGGGGTTGCTTCCATATGTTCGTAGGATGCGTGTGCCGTGGATGATGGACTTACCTGAGGATACAACGACAGCAGCGAATCGATGTACACGCCGAGGTGACGTTGTCGTCTGTCGACAAAATCGCTGGACAAGGACGAGCCCAAGTACTTCTTGCTAGGTAGGGATGGGAACGAGCTGGCCAAGTGCGGGTACTTCTCGCGGAGCTACGGACACGAATGACGTGGAACTTGGCGAATTGTCGTTGCGGGGTGTACCAAGATGTCGATGGCGCAGAATTCCCGATATCGCCGAAGCGTCTCCCAGCTCTGCACAGCAACAAATGGAGTATTGAATGAATCGACACCGAGTCGTGACGGTTCATTATCGGAAGTGTACCCGTGTCCGACCGTCCACCCCTTTCAACGTGCACCGCAACTTGTATTCCTTCGCAGCAGTTAATGCATCATCACTTGCTGCCACGGATTGATGGCCGCAGCAATACTCACCGTGTAAAACTTGCCGCTGTCGTGGTCAAGGGACTCCTGGCTTCCACATACGTCCACCTTCAGGGAGGTCGTCACTTCTGCCGCGGCCGCACCTGCAGTACTTGCCATCCTGCAAATTGGCCAAGGACGACTTTGATCAAAATAGTTCAATGGGCAGTTTCTTGTGGTGAAATATTCTGAACAAAGGCATGGTGAGGATTTCATGGAGCTTATGGGGTATACATATGTACTAGGATTTGTATTGGTCATTGACATATATTCTGCCAAAATACATGCAGTCCTGTGTGTAGTGCCAGCCAGAGACTGCGTTTGCTTGATGGACAACGCTGGTGCCGCGGATAGAGCACCGCTTATCGATGGAAAGGCGACTCGTTCCTGGCGGCGGGTGGCCTTGATGAGCCTAGTCGGGGCCATGGGGTTTGGCCTTGCACTCATGGTTGTCCTGTCGTCGACGTCTCCCACCAACGGTGCCAGTACGGCGCAGACAAGTCCTGTCCTTACGAAGAACCCCATCATTGGTATCCACGCACACGAGTCCCTCTTCCACGACGAGTTCATCGCGTCGTCGTACGTCAAATGGGTCGAGAGTGCGGGAGGTCGCGCTGTGCGCATCCCGTACGACGCGCCAAAGGAGCAGTTGCTCGAGCTGCTGTCAAGTATCAACGGCATTCTCTTTCCCGGGGGCTACGGCGACCCCACCGAGAGCGCGGCGTTCATGTACAACTACGCGATTGCCCAGAACGCGAACGGGACGTACTTTCCGCTGTGGGGCACTTGCCTAGGCCTTGAGTGGCTCGTCAAGCTTACTTCGCAGGTCAACGACACGTCCATCTTGGATCGCGTGGACGCGCGCAACGTAACCTCCACGCTCACGTTCTTGGACAACGCATTGGACACGAGTCGTCTCTTTGGCTTTAATCGCGTGACCTTTGCACCCCTCGAGACAAAGGCACTGTCTTTCAACTACCACCAGTGGGCCATCACGCTCGATCACTTCATGGCCACGCCGGCGTTGCGGTCGTTCTATCGCGTGTTGGCCACGTCGGTGGACCGAAGGGGCGCGGTGTACGTGGCCGCGCTGGAAGCCACCAGGTACCCGATCTACGGCATCCAGTTCCACCCCGAGAAGACCCCGTACGAGTTTGGGCTCAACAAACACGACCATCGGCCGCATTATGCGATTGACCACAGCTACGAAGCCATCGTGGCATCCCAAACGTTTGCGCATTTCTTTATTCACGAAGCCAAGAAGAACGCCCATGCGTTTCCAAGCATTGCAGGTGAAAGCCAAGCTCTGTTGTACAACACCCCGTCGTCCAACCGATCGTACCCGTCATATGAAGAAGTGCTCGTGTTTTCAAGCCAAAACCAGTCTTAACTATAGACTTTTGTTACGACTCATATGGAGGGAACGTCTGTAGTGTAGCTGTTCTAGCAGCCACAGTTACTGTACGGCATAGGATAACGTTACAGTCTGTAGTGCATCCTTCCGCTGGCTTTGCACTTTTGGTGTGGCGATTGCTGCATCGTGAAAAGTGTGCTCTCATACATATTGTCTGAATTGTCTCTATTACTCTGGATTAAACATGGAGACTGTATGCACTACTACTGTAGGATCACAAGACCATCAAATAGCAGTGCATATAACGTAGCACCGGTAGGAACGTTGTTGACGCTGTTTGTGTTGGAAAGAGTACGGAGACACGTGGTTCCTGCTTATTGGCTCCCGTCGACCAACGCTTGTAACTTGGCCAAGTGCTTGGTCCGGTACGATATCAAGGCCACGTACAACAGTTGCTTCTTGACCAGGTCGGGCTGGAGCCGAAGCATCACCGGCACGATCACGAGCATGTGGAGGGGCCCCAACTCGGTCGCCATGCTCGCAGTGTACTCATCACAGTCCATGAAACCATTGCCAAACAGTCGCGAGCTAATTTTGAACTCTTCCACCTTGGCCTTGTCACCCCCGGTACACCACTTGACCGCGCGCAGGATTTGCTTCTGGAGCGCCCGCGCGTCGTCGTCATACACGCAGGCGAGCGAGTCCACCGAAGGGAGCTCCGGCACGGCCGTCCACGGCTGCGTCACTTGGTCGAGGCCATACCACTCGATGCGGGGCGGGACAGCGGCGGATGGAACGTGTTGCTTGGTTGAGGCGTCGGCGTGTCCTTGAGATGCTTCGCTGTGAGCATGTGGTTGAACCATTGGTTCCTCGACGTTGTCTACAGCTTCAATGGGTGCAGCATGGATCACGGCATGTTCGATCGACGGCTCGTGAATGACTTGCTCGACCGACGGCTCAGTAGTGTCGACAACCTCAACGACTGCAACTACTTGGACTGGATCGTGCTCCTCACTGCCACTATAGGCACCGTCTATGGTAGTCGTAGCATTCGGTTCTTCTTGATGGATTGGGGTTTCTTCGCTGTTGGATGCAGCTTTGGTTGACGGAGGGCGGTCGACAACCTCCATGACAACCGCCTCGAGCGTCTCGCCGTCATTGTAGTTGACGTCTTTGACACCTACACCGACTGCTCCATTGACTTGGCTTGGTGCAAGTGCAGCTTCGCCGTTGGATTCGCATTTCACGATGGCTGTGCGCGGTGTCCGCCGCCCTGGCGGAAGCGGCCTCCCCAGCATCGTCAATTGAGCGAGGTGACAAAGCTCCTGCAGACTCAAATCAAGGCTCAATTGAGTCATCCAAATCCCCAATTCTCAAAGATATCCACAGGATGACGTTTACTATGTAGTAGAAAAACGACGATTTGAGTTTTGTTTCACCAAATTATTTTGACCGGTTAAAATCTTAGGCGGGTAGGGTTTTGCGATATAAAATGGGCATGTTAGCTGCGGTGGTGGTGGTGCTGGGATCCCACCAACACAAGTTTGCCCGTCGCAACTACTGGGACGAAACGCAACTGCCGCCGCCGCCGCCGCTACCTCGGTCGCGTTCGTTCTTCATCCCACCCAGACGGCCAAGTCAGCAATCGCCGTCCTATTTCTTTCTTCCCAGCCGAAGTAGCATTTGAACATGGTCACGGAGATGACGCTGGCCGACTTGATCGCTCGGGACGGTCGTGTATCCAGTTCCGGGTCCGAAAGCAGCAGTCTCTTGAGCGGAAGCGGCAGCAGTAGCAGCAGCAGTGGCTCCAGTTCCTCTTCCGACTCCAACGACGACTCGGACAACGGAAAGGCGCCACGACGACACCGGCCGGCGCCGCCGCCACCTCCAACGGAACCGCCTGTCGCTTCGAAGTCACCACCACCGTCGTCCAAGGCGACCAAATCCAAGCGCGTCGCGACAAAAAAGGCACCGGCAGCAGCTGCTCCAAAGGCGGCGAAACCGCCCAGCAGCAAGAGCGCGCCCGTGAAGCCGCCGGCAAAGCCAACGACCAAGCGGCGCGCGGCGGCACCAGCCAAGCCGAAAAAGACCGCCACAACACCGAGGAGGTCCAAACAAGCAACTACCGCAGCCACGGAAGTGGTCAGTCCCCCGGTAGGCACGCGCGTGCCGGTGCTCAAGACCGCGTCGGGCGCGACGATTCAGTTGATCAAGGGGGAAGACCCAGGGTTGAGCAGTATGGATGTCGATCCAGCAGAGGAATGCCGCGGCAAGATTGAGCTGGGTATGGTCGATCCTTCCAAGCTTGCCGAGCATGCAGAGACGGAAGTACCAGAGGAAGACGTGGACAGCGCCGTGTTCGACGCCCACGACGACAAGGGCGACGTGCTGCGCAACTTGGACCAGTTTTACTTTTGCGACGAGGCGGGGTACGTTCATCGCTTGTTCTCCAAGTGTCGATGATGATATCGGTTGATATGTTTGTGGTGAATAGGACACCGATCAGTCTGGACGTATTTGAACGGCCGCGCGACCAGCGGCCACTCATCATGGGCTTTGGCACAGTCGTACAGCCGCTGCCTCTGTCGGAACTTCCGCCGCCCATTCGATTCTACATGCCAGAGATGGTGCTCTCAACGAGAAAGCGGAAAAAATCCACCGCGGCCGGCGGAAAGCGAAGGAAGCATGCGACCGCCACCACGGCTGCTGCCCTGGATTCAAGCGGCGACGAGGATGACGACGACGACGACGGGGCATCTGAGGACAATTCGTCTCGAGGTACGCAGCACCAGTCAATGAGTCGATCGATAGAACGATATATCGATGGTTGTTTGTGTGTATGCGTTTTTTCATGATATATATATATATATATATATATATATATATATATAACGGGCGAAACAAGAGAGTGAGTATTCAAAATACAAAGGGGTGGATGGATACCTTTTTGCCAACGTGAACGTCATATCGATGGATATATTGTCTTTTACCCCAATTTTGGCCTTTTGTGCTGATTCTTTGCCAAATCTATCATCGATTCTTTGTCCTAACTTTTGTACGTATGATCGTCGAGTCTCACACTAATTTCAGTAACACACTAATTCGATGTTATATTATCGAAGAGTGAACTTGATTGGTCACTTGATTCGAGTGTTGGGTTTTGATTGGTCGATTGTCTGGTGATTCTGCTCATTCGATTGGACAAATCACTCCAATGATTCGAATACATCGACTTGACAATATGTGTAGATGGCAACACCACCCCACGTAGCGACACGAACGGACCGGAAACGAAAAAGCTCAAGTTGGATCAACTGGATGGACACGCGGGTGGTACTGCGCCGCAAGACACGGAGGGGGTGGTGCCGCCGCCGCCTTGCATCTCTTCCTCTCGGCGGTTTCAATCGTTTGTGTATCCGTACGGATACAAGCGAAAGCGGTCGCTTGGGCAGGTGGACGGGGCCGAAGCGAGCGCGGGCGACGATACCAGTGACAGTAGCAGCGACAGTGACAGCAGCAGCAGTAGCAGTAGCAGCAGCAGCAGTAGCAGCCCCCCCCATCCCCCCCCTCCCCCTCCCTCTCCCCCCTTGCCCAACCCACCGACCGTGACCGAATCCACCATTCGCGACAATAATAAGGACGAGAATGCCACGCCTGTCCATACATCCGCCGTTCCAGTTGGCATCACAACCACCGCACCGCCGCCGCCACCGTCCACTTCGTACTGCAAAGTGCACGAAAACACGCCCAAAGTGGTTGGCGCCGACCTGGACGAGTTGATGCGCGCCGACGGCGTGCACTCCGTGTCCGTGCACGGCAACCCCGACGACCTGGACCTGCTCGAGTGTGGCTTCCGGTACCCGTCGACATGCGCGAGGCAGCGCGTGTGGCTCCGGGAGATCTCCGACTGGTGTCTAGACTACACGGAAGGCGATCCGACGCTGTGGGTCATCACGTCGCATGCGTGGTACAAGATCGCGGGGCCGATCTCGGGGGTGTTGCCTCACTGGTCGTACCGCCGCCACTTTACCAAGCCCCGGTTGTTGTTTGAAGCGTGTTTTCACATTGCGTCCGTGCTTCGCGAGTGGCTACCCAAGAACCGTGGGCTGTCGTACCGCGCGACGCTGCAGCAAGTGATCGAGCAGTCGATTCTGGGGCGGTACCCGCTCACGACCAAGTTTTTGATTGAAAACTATCCATTTCTGGCATCTCAGATGGGCAGCGTGGGCGAAGAGCACGGCGGCAACTGGCTCCAGTCGGCCTTTTTCAAGCAACTCCAGCGCATGCACGACAGTTACCTTGTGCGCACAGCCAAGGCAGACAAGGCGAGAGCAGACAGCGAAGTGAAGCGGCTGCAGCGGGAAAAGGAGGTGCTGGACCGACGCCAAAAGGTCGAACACGAACGGGTCAAGAAGGATCAAGTGCGCAAGCAAAAGGAAAGCGAACGCCTCGACAAGAAAAAGTACCCCATGGAAGACCTGGATGTGCTGATGGAACTGCCGGCACACGAACAGGCCAAGCGGCCGCCGTACCCGCCACAGTCGTTTCCAAATGTGGACATTCCAGGCCCGTTGCTTGGCGAGTTGCTTGTGGCGTACCAGACGTTGCTGTCCCATAAAGCGTTTCTCCGAAACTATCCGAACGAGGTGGTCGACTTGGCCCAGCTCGTGCGGGGAGTAGTGATCGATCGGGATCCGCCGGCGGTGGAATTCGTGGCCAATGTGTTCGTGTCGCTGCTAGATACGATCAGGGAAGGGGCGACGACCCCCACCACTACCACCACTGCCGTGTATGGCATCCAAGAACGCCTTCATCACGACACTGCGTTGACTGCATTCACGTGGCCAGAAGTGCTGCGGGCGATGCTTTGCCCAGAGGACAAGTACATTGGTCCCGTGGATCCGTTGGTTGGGTGCGAAGCAGTGCATGAAATGGTATCCAAACACCCCCAAGCGCTAGCGTTTCTTGAACCAGTCGATGTCGAGGGGTTGGGTCTGGCGGATTACCTCGAGATTGTGACCACCCCCATGGACTTGACGACCGTGGGCACGCGCCTCCACTCGGGTGTGTACGAGGACGAGTCGTTGTTTGCCCACGACATGCGGCTCATCTGGTCGAACGCTATCACGTACAATGGAGATACGTCGGAGATTGGCAAGACCGCCGCCATCCTCTCCGAGTTGTTTGAAACAGAGTATACGCGTCTTGTGGTAGACAAGAACGACCGCATCCGCCACAGAAATCGAACAGACCCAGTCGTCGCCGCCGCCCCCACCACCACCGCTCCCCTGCATGAAGCGTTGCGGGTCGCAGACTTTTCTCAAGTAAGATGCATCTGATATTACGTATATTATATATATATTATATATTGTCCTTTGCCCCCAAACTTTGGACGTTTGCGCGGATTCGCATCAAATCTACCGGTATCGATTGATTCGTTGGACGAATGTGTATGGATAGTGTTGTTTGGTGGTATCACACTAATTGAAGGTTCACACTAATGAAATAAAATATTGATGATGGTTTCCTGCAATCTGATTGGCGGAAAATAAATAAATATTGATACGCTTGGGTTTGGTTGGGTCGATTCATTTTCCATATCGCTCCACAGTTTAGCTTTCACAATCATATCTTTCTAATGTATGTATGGTGGTGGACGTGCGTAGCTATCACTGGAGCAGCGTGTGGCGGCGCTGTCGTGGGCGGTTGATACGCTGGTGACCCTCCCATCCATTCGGTACTCCCATCTATCTAGTACTACTAGAAACAACTACTACTAGGAGTCGTCGTCCTCATGTACTATATATGTCGATACATGTAGGGCGGAGATTGACCAAAATGTCGAGCTCGAGTTTGACATTTTGCGCGAGTATCGAAAGGTCGAGCGCGACGTGGAAACGGTCCGGCGCCATGCCGACAAGAACCGACGGGAGCGCGAGGACGAGTTTCGGCAAATGTGCATCAACCAGGGCATCCCGACCAACTACAACAACGTGTTCTCGGACGCAACCAAGAAAAAGCACGAGTTTATCGCCGAGTTTTACACCAACATTGCCAACGAACGGGTAGCCGAGGACGCGGCGTTCGCACTGGAGCGGAAAAACCACGAGCAGAAGGTGGCGGACCGCCTCGCGGGTCTGTCGGTGCGCTTCGAGCCTCTGGGCAGCGACCGGTTCCACGGCCGGTACTGGCTCTTGGCCCCGGGGTGGCTCGTGTACGAGTGGGAAGGGTCGTTTTGTGTCTACACGGACGAACAACACGTGAGAGCGTTGGCGCAGTGGCTGAATCCAAAGGGGGTGCGTGAAGTGCACTTGAAAGGCCGACTCGAGGCGGCGATGGATACGATAGTGTCGCACTTGGCCAAAAAATATCACAATCATCAAGTGTCTTCGTCGTCGCTGGTCAACGTCGCGGGGCTGTCTGTGGATACGCTGGATGCATTTAACGTTCCTGTGGCGTCAACTAGCGGCCATGACGCGGCCGTCCATGGCTTGCGCACGCTGTTGGCGTACGTGACCGACAACGGATGCGCCAAGCACTCTTTTGGCGGCGAAGTCGGGTGGCGGGCGTCGATCGCCGAGTCGCGGGATGTGGCGTCGGTAGCTGGGCTGATGGGCCAGTTGGAACAGTACTTGGTCACGAGCCTCAACCACGACCTACTCCAAGCCGGATGGAAGCAAAAGCGCCGCGAGTGGCGCTCCAGTGTGGACGCCGCCCGCACCAGTGCGCAGGTGATGGTGCTGTTCGAGTGTCTGGTGCGCAACTGCCTCGTCCTCGATGCGTTCGTCGACTATGTCGTACAGCTCGATCGAAACGAATGGCTCAAGCTGCGCCCGAAACCAGCGCGAAACTTTTGCCCCGACGTGGGCGACCAAGTCGTGTACTTTGGCGATGGCCACGCCCAAGCCGTGCAACTCGACCAACGGAAAAACAAGCCAGTCAAGTGCGACGCCCCGCTGGTCGGGACGTCGCTTGTGTGCCGCGCCACACACATCTCGTACCACCACGGCAGCGGCGACCCGTATGCGATCGTGACGCTCGAGCCGGACGGCCAGGAGATGACGACATATCTCCGACGCCCCCCCGGCAGCGTCCTGTGCACATCGCCGTCGTCGGTTCAAAAGCTGGGCCGGATCCTTTCGCGGATCGTGGCCAAGTTGCGCGCCGAGCCGGACGCTGACCCGTTCCTGGACCCAGTGTCCAAAGCCGACTTTCCCACGTACACGGACATCGTACTGCACCCGATGGACTTGGGGAAAATCGCCGCACAGATCAAAGATGGCAAGTACTCGAGTGTAGACGCGTTCGTGAGGGACGTGACGCTCATGGCGGACAACTGCCAGTTGTTTTGCGAAGGCCGGTTTCCCACGCTGCCGCCCATGGCGTGGCACCTTGTGACGATGTGCCAGAGCCTGGTCAAAAAGTACGCGGTCGAGCTCAAGGGGGCTAGTACCAGTAGCATTGTTGGTGTGGCTGAACAAAGCCAAGGGAACAAAGGGGGCGATGATGATGTTGTGGTGCCCACGAGGCTCGTGCTTGTACTTCGTTTGGAAAACAGACTGCCCGAGTTTGTTGTGGATTCGAAACGGTACGAAGGGGCGATCCGCCGGCCATGGAAGTCGGGGGACAAGGTCCGGATACTGTACCGAGACGCCAAAGGCAACCCGACAGAGTACTATGGCGGCGTGGCGGCGGGGTCGCTGCCGTTCAACTCGAACGGACTCTTGCCGTGGGAAGCCCTGCGTATCACGTGGGACCAAGACGATGGAAGCTCAGAAGACAACCGCGTCAACCCTTGGTACGTACGTCGTCTATTGATTGATGCACGTCTTGCATGTGTTCAGGAACGGATGGTGGTGTAGGGAAGCCGAGGTGACCAAGAAATAGACCGACGACATTTCGGATACCCAAAGAATCAATCCATAATATCATGTCACTTGCACATTATCTCACTTTACAATCAATCGTATGTCAAGAGAGCGAGAGATTCATCCCCCCCCCATGCTCTTTTCTGATTGCAGTCTGTGCTACCTAGTACTAGTACTAGTACTACTACTGCTGCGACCATATCATTGACAAACTACTGTCTTTCAACTAGTAGTACATCTATATAATAGTCAAAGGAACAACAACGTCGTGGTCTCCTGAGGGTGGTTCACTTTTCTTACGGATTATATCGGGCCATTGTTTGGTTTATACCGACCCGACGTCGATGGCGGCTACGACTGGTTGTGGTGGTGGTCGGGTTTCATGGTCGGAAACAAAATCACTTCCTAAAACAAACGAAGCATTGAATACATGCATCATTGTATGTGAACATTCGTACTCGAATATGCGGCACGCCGGCCAAGAGCATCACGAGTCTGTCGATGCCAATGCCAAACCCACCCGTAGGAGGCAAACCATACTCTAAAGCTGTACAAAACGCTTCGTCTTTTACATGCGCTTCCTGATCTCCGAGGTCGCGATCCTATATTGTGAATAAAATATCTCCAATCCTTGAATGGGTAGTTTTTGATATATATATATATATAGTCGTACCGCCCCCTGCGCCTGAAACCGGAGTCGCTGCTCGTCCGGGTCGTTCAGTTCCGTGTACGCATTGCACAGTTCTTTGCCCGCCACAAACAATTCAAAGCGTTCCGTGAGTTCGGCCTATCAAGAATAGAAATATCAAATATCATCACGAGTGTTTGAGTTTACTACTCGTAGGAATATATTATATATGTAATGTAATATATAATGTATAATAAATAAATAAATATATATATATATATATAATGTATAATGTATAATGTATAATGTATAATATATATATATGTATAATATATATAAAATGTATAATATATATAAAATGTATAATATATAATGTATAATTTATATAAAATGTATAATATATAATATATATATCATGTATAATATATATATATTATATATATCGACAAAGCATAACATGCGCAAGATAAAAAACAGATCAGAGAAATAAACGACAACGCACGTACATTGTGTCGATGGGCTTTGGCGAGTGGACTCAGCACGACCGGGTGGTCGATCAAAAACGTCGGGCTCGTGCACTGAGGCTCAAGAAAGTGCCCTACGAGGCAGTCCAGAATGCGCGGCGCAGTGTGCGGGGCGGGGCACGGCACGTCGTGGCGATGGCAGATGTCCAGCAGTTTTGCAATCAGATCTAGCCCACACATATGAATGTGTTGACAATGGAACCAATATATATATATATATATATGTTAATACCTGGGTCAAGCATAGACGGCAACTTGTCGTTGATTGCGGCTTCGATGCCAGGGACGATGGAAATGCGCTTGAACGGAGGTGTAAAGTCGATAGCTCCGTGTTCCGACGATTCGACAACGTACGAGTTCTTGAGCGACTTGACCAAACGTAAGCACAGGTTAAGAAACCATAAATATATATATATATAATATATATATATATGAAAAGGATATCTGACAACATGTCTTCGGCAGTGGCCATCAAGTCGTTGTAGTCGGCGTACGCTTGGTAAAATTCGCACATGGTAAACTCGGGGTTGTGGGATTGGTCGACACCTTTAGCAACTTGCTTAGCAACCATCATCACAATATCATGTATTGCACCACCTTCGTTGCGAAAGACTTTGCCGATTTCAAATACGCGGTCCATGCCGCCAATCACGAGTTGCTACGGCAACTCTTACTGGACCATCTATCGAGTATGTAGTCTACCTTCAAGTACAGTTCAGGGGCGATGCGTAGGTACAACTTGGTGTTTAACGCACGCGACTCGGTCGTGAACGGCTTGGCGGCAGCCCCGCCCGCCGACGTGCATAGAATAGGCGTCTCCACTTCGATAAAGTCCAAATCTTCCAAGTACCGCCGAATGTGTCGAATGACCTAACGACAAAATACGAATTATAAATGAAAAATCGATCCAAAGATAAATGAAAACACGATATAAATGAAGAAAAACGACCTTGGCGCGTGTGGCAAAGATATCTCGCACGCCGCGATTCGTGAGCAAATCCAAATACTTTTGCCGAAATCGAATGTCCTACGTTTCCGACAAAGTTGGTGAGCAACGATCTAGTAGTACTAGTAGTAGTCGTAGTTGTAGTAGTAGTCGTAGTCGTAGTAGTAGTAGGGGCGTTTACGGGCTCTTTGATGCCGTATTTGGAGTTGGGAATGGGCAGCACGCATGGAGACAGCACGGAAATGCCGCGCGGAATGATACTGAGCTCGCCTTTTCCCGACTTTCCGGGAAACCCGTGAATGCCTACAGTGGATAGACATATCTACTCTTCAATCCAAGCATGATGACGAGGGAAGATACCGATGATATCGCCGCGGCGAAGCGACTCATGGACGTGCTCGAATTCAGTGTCGTTATTGGCGACATCGTCGCCTTGGAAGTACTTCTTCTCCGCGAGGACTTGGACGTCGTGGCCGTCGTTCGAAATGTCCAAGAACACGAGCTTCTTGCTCGCCGAACGGATGGACGTGATTCGTCCTACGTAGTCTCCCATGAGATTATGCTCGTGTGGGTATGCCATGCACCTGCTAGCGACACTGGGTCGTCCGTCTCGCGTGCCTTGGCCGGCAACCCGTCATACTTGGCGTTGAAATCCTTGACGGTCATCGTCACTGGAAAGTGATTCGGGTACCGGACGTAGTTGGAGATGCGATCGAAGCGCTCATGGCCTTGTTCATTGTCTTGGGGCGCGTCGTCGGTATGCAGCAGCTTGCGCAAGTCCTGTTGTCCACAGAGCAACCCCATCCTCGCGGGCTTGGCTTGCTTCCACACTCGCTGCAGCATCATTATCTTCCACCCAATTCACGATATTGAAGCCACCATGTCATCTATTTCGACCAACACCACAACAAGGTGCGATATTTTGTCTATTAATAGTACTACTAGTACTACGCTACTACAGTGTACTACTGTACTGTGATACTATTAATTCTAATACAGTAGTAGGACATTTAATACTATTACTTCGAAGTATTTAATAATAAGAACACTATTAATACAAGCATTAGCAACTACTATTAATACGTAGTAGTAGTATAAAGTACTACAGTAGTAATAAGTTCACGTAATCGAAATGGTATCCGGAGTCCGGATAATCTAGCCAATCAGCAAAGACTTATTCCACTTGGAAAAATCATTATTGACACTTTGGACCAAGATGCGAACGTTTGACGTTGTGATCTTCGGTGCCTCTGGGTACACAGGGGAGCACATCGCTGTGGAGTGGGCAAGAGTGTATGGAAGCACGACTCGATGGGCATTAGCTGGTCGCAGCAAGAAGAAGCTTGAAGGTAGGCAGCAGCACTTCCGAAGGTGGCGTTTACCCTTTCATGACCACCACTACCACCACATTAGCGACAAGGGCTATGATACTGGACAAGGTGCGAGGTGTGCACGACGTCCCCATTGTGCTTGCCGACGCGCTCGACGAGCTCGCGTTGACAGCGATGTGTCAATCCACAACCCTTGTGATCAATTGCACCGGTCCGTTTCGACTGTTTGGGGAGCCGGTCGTTCGATGCTGCGTGGCGGCGGGCACGCATTACGTGGACATAAGTGGCGAGCCGCAATTCATTGAAACGATGATGCTGCGGTACAACGAGGACGCTAGGAAGAACGCGTGCGTCGTCGTGAGTGCATGTGGCTTTGACAGCGTGCCATCCGACCTGGGCACCGTGTTCACCGCGCAGCAGTTTCCCAAAGGTGGCGCGTGCAGCAGCATCGAAGCGTTCATTTCGACAGATGGGAAGCGAGCCCATGCGACCACATACGAGTGCATCGTGCTTGGGTTGGCCGCCGCGGACGAGTTGAAGACGCTTCGCGGCAACGTTGCCCCGGTACACCTTCAAGGTTGGTTGGTTGATGACTCTAACACTGTAACTTCGCCCTAGATTCCATACGTGGGACCTAAATTGACCCTTCGAAACGTGGGCTACGACCGCCGCGTCCAGAAATATGTGGTGAAATTCCCAGGTGCCGACGCGTCCATCGTCCGCAACAGCCAGCGCTACCTCGTCTCGACCAAGGACGGCGCCATTCCTAGTCGTTTTGCCATTTACGCAACGTTTGAAAGCGTCTGGACGTTGGTGTACCTCGTCGTTGGCGGGCTGTTTCTCATTTCTCTTGGGTCGTTCAAAGCTGGTCGGGCGCTGCTGATCCAATACCCTCAAGTGTTTACGTTTGGGTTCTTTAACCACGCTGGGCCGACGGAAGAGGAGCTGGCTACGACCAGCTTTACCTTTCAGTTTTATGCCAAGGGGTACACGAACATCCAGAGTGCCGGGACTGCCAGCCCCGACTGGCAAGTCGTGACCACAGTCCACGGGCCCGAGCCAGGGTACATCGCGACATCTCGCATGGTCACGCGGTGCGCCAAGGTGCTCTTGGACGGACATGTGGTGCCTCGTGGGGTGTTGACGACGGCGTCCGCGTTTGGCGACACGCCGCTCATCTCGGAATTGCAACAAGCTGGTATTACGTTTACAGTAGACTCGTGTGGCCCTGTGCAGCCGGAGTCGTTCTAGTCGTTCTACTGTTTATCGTACGGACCAGTACCCACGATTTTGCCTTATCGAGTTGTACCCAAATTGCTGTATGGTGGTGTCTAATATAGTACATTCTTTTTTCCTTAATATTGTGGATTCGGTACAAATTTCCAGACCCACATCGAATTCGGACGGTATTGGCCAATCCAATTTTGAGTGGATTTGATTGGCTCTTAATTCAATACTACTTGAAGTACGTACAAACTAGTATTGATACGTAGTACAAGTAGTACTTCGACGTATTGATTAGTCAAACCGCACGAATTTTGGAATTTTTTAGCGAATTCACAATAGTACCTCCATTATATTGGTCAAAATTCTCTTATTATTTCGTTCTAGCCAATCAATAAAGTCAAAGAGTCGAAATGGCCAATCCAAACCGATTTGAAATTAGAGCACGGTACTGTTGCATGCATTGTTTTCCTGACATGTTTTTGGGGGGACAGATCCAAAAGATATACTAGTAGTACACGGTAGTTACTTTTCGAGCGGCGTGTGGTTGACTAATAGGTGGTTGTGCACGCCCAGACTCATGCACTTGAGAAACACCGTTTGAATCGCCGTGCACAGCTGCGGGTCCCCACTGACCATCTGGTCGAGCGATGCGCGCGTGAGTTCAAACACGACAGACGGCGCCGTGGCCTGACACGTGAACGACCGGTCTTGCTCGAGGTAAAAGTCCACTTCGCCTACGAGGGACCCTTCGCTGACCTTAATAATGCGGTTGGGGCTGCTGCTGGTCGCGGTCTCCTTGTAAATCTCCAGCTCGCCGCTCTCGACCACAAACAGACTGCTCGTCGCGTCGTTCTGGGAGAACACACGTTCGCCAGTCGCCAGCGTTTGCTTTGTAAAGTACCGCTCAATGTTTTGCGAGGGCAGGAAAATCGACGACTCGGCGGCACTTGACCACGACTCCAGCGCGCTGGTCAGAACGCTGGTAAGGGTTGACACTGTCGCAAAGGAATCGGGTTGCTTCTTGGCTTTGGGAAACAGATCTTTGGCCTGCAGCGCTGTGGACGGCGTGGGCGGCGGGCGTTCGTTGAGGAGCATGTTCTCGCAGAATTCCAGCCCCGCGTCCACCGACTTGAAGATGGTCACGCCGTCGGCATCGCCGCCGCCCAACACTTCGTTCTTTTCCAGCTGACGCTCCAAGTTGGACGCCATGCGCGAAAAGATCAACGAAATGTGGTGCCGCGCCAAAATCGTTTTCATCGCTTGAAAGCAACTGCGGGATGCCGTCGCGTCGATCCCCGTCACGTGCTCAAAGTCGAGCAGCAAATACTGCGTCGGACGGGTTCCCGGCTACACATCCATACATTATGAGTAGTCGATCGATAAAGATAGGCTCGCATATCAATATATTCGCCATCCATTCATTCCGCTGTAATATAATATATAGTCGAATCGATTCAAAGCCACCAGAAGAATCAAATGTGTTGGAGAATGAATGAAAGAACAGTCTAAGCCAATCAAATCACGTTCTGTCGAATTTCTGCCAATCTAAAGTAATTACTAGTTGGGCAAAACCTGATATATGCTAAACATTGTATAGTTTAGTTTGAACAAGCTTAAATAGGGTGAATATCGATTCGATTGGCTAATTGATTCAAAAAGTCCAAATTTAGGTAAAAAGCACAATACATATATATTCATTCATCAACACATTACAGCGAGGGTGATACTTTGTTTGAAAGGGAATTGCATGAATTTTCGCAAAAGATTGGTTTATAATCAGCGCTTAAAGCAATTGTAAGCCAATGCAATGTCATAAATGTTCGATATTGATAGAAATTGAAGAATTACAGCCAATGCAATGCAAATGTCGCCAGGAACTTGAAACATGCGAATTTTGAGTACTCTGGGAAGGACGAAGTAGTATCTTTACCTCGAGAATGGATTTGCGGCAGGTAGAGGATGGCGTCGACGCATGCAGTTCGTCGAGTTCCTTGAGCGTGCAAATGTATCGGTTCGGGTCTTCGTCTACAAAGGACGATTCGACGCGCGCAGTGGCCTTCAACAGCGGCGTCGACTCTTTCAACGACGTCTTGACATGCGATTTAGATGCGTCGACGTAAATGTTGTGCTTGATGTGCTCCACAAGGCGGATGCTCGAGCCAAAGAAGAAGTACCCGTGCAGCTCGAGCGCCACAATCTGACTCTGGTGTTTGGTCAAGTATTGACGGTCTTGGTAATTGCGTTGCACGCGACTGCGGCTAAACATCTACAACAACAACAATATCAGTCATATGTTGAACAAGGGGTCTTATCGATTCAAAACTCGAGTTATGACTCTGCAGAATATATACTCGACAGAGTGAATGTCATGCAGAACCTCCTAAGCCAATCAAAGCGCACGTCCTGTCGACTTTCAGCCAATCCAAACTTGCGATTCGGCCCAGTCCCTCCGCATTGGGTAAAACCACATGTATATTATTGTCAAGTCGATATATTCGAAATTCGAGTGATGTGTCCAATCGAATGAACAGACGAATCAAATCGGCAGACAATCGATGATCGACCAATCAAAACACAGACTAATAATCAAGTAGTAGCCAATCCAATCAATCCACTTTTCAACCAAGTCAACCACGAATTAGTGTGTGACTTAAACTAATGTGTATACTGGACCATTTTTACATACAAAAGTCAGTACATAGAATGGATCGATAGATTTGGCAAAGAATCAGCACAAAAGTCAGCCAAACTTTGGGTAAAAGGACAATCCATACTAATCCTTGTACAGTATACTGTGTACAAGCTTAGAATTGGATCAAATAATGGATCGAATCCTGTTTGGCGAAATGACTCACAAGTCCAAATCTATATATTAGTATGGATTCTTGGATGTATGTATGTATGTGTACCTTGGCCACGGACACGCCTTCGGAATACGTAAACACAAAGTTGGTCATGGCACACACGAGCCCCCCGAGCATGCCGGACTCCAACCCCAGCAGATTGATCAAGACAAACGTCGCTACGACGATCAAGTACTCGCGGAAGCGGAGCTTGGAGTACGCGTGAAGGAGCCATTCCTACCAGACCATCATGATCATGTGTGTGCAAGCCACGTTCTCAGGTGTGTTATCTGTACCATCATCAAGTCAATGGCAATCAACGACAGCAACGCACCAAAGAAGACTACGTCACCACAGCCCAATCAGAACATATATACATAATATATAGAGTCGTTTTGGATCGTACACTTTGGAATGTACGCTGTGAGGGCGACGGGGGACACAAAGATGACGAGTTCAGACACGAGGACGACGATTCCCGGGATGCGGCTGTTGGTGTTGGACTTGAGCGTGAAGATCGTTTGGGAAAATATATAAGATCCGGTGAACCCCCCCAGCATCCCCGACACGGCGTTGGACCAGCCGACTGTCTTGAGCTCGTGGTTGTAGTCGAGCTCGGAGCCCATGTTCATTTCAATGGCGGCCACGTCCAAGCTGGACGAGAACGCCACGACGAAGTACATACCCAACCACGTGAAGATTTGGTTGGGGATGACATGCCATTGCACGAGCGAAAAGTCAAACAGCTACAGACAAGCATGGTCATATGGTTGTGAGTTTATTCGAGTGACATGCAGAATCATGAATCGACGACACTACCAAATAGAGCACAGAAGAATCATCACTAGAACGATTATTTATCCAATCAGATTGCAGGAACCCATCATCAACGTGAAATTCGTGTATGACTGAAATTAGTGTGATCCTAATCACCACAACCTTTTTACATACACAATTCAGTACAAAGAAGAATCGATCGGTAGATTTGGCGATTCAGCACAAAAGTCCAATGTTTGGGGGGTAAAAAGGACAATACAAGACAACTACAAATACTACTACAGTGGATCCCTGGGTTTTGAAGCATGGGTGGAATATAGCTTTGTAGAGGTAAGTATACACAAAGGTTATTGGTTTTGGGAGAAGTTTGGCTAAAGGCTTTGAATTTCAAATTGTATCGATTTTCTTCAATCTCCTGTTAAGAATGAATATTTATAGAAGTTGCTCAGGATATTAATTTATACGAGCTGCAAAAACCGGGGATCCACTGTACTACTATTGTCAAGTCGATTTGAAATTGGAGTGGAGTGGTGCTCAATCGAATGAGCAGCACGAAATCGGCAGATAATCGATATACGGCCAATCAAAACCCATATCACTTATCAAGTAGCCAATCAAATCCACTATGCGACGAATGCAACCCGAATTAGTCTGTTCCTTCAATTCGTGTGACACTGGACGATGTTTACATACAAAAGTCAATACAAAGAATCGAGAATAGATTTGGTGAATCGGCATAAAAGACCACATTTCAAAAGAAAGATAATACTACGTTACGTACGTCAAACACTTGCAACGGGGACGACACCGCCGCGGGGGCAAAGCTCACCCATCCCGTACGCCGCACGTCGTCAAAGGAAAAGCCCGACACGAGCAAGAACGCGTAGAACGATAGCAGGAGCACAGTCAAGCACACGGGGAGGACGAGGAAGTGCTGCACCTTGGACGACAGGATAAACAGCACCAGACCACAGAGCACCCCCGGAAAGATATGCACGAGTGCATCGACGTTGCCCAATTTCCACCAGTCCGTGATGTTTTTGATTTCCACGCCAGCCATCAACCCCATACCCGCTTCCAAGCAGAAAAAACCAATGTATGAAAGGTACCCTACATATAAATATATATATTGTCAAGTCGATATATTCGAATCATTCGAGTGTTTGGGTGCTCAATCGAATGAGCAGAATCGGCAGACGATCGACCAATCAAAACCCAGAACACGAATCAAGTGGCCAATCAAAATCACGCTTCGATAATATAACATCGAATTAGTGTGTGACTGAAATTAGTGTGATACTGGACGATTGATCTTTACATAGAAAAGTTAGGACAAAGAATCGAACGATGATAGATTTGCCAAAGAATCAGCACAAAAGGCCAAATTTTGGGGCAAAGGACAATATACATGTCCATAAATAGTGTGACGAGTGTAGTGAAGAGCGACTGGGGTGTACCTCCGATCACTGGCATGGGTAGGTACTGCACCAAGCTGGCGAGTTTAAACTAACATGACGTGCGTCAAGAGTGTATACGAAAGAAGGATGCGACGGACGTACATGGCCAGTCAAGATCAACGCCAGCCCCATCAACATGGTGGCAGAACTTAGCGTGACCAGAGTCGTGGCGATGACAGCATTTGGAGGAAGGTCCTTGTCGGCCGTGAGAATGGTCACAATGGACGACGACATGGCGGACAAAAAGATCAACCCTACATTCGCATGACTGACTTCTGCTGGACATAGATGATGGCGATCATACCTGCGTCTTGAACTTGTCCGATCGCAAACGGAAGGGAGCTCTTGAGCGTGAATATCGTTTGATGCACGGCACAGGAAAAGCCCACGAGCTTGACCAACGCCGGCATGTACGGTTGAAAGAAGGGATCGCTGAAGATGATGGCCGTAAAGCTCTACAACGTAACGTCGATGCAATGACTCTTCTCGCGCGCTAAACTCGCATGTTGACGAAGAATAGGGGGAACTTACCATGAACACTGGAATCACCAAGATCGCATTGATCAGTCCATACATTACCGATTTGACGGCATTCTCACTCGCTGACGTTTCGACGGCGTCGACGGGATACACAGCCGACGATTCCACAGCGATCAAGCTATGCGAGCTGAAGCGGGTGGCCCTGGTGTGGTCGCGCGGCGTGTTGCACACACTCCCCATGCTGTTGGTCGCCATATTGCGTGCGCCTTTCTCCAATGCCAACGATAAATGGCGCTTTGGCGTGTGAACGTGTCCGGATACCGATCGTTTTTATGCTTGTGTCTACTACTAGTAGGCGCGTTTACTAATAGTATGTTAATGCATTAAACCTATATAGCGATGTTTAGTAGTACTATATCATCCGCTCAAGAATCGTCCGTTGATCAACCTGAGAGACAACACATGGAAGTACCGGTAAGTCATTGAGGCCATAGGCATCACGAACAAAGCAGCCACTTGCAAACCAGCTGCCAACCAGTAGCACAAAAACCCACGCCTTACTGGGTACGATCAGCTTTAGTACAGTATTACTGGTCGTATTTGTCGTACCTGTGCACCATATAGTCATTAAATTTGAACATTTGATTTAAATATTACACAGGCATACTTTATTTAAGCTCACTTTGACTTTTATCCTTATATTTGCGTTATGTATTTTTTTTCAGGGTGCAGATCAACAACAAATATGGTAGTACTGTTCAGTAGTTAGTACCCATGATTTTGGCTTTTCGAGTTGTACCCAAATTGCTGTATATGGTGTCAATAAAGTATCCATTTCAATCAGGTTTTACTGACATGTTCGGGGGTACAGATCAACAACAAATATGGTAGTAGTATTCCCGTCCAACTACTTACTGTATTTGTCCACTATCATTAAAAATTCCCATTTATAATTGATTTGAGGTAATTGATACATTGACCAATATAAAAGTTATAAACACGTGTTCTATATTTCGTGGTGGTGCAGCTCAACGACAAATGCGGTAGTATATATACTTCGACGTATTACACAGTGCCAAAACATAAAGTTGCCAAAGCCTCGAACGCAGCATGAACGGAGTATTCAACCCATGAAACACTGAATATTATCTATTCAACCCATGAAACACTGAATATTATCAGGCGCGTTTGGTTATTCACGCGACGCCATCACGCGCTCAATGTCTTCCACTGTGCGGGGCACGAGATGCGACATGTTTTCGACGCCGGTGGCGGTCACAATCACATCCGACTCGATGCGGACGCCTCCAAAGCCGCGGAAACGGCGCAGTACATCTAGGTTCACGTACTTGGCCGTGTCTGGGTTGGTCAGCAACTCTTCGAGTTGGGCTTCGATAAAGTAGCAACCCGGCTCGACGGTGATCACCATGTTCTTCTCCAACACGCGACCGCATCGGAGTTTGCGCAGTGTTCGCGTGTCCGTGCGCTTGACTCCTGGGAGGTACCCGCCGACATCGTGCACCTACCACAACTGTCAGTCTTCTATATATGAGAAATCCAATCATGGATCGTACATCGAGCCCCATAAAATGGCCCAGGCCATGGGGGTAAAAGAACGCGCTGATTTCCGCGTTCAAGAGTTCGTTCACGGTGCCGTTTTGAAAGAGTCCGCCGGCCAAGAGATGCTCGGTGAGGACCCGATGCGACAGCAAGTGGAGGTCTGTCGTGGCCACGCCCGGCTTGATCGCTTCGAGCACGGCGTCGTGCGACTTCAACACCCCTACCACACAATACATACCGTAAGGACCAATCACAATCCAAGGTGAATAAATAATAAATGAATAAATGAAAAATCATCCACGTACCGTTGTAGATGAACTTTTGGTCGTCCGAAAACACGCCGTTGACAGGGAACGAGATTGTTATGTCGGACGCGTAGCCATGGTACGACGCGCCCATGTCGTTGAGGAAGATGTCGCCGTCCGCGAGCACCTTGTCGTTGGGGGCGCCGGCATGGCCATAATGCAGCGCCGACGCGTTGTGTCCGCTGCCGCAGATGCACGTGTACGCGTGGAAGCGGGCGCCGCCCTTGCTGTAGCACGAGTGCAGGAACGTCGACTCGGCGTGGAACTCGACCATGCCGGGCACGATCGTCTTCATCACTTGCACGTGCGCCGCAGAACTCAGGCGGTTCACCCACCGCAGCAGATCGAGCTCCTTCTCGGACTTGATCACGCGGCACTCTACCAGTTCGTTGTGCAAAGCAGACTTGTCCACGGAGAACTTATCAATGCCATCGAACGTCGACGTCGTCTGCGTCGTGAGCCCACTGTCCAAGTTGACGCCGTGCAGGACGTACAACGTTTTCGCCCCGCGGGCTTCCAACACGGCGGCTAGCTCGTCGACATAGAATGCTTCGTCCACGTTGTAGTGCTCGCGGAACCACTCTAGCGGCTTGCGGTCGCCGCACCAGAGCGACCATTCAGCGGACAATCGGGGGACAAACAAGAACGACTTGCGCGTCGTCAGATCCAACACACCGGCGCAGTCGGGTTCTCTCACGCCGAACAAGTACTGAAACATGCTCTCTTGCTGAAACGGAACCGTTGTGTCCGTGTCGTATTCGCTCACCTCCGACCCGCCATGGAGGACAATGAACGACGACGGGGCGAGCGATGGCAAGGCAGTCATTCGGTCCAACAACTTGTCGCGATGCTCGCGATGCATGGAGTAGTCAATCTCGTACACTTCGTAGGCGAAGGTACCCGCCTTGTGCGTTCGGGGATTCGATGCAGCCATAGTCGTTGTTGGTGGCGGATGATGAAATGACGGAGTATGCTTATGTCAAAATAAGCAAGCGATTTCATAATATATTGCTACACTTTATAATACGAAGTATGTACGTCACATATACAAAGACCCAGTGAAACAATACTAGTTTTAATTTGCCGCGATTGGGAAGCTACTTGACAGTTTTGATTCGAATACAACCCTATCCCGCGATAACTTCAACGATTGGATATATATTGTAGGTTCGGTACGAATTTCTGGACCCGAATGAACCAATTGATTGGTTCATCTGAAATTCCTCATCACTGATTGGCTACATTTTCTATCTGTTATCCGTATCCTATCTAAAGTACTGTACTTGTTTCTGGTAGCCAATCAAATGTCGCAGTGAGGTGGGGCAGAATTAAGAAATTTGAAGGAATATGGGTCAACGCATAAAATAGGATTTGAGCATCCCCACTCCTGACGGAGGAATTTCCCCGGCAGCTCCAAAACTATCATCTAAAGACTACTATTAATACTGTAGTACAGATCGGCCAACCTCAAGAGGAGACGTTTTACTATTAAACGCTTCGGTTCTTTCAGTTAACTGTAAAGTCCAATACAGTACTATGGGGAATTTGAATAAATACGGATAATCGTCCGGATTGCTCGATAAATTAGTGGAGGTGAAAGAGCATAATCTGAGCATTCTCGTCGAATTTGCTGGTGAACCAGTGATCGAGTGATGTGCCGATTTATTTCATCCAATTAAATCGTTCTAGCTGTATTATTGGACAAAACACAACCTCTCATGCCAATAATCTTGTAACCTTCCAAGTACACGATGTTAAGGGTGCGTCTGGTATGGTGCACGTCATCTAAAAACATCCAACTGGCCAAATCGAAGAGTGGAGGTTTTATTATTTAACGTACAATTAATGTAGTTAAACCCAAAACCTAAATACGTTAAATTCCGATTTCATGCGTTTTATCACTGCAATGGGAGGTTAAAGGTCCCAACTACCTCCGGATATTATATACGGAT